TTCAAATATTTTCTTTGTTGTCTCAATTCGGTAGCCCAAAAAGAGAAACAAAAGGTTTAAGCCTATCCAAGCTAGCTTTCCAAGACCGTAGTGCCTTTAACTCCTGGCCTTGTGACGTGTACGGTCTTGCACGAACTGAATGAGAATGACCGAAAGTGTGCCGTAATTAAGGAAAAAAATCTGCATTTTCAATTCAACGAGACGAATTTCCCGAAACGAGTGCGAATCAGAATACATTCGCGAATATAAAATACATTTTATTGTTGTAAATTAGAAATCGGAACTAACAAAGGAGCCCAACGCCGTCCTTGAACGAAATTGAAGTATAGTTCATAGAATTTGAATTATCGTTTAAGTGACCGGGAAAACCTATATTAAGCATAATTGTTGGTATTCATTCCACAAAAATAAAGGTAATGTATAAGCCGAATGGCGAAACGTCAAAAGCTACCAAAAAATAGAAGCGATAGGCTTCACACCATCAGCGGAAGGGATAATTTATTTTCAAGTTTAAATCTAAACAAAAACTTGGTTCAAAAATTAAGTGTATTCCAGAGGCTTTATGATAAATAAACAGTACGTTCTTCATGCGTACATTTGGTTTGTTACTAGTGAAGTAAATCAAGCTTCACACTGCGATGTCTGCGTTCAGTGGTTCACTTGCTTCGCTATCCCAACTCGTTTCCTTTTCTGCAATATAAAGGTTTTCGACTAAATTTTTAATACGTCTTGTAATGTGTCACTCACTACAAAGTGGAAAAGTTATGTTAAAATATGTCCAGGCAGTGCGCACTGTTAGTTGGAATAATATCGTAACTTCAAAGGGGGCTGAGATGGTCTCACAGAGTCTAGATAATAACAAATGTTGTCATTCTTTTCAAGTGAATAGTAGTAAAAGTAACAGTAGTGTAACGAAATGTAATCGGCGCTCCATACTTTTTATATGTTTCGTTTGCCCGCCATAGCTTGCGCGCTATTTTTAGAATGGGGTATATAAGGCAGCGTTCGCGCGGATTTTGGCCAGACTGTTTTGGCGCGCCGTAGAGTGGCAGACTAAGAAAAGCATCGTGGAGACGGACAGAGTGTTGTGTCGGGGAGTGACCGCAAATCTTACCGTGAGTTTGAGCTGCTGTATTGTTAATGTTACACACTCCTTTTCTTTTATAAGTAGTGGTGCAATTGTGGAATTGATCCTTGGGTTTACTTGATTAAGTGAAGCTTAATACTCGTTCGATTGAAGACAGCATATTTGGGTTTATTATTGTCACCTCTGTGCAGGAATTCTCCATTTGCTTTCGAAGACATACTTGGCACTTTTATTGAAGCACTTTTATTGTTGACTATCGATAAGAACATCTCTTTCCCTTAAGGAAATCCGTTCCCTTAAGGAAACCAATTCCCTTTAAGAAACTCATTTTCCCTTACGGAAACCCTTTCCCTAAAGTAAATCCATTCCCTTAAGAAACCTCCTTTCCCTTACGGAAACCCCTTCCCTTAAGTAAACCCTTTCCCTTGGGAGCCCATTTCCTAACGTATCGGGATCGACAACTGCCTCGCGGGAGACGAAGGGTCGAGCTCATCAGGAGGATCGGCATCTGCCTTCGGGAGACCTCGGAGGGTCGTCTGGAGCCTAGGAAACCCCCTTCCTTGAGAAACTCCCTTTCCCTTAAGGAAATCCCTTCCCTTAAGAAACCCCTTCCCTTAAAGAACTCCCTTTCCCTTAAGGAAACCCCCTTTCTTGAGGAACCCATTTCTAAGGTATCCGGAATGACAACTGCCTCGCGGGAGACGAAGGGTCGAGCTCATCAGGAGGATCGGCATCTGCCTTCGGGAGACCTCGGAGGGTCGTCTGAAGCCTAGGAAACCCCCTTCCTTGAGAAACTCCCTTTCCCTTTAGGAAATCCCTTCCCTTAAGGAAACCCCTTTCCTTAAGGAAACCCTTCCCCTTAAGAAACCCCCATCTTTTTAAGTACTTGCCTTTTGTTGAGGCATTTTTAGTAAAGGAACTGCAGTTGTTGCATGGCTGAATAAAGAGACTTCTTGAAGCTTTAGCTTGTGTGTCTGGGTCCCACTCATTGTCTGGTTGGGTAGATTTATCGTTCGAACAATATAAGGGAAAATTAGTTACGTGCGGCGACAGACAGTCTCCAAACGGATTATCGCCCTAGGACCATCTGGACTGCCGCTCGTCTGGAGGGTTCTCGAGACCGTCACTTCTCGAGAAAATCGAGATCCGCCACAGTAGTTTCTAAAAAAATCAGCCTGTTTTCATACCTTTTTTTTCCCCGATACACTTCTCGTTGTTGTTATTCTGCAAAGAGAGAACGACCAATGTCATTTAATGCGTCCATTGATCCTCGGTTATCATTACAAGCTCCTTCAGTTCAGTCGATATATCGTTATTCCAATCAAGGTTAAAACAGTTTTTTTAACTTTGAAAAGGGAAAAACTATGCAGAAAGTATCCCAAACAAAACTGCTAACGAAGGCTTGCACCACTGCTAGTGTCGTACTCTTAAACACGATTCGCTGCGTCGTCATATGTTTAATGTCAGTTTCGACAAAGGTCGCTTTTTCAATGGTAGTCATCAATTACTGTGCAATTTAAATTGAATATACCTCATACAGAATTACTGTTTTCGACGTTAGGAACCATCCCTGACTTTCAACTACAGCATTTCCTGAAGTATAATTGTCATAATTATAAGCGAGCTGGGATATTACATTGTCGAGAAATATAAAGATACCAGAAAGTGTTATCGTACCTCTTTTTCATTCCTTTTTCCGGGCGTCCTCTTCCATACCTGAAATGATAATGATCATATACGACGGAATGTAATATAATTGCAAAAACAATGTAACATACACAACAACTTAGCTCCTCAACTGATTTGGAGTTTCTTAGTTTATTATCTTTGCTTGTTTCTTAGCTATACGTCATATGTGGCCATCGTTAACAAATCAGGGACATAGGAATATGTCTAGACACCTTGTGTAATGGACATACTCAATATGACGTCATTATGAACTTTGTCCTTCACGGTTTGAAACAAAGCACCTCAGAACAACGTTTAGTGCACATATCTGTATCTGTATGCTACTGCACAATCGCCTATGGTGGGGCTATCACGTGCAGGTAAGTTGAATCATGTTTCTGTTCATATTAAAACACCATTTGTGCAAGGATAAGTATAAGCCAGTTCGGTATTCCAAAGTAGTCTGGGGCACAGCAAGATTCGACGAAGTTTATTTTCGAGATAACCGCGGCAGACAAGTGCAAGCAACGCTATAGGGGACGTGATAGCCAAATCTGCATTCTGTGCAATTTTTCTTGCAATCCCCAAAAAATGGAAGTTTCGCTCGTACGAAAGTTTTAACACACAAGATGGCTAAAAACACCTCGCTGTCCAAACGTTGTTTTTTTTATGTTATACTTCGGATCACGACGATCTCTTCAATTTTGCTGGTACCCCGCTATGGTTTTGCACGCATACGATAATTTTTTTATCCCGGAAGAAAAATCGGCAAATCTTGACGTGCACATGGGCAGTTGGAATACCGAACTTGCTTATTGGCAAAGACCCCCGATTTACCTTGTACACAGCAATACACAATCCAACGTTAGCAGCGAATGACAGGCAAACAACAACTATAAGCCAAGTAGGGTCATTTTGAGAGCTGTGTGGATTATCCTTAACTCTCTCGCCAAGCCTAGCCTTCATGACAGGTGTCGTAGGTTTCAGTGATGTGAAATCTGCAAATACATTTTTGACATTAGTTTAATACAAGCTTACTATAGTGAGCGTGTAGATTTATTTGATGACTACCTTGGGTGTGATATTCAACCGTAATTAAAGACACTCTGTAATTAAAGCACGTGAACGATACTTAATTTCTTAAGCAAAGGTAACCATAATAATAATTAATCCTGGCATCAATTATATACCATATTAAAAAAAAACCTGAAGACTGTCTCCAGCTAATATAGGTCATATATCACGAAGGCCACAATCTCCAAGTGTAATAAAAAAACCCGCTCCAGTCAGTTTCTTTGTTCAATTGTTCAAACATTATAATTTGTATTTCATTTGAACATTCCCTTTGTGGGTCATTTAAAATACTTTAAAATAGAGAGCATTCAGAGCGCTACTTTTTGTTTCATTGAGATTTGTTTCAGAATTGTAAGATCTGACAAAAACAATCACCAAAAGCACAGATAAAACTAATATCAAAAAGTTAAAATCGCAAAGAAAGGTTTTATCTCGCAACAGCTAAATTGTAAGTATTGTAGTTATTATGTGCATAGTAAGTGACAAACAAAACTAAGTTTAACGGGGGGGGGAAAGAAAGAAAAATGTGAACGTTATAGATTTTACTTGCGGGAGAAAAAGAGGGTTCAGGTAGGAAAATATAGGGGGGGGTGAAATAGGTCATTTGCAGCGGGGACGTTTGGAAAAGATATGGGCGTCCCTTTTTATTTCTTTATTCTCAAAATTATTTTTTTGCCTCTGAAAAGGAAAAATTTAAAATTTGAAGAAACAAAATTGTTCTTAAATTAAATGATGCCAATTGAATATTATCTCTATATCTCTAGTTTTGTTTACTGCAATGTGTTTATCATAATAAAACCATTTGTAAGTTTTCTTACATTATATCAGACCCATGCCGATTTAAACGTTTTGACTGTAAATGGCAACCATGACATACACGAACAAGTATTAAAATATATACTATACACATCTTATATAATAAGAGACAGCATCCTCGCATCTTCTGCGATTCCACTGGTTGTTATACGCCGTACTTTCCGTAAAAAAAAATCTGGTATTCATTTTCAATAGCTTTTCCATTTTGTTTGTATTATTATTATTTTTTGAGGTTTTTTAATTGGGTTTCAGACAGGATCGGCGGTTATACAAAAAGTTGAGATTTTCTTGGTCGGAAGCCCAACATAGGTTTACTATAAGGAGAATCAATAATAAAAAGGGATGCCTTAAGTTAGAGAATGGTATGGGACTACAAAGCGTGCACATACGTAGAAACTATGAGTCGAGGTGTGCAGAGCAGGGACAGCAGAAGTTCAACCAAACAAACCTGTAATATTAGAGGAAAGCAATAAACTTCCATGCTCACGTGGTGTTCCATGGATATAGTGAGCTTTGGTGACAGTCACCGTCACGTGGCTACCATTCCTGGCGCCCAGAACTTCCCCGTATGCTTGGCATCTGTACAACGTGTCCACATTACTCGCTACAATTGGGATTGATGCTGAAGTGGTGAAGGTGTTCACCGAAAACTCACCTAAACACACCACAAAATACAGAGCTATGTCATTACTCTAGCTGAGATCAGAAGCCAACTGCATGAACTTGCCAAGCATGGTGGATATGTATTGCCTACAAAAAAAATACTGGCTTGGCAGAGCTTGTCACAAACCCAAGTTTTGTAATATGCTCGTCTTGGCTGGATTTACCTGTGGAGATAAGTTCATGAGAATACTTCTTCCCTTAAGTAAGCAGCTTCATGAAATGTATGCCAAATGAAAGAGACATTCAAGCCTGGGACAAAATAAAACATTCAACTAGTGCAAAGACGTTTCAATTCAGTGACATGGTGCAACAATTTACAGACTTTTTGCAATCTTACATGGGGAGTCAGATTCAGTAACCCAGCTTACTTGGTTTTACGGTGAACCTGTCGCTGATGAGTTGTGTGTCACCGTCACTGTACTCAAGCAGCCATCGGAGAGCCACGGCAGGCTTGGCATCCCGTACGGTGCAGGTCAGGCTTGGTTTCTCGATGTCGTTTGGCAACTCTGCCTCGCACGCACTCTCGGAGATGCGTTGAGTGCATTGAGTCACGTCGGGAAACGGCTCTGTGGGAGATACTACACGACATATAAACACAAAATACCATTGTTGATAAAATTAGGATACGAGACTTCAAAGCAACACCACAATCTTTCACAAGATGACAACTCTTGACCTTGCCAGAAACGTTACATCTCTTGCATCAGATTCTAACAACCAGCATGCAGTTATTGGAAAATCTACTGTTAACCAGCAACTATTAAGTGTTGTCTTGAGAAGCAGTAACTTATATATTTAACAGAAAGTTGCTCAGTCCATGTGGATAATATATGGGCAATAAAGGCCTAAAAAGAACAAAATTTGTTCAAGTCAGACAATTTAATTGATCATAAACTGAATTGAAATTAAATAAACGGAAATTACGAGGCAACGCACAGGCACAGCGTTTGGGTGGCGTAATTATTTTCCGCCTTTTTCAGAGATTTTTCAAACCTTGACTTTCATACCCAAACTGCGCTGATAGGCTAAAACTTGATCACTTCCCTAATTTGCTACCGACCATTATGGAATTTGTTAATCGCTTCAGCAGATGAATTAAAGTTTGTATGCATATTGCCCTGGACATGGTTAACTCACTAAAAAGGTATAGGGCTATACAAGCGAAATACAAAGATGGGTAAATACTCAGAAAAATTGAAGGTAGGAATGAACATTCCTCTCGAAACAGAAAAGTTCACAGGTTGGAGGCAAACAAGCACAAGGAATTCCAAAGAAATACAGCGCGTGGGAAAAATAACTTATTTACTAATCGCCAACCCACTCACCTTTGACACCCATAGTCACATGTCCATCAAATAGCATTCTTAACTTTGGTTTGACCCTGCAGTAGTAGGTCCCTTCATATGAGTCGGTGACGTTCTCAATAACCAGAGAGAAGTTCCTGTTGATGTCATACACGCCCGCCGGGATGCCGTTTTGTGGAGCGACGTTCCCTTTGAAGTAGGAGATCAAGATGTTTTCATCGCTCATTCTGGGGAAGTACCAGTACATGACTTCGATCTGATCCAGTGGGATTTGTCCGGAACCGACGAGAGGGCAGGACAGGATGCCAGGGTTGCCTCGCTCTAGGAAGCTGATTTCATCTTCGATATTATTTGCGCTAATGCGAATACCCACCACGGCAACAACTGCAACGGGGATAATAATGGATCTTATGGGCTCCGTGCGCTAGCAAAGAGGGCGCCCTTTTACCTAGCAACGACGTCCCATGGGCGCGCGGGACAGATACATTTCGCTGGTTGACGTTCACCAGGGGATTTGTACGCATGCAGGCGCCCCCCCCCCCCCTTGAAAATTTGGCATCCGGAGAAAAGCACAGCAATATGAGTAACTTAGCTGAAAGAACTTAAAGTTCCTTTTTTCCCGCGATTTTGTGCGTATTTTTCACCGAAACTCTATTTTTTCGCGAGTGGCTGTTTATTAACGTCCCTTGGAAAGCGAATAGCGGTAGTTATTGTGTAATCTAGCCATGATGTACGCTTTGAACAGCGCCACCATGGGAAGATGGATTCCAGCGCCCCCACCCCCCCCCCCCCCCCCCCCCCCCCCCCCCACCACCCTCCCCCATCCCCACCCACCCACTACTTGATTTCACGAAGGGTGGGTTGTCTGGTGCAAAAAAACCATGTCTATACCTTTCTGCACGGATGACATTTTGGGCGCCCCTCCATTTTAACCTTAAGACCCCCCCCCCCACGCCCACCGGGATGAGGACCCTGGCTACGCCGCTGCCGGTCCCCCGCCCAATTAAAATTTGAGAAGCCAAAAATGTGCTTGTTATTGTTAGAAACGCATTGAGCGTCCCTCCAAAAAATAAGGGCCCCCCCCCCCCCTTAAGAGGTGCAAATTGGACCCAAATTACCCCACTGCCTCTAGCTCAGTATTGGTAGCGTTGCGGTTGGACGAAGGATTTGACAGAACTTGAGACCACTATGTCTTCTTGGCCTTGATTCGTTACGCATGCGCACATTCGTATGACCTGACTGAACTGCGCAATTGCTGCCTTTTACCAAGAATTATCCACAGGTATGTTACGTGTGCTTGGATCACACTGAAATTGAGCATCATGGCTATGGGGAAAACAAATAGAAAAATGTTATTCATAAATACCTAAGACAGTTAACGCATTCCTATTGGTCGAGAGCCCGTCACGTGGCCGGTATTAAACGGATGATAAGCTCTGGCTGCAAGACCGCCAGAGCTTATCGTGCATTCGCACTTGTTAATACTCCAGATAAGGCAACAATCTTTTGCCATTTTTATTTGTTGAAAGCCACAACTCTTTAACACTGCCTGTACACATTAGCACATGGAGAATGCGGAAGGTCCGTGAAATTTATTTTCTTAGAACACATTTTGTTCAACTTTTTACTCCTCTTATTAAAATGTATGGAAAACTATTTGACATCCCTTTTTGGTTAATTTTATTGAAAAGTGCATTTCTTTAAACATTTAAAATTGTCCATGCTTTTCCAGACAACTGAGGGCGCCGTTGCTGGAATGTCATTTCAGGAAGACACGGATCAGTTTAGCGGTTTACTGTTCAAAATGTGAACACAAAACTTTGCTCATTGAAAACATCGGTGAGAAAAGTTTGCTCACTGGCTTGCTGCTAGACACACTTGAGCGCAGACGAGAACAATTGAGCATCGCATTCGAAAATCTTTCAAAAAAATCAAAACTTGAGAGTCTAGATCCGCAAACAAGGTCAACATCTGGCTACAATCTGAGGAACTCAACAAAATTAAATGAACTCAGTGCAATACCTCCAGATTTAAGAACAGTCCTGGGGGGATGTGCCACATCTGATCAATATTTTGAACACAACTCAATAGATACATATTTATTGTGTCTATGATAATTTTGCGGCACTGCAAACCAACGAAATTCATTGCACTAAAAGTGTTTAGTCCTTCACTTTCATAACTTTTGTTTTCATCACTCGCATGAAATTGCTTCGTCCTTTTTTTTTGCACCCTCTACATAGAAACGGTCTACATGCTTCACGTTGAACCACCCTTTTTCATTAATCTTTAGATATCCCTTTTGTCGAATACTTTTTTTCTTAACTGAACGTAAAACTATATATGTTCACTATTGCATTATTGGCTCGCTCTACGGCCTTTTTAAAAAAAAATTGTATAACGCTGTGTGCAAATTTTTGAACGTTTTATATTAAGTCTATTCTCTTTTTTATGTAAACAGTACAAATGTATTGTTTTCCCTAATTCAGTCTTTGGCTGCGATGGAAAATGTTTTTAATACACCATGAATAATATAGGTTTTCCCGGACAATTTTGGAAAATGTGTAAATGAATTTGTAAAAGAAACATTCGTTTTCGTGCGAAATAGAGTGAACGTTCCAAATCCCTGTTTCTATTTAACAAATGATAATTCTATTTCCATAAAGGTGCATTCAGTCGTAAAATATCAGCGTACTATTTCCCGAATGTGCACTGCATTTAGTATATTAACATTTCATTTTAGCGCGAAATCGAAGGCACATCCGCAATCCTGTATTCCTTTTAATTTATCGTCAATCTATTCGCTAAATTTGCAGCCGATTTCCCGCGCAGTGTTATAGGCCTATGACTGGCCAAGCATTGGATTTCATTTATGTGTTCACGAAAGTAACATACGAGAAATGTTTGATTGAATGATTGAATGTGTGAATATTCATGATGATTGAACTAAACCAAGTCGTGGTGTATATAGCCTTTTGAAACAAACAAACAAACTATTGTGATAAATCGTATATAAAAACCTAAGCGAAGACAATCGTCCTTTTCCCCCCCCCTTTTTTTTATTGATTAGCATTTGCCACAATAGCATCATAACCAAGCAATCGAACTGATAAAATGAGAGAGAACTTTAAGAAATACAGAAAGACATTAGAATACAATTAAGACAAAGATCCAACAATAAAATGGTCCCGGATATCCCCAGTACTATGACACGTGATGTTTTTCCTCTACCGTCCCAATAATATGCCTGCAAGATTATTTCGGTAAGATTTATATCTTTTTAACATTTCATTTGCCTATTTCAAATAGGCATTTTGTGTATATAAGAACAAACACCTTATTGATCAATTAGGCTTACCGTACATTGATTAATCAATCAAAGCTGTATCATGGTTTTGTATAGGCCTGTATACTTGATTTAAATTGAATGCAGAATATACGAATTTAAATTACAACAAATGAAAAAGAATGTTCCATTCAGCCTGTGCCACAATACAAAATCGATTTTCTGCGAACTATAGATTGCAGTACGTATTTGTATTTGAATAATGAAAATTAAAATCGAATTCTAGTTATTGCGAAAATGAAACCAGGACATGCGTCGTTCCCAAAATTAGAGCGCCAAATTGAATTTATGTTTTACAAATTCAAATGCATATTTTCCAGAATTGTCAGGAAAACCTATAATAAAAAAATAATAGTATTAATGTACTGACACAACAACGAATCACCAAAGGAATGAAAATTTAGGACAACAAAGTATCAAAAATTCTGGAAACTTTTTGTGCTGAAATAGCTGTAACATGAAGGTTTCTGCCTGAAATGACATCACCCTTTTGCTCATGAATATCGAAATTCGCATTAGTGTAAAAACCAAAATGGAACAAAATACCCTTAAAGTGGCAAAACGAAAATTGTAAATAAGGTAAAATTGGATACAAAGGCGTATTTTCGAGGATTGCATTAAAAACATACATTACATTGGTTATTTAACTTGTTGGATTACGAACCCGCCGACTCTGATTTACAATTTTAGAAAATTACTGTTATTACTGCGCGCTTTCTTTTTTTACATTTGGGAAACAAATATAGGTAATTGCAATTTTTATTTTTTCTGAATGAACGCAGTATGTTGCGTAAATTGAAAAACCCAAAGGGTTTTCTGATTTCATTTAATTCAAAAGTGCAGCCCATATCGTGGACGTATCCCTGTTATCCGACCCAATTGCACGCACGCAGGACGCTGATCACTTTTAATACACGATGGAGCCAGCGCGCAGTAACCCCCCCCACCCCCCCCCCCCCCCCACCCACCCACCCACCCCACCCACCCCACCCACCCCCACCACCCACCCACCCACCCCGCTTTTTGAAATTCCACGGTCGGGCAATATTTTGATTTTAATCCCCCATTCCCAAAGTCCCCGGCACAGATTTACGCCACCGCTTTTTCAACTCAGTCTCTGAGTCCGGCCCCCGTGCCTCACAAACAGCGCGGATACATTTTCAGTGTACACACGTACATACAACATTGCCACGAATCCAACGCGACGGTACATTTTGTATCCATCCGCATTTTGCTTACATTATAATATAACATTGGACATCTATTAATATGTAAATTCTGGGGAACAGCTCATCTCAGCGCATACACAAACAGCACGGATGCCAGCTTCGTTTTCGACAGTACATGCGTGTAAATGTTGGCACAAATCCAGGGAGAGGGTATTTAGACTTCATTTGCGTCCGACTGCACACATATTTTCTGGATCCCTTATCGGTACCCCTACCCCATGCAGGCGGCCTCCTGGGGCGCGTGGGCCGTAAATTTTACAGGTGTTGATGAGCCAAACAAGTCTAGCTGAGCCTGGAAAGTGAAAACGCCATGACAGCTGCAGCGGGGAATTACGTACATGTACATTTACATAATAGCTGTGTGAATGTGTGCTTATATATAGCGCAAACAACTACACACACGATCTGGTCAAACCTCAACTTACTTCAGATATTTGCCAGTCCCGCGCCAGGTGAAGATTGAAGGAGACACATCGGTTGAAAACAGGTTGTTGTTTTTTTTACCGAACAATAATTATTGCTAGCCTAGCTAGCCGCGTTTTCCCCCGAAAATGACCTTGCCTGAATACATACGGACCTATTTTATTCAAACACGAGGGGTGCTCGGCCCAAGTACAAGCTGAAAGTAGGCTATAGCAACATGTTCGTTTCGCTTATCATGGTTTTACCAGCGATTTTTTTTTTCAGATCTTGTTCATTATCGGCCATTCAATTTCACGTGATTTTCACACATCAGTTCTGATCAGATTGGGGTTTCGTGTTCATTGTCTGGCATTCGATTTTAATTTTTCGGTACCCAGGATAATTATGATCGTTATCGTTTTGGTGCATTCAAGACTTAATAAGCTTCATTCTTACATTAAGTTTTTGACATCTCGATTGTTGCATTTGATTTCAAATTAACGAAAGTCGGTACGTATATTATGCGGTATGACCATGATTTTCTTTTCTTATGCGTTTATGGGTTTTAATTTATCTTTGTGAAATGCAAAATGTAACAAACTCACTGAGAGATAGTTGATATTAAATGGATTCGAAATGGCTAAGGCATTTTCTTTTCACTGTTGAGCTTTTCTACTTGTTTAAAAGTTTGGCCAAATCTATTGGGCATCTTTATGTTGACATGTTTACTATCCTTTAACTTTGTTTAAAATTGTTGTGTTTTTTTCGTTCTGTTTTATAAGTAGTAGTATGCAGAGCATACTGTTCGAAACGTTGAGTCCTCCGGTTCTTTTCAGAACCACACATACTCACAAAAGAGATTTATTCACATGGTGCTACCGCAAACTTATCTTGTTCAGTGGAGTTGTTATTTATCGCTGAATCACTTAATCCATCTATTGAGGTGCAAGACACAGTGGCGTAACCGGGGCTGCAGCCTAGAGTGGCAGATTGCTTCGGGCCTAGAGATTTTAAAGCGAAATCGGGACGCCGATAGGAGCACAAACGGGACGGCGAAATCATGAGGGGTGTCGTGAGGGGGTTGGGGGTGGAAAAGCAAAATAAAAAGGGAGGTGTGAAGTCATTTTACTTTTAATTTAATACACATTTATCAAAATGGGCGTCTGCAGGGGTGTCAATGGGGGCGGGGTGGGCAAATGTCCCCCTGCCCACCCTCGAAAAAAAAATGATAAATTGAGAATATGCTATATAGCGAGAGTACAAGAAAGTTTGGGGGAAATGTGCTTCCCCCCAAAAAAAAAAAATCTAGGACTCCACACTGACACGCGTCACTGATCATCCCGCATCCCCTGCTCCACCTAGGACTCCACACTGACATGCCTCACTCAACATCCGACATCCCCTGCTCCAGCTAGGACTCCGCATTACTGGACCAAGCCCAGTCTAATGTGGCTTTCGCGAACCTGGGTTCGTATTCATGAGCCCCCTACTATTGTACTAAGATAATGGCTATTTAATCAGTTGACGACCATAAATATGTTCGCACATACTAATAAAACAGGTGGGAGTGCAGTGGTTTGTCCTTGATAAACAGTCAGGCTATCCCCAATGTATGCTAGGACTCCACACTGACATGCCCCAATGATCATCCAGCATCCCCTGCACCAGCTAGGCCACCACAACACCTCTGCCATTCGGATAGCCCCGCCCCTCCCCCACCGAAAAATGATAGTCATAAAAGTTTGGTTTTTTTTTTTTTAAAGGGGCTCGATGAAGTATAATATCCAAACTGATTGGATATTTCCAAAGTGTCTCTCCTTTTTGGAAAAGTCCTTTTTGAAAGCCCCATCAAGCGAGATGACTACCGACGCGTCCCGAGGAGCATGTCACGTCTTGTGTCAGTCGGTTTGTCTGGCCCAAAAAATTGAACAATCGGCGCCGCATTTTTTGGCGTCGTATTTTTAATCTCTGGAAGGGATCTTTTTTGACCGATTTCATGAAAGACTTTCAGTGTAAGACTTCTTGCAACACGGCCAGAACTTATTGTGCACTCGCACTTGTTTTCGTCCGACCGACCCCACATACATGTCCTAGAGGCAAACAAAAATGAGAACCGAACCATAAAAAGGAATAATGTTATAGCGCCCTCAATACGTTGTTTACAACCACCAAGACAACTGACAGGCCTGTGACATGACGGGCATGACGGGTGGAGTGTCGCGAGAAAGTCTACAATTTAAACATCGAGAATGCTTTTCTAGGCCTATATGCCGATTCTTTTATCATTTAAACTGCATTAAACGGTTCTATTGTTCTCCATTTCTGCCCCAAAATACCATTGTATACTATTAGTTACTAAAAATCATATCCTCGATCGACAATGCCAAACGCAAAGGTGAGTGCGTAGGATCGCGCAGCCCAGGTTGGACGACGTCTTCATTGCACTTAGACCCGTGAACGTGGCTCGTTTCACCATGGAGGAATAAAAACACATGGTTTCACCTTGTAAACTACACGACGCCACGTTCACGGGTCTACATTGCACTATGACCGACGACTGACGCCCAGGATATAAAATCTAGTACCACCATAGCGACAAAAATTATAACACATTTTTTTCATATTTTTACCTGACGGAGGAAGCTGAAATTTCGCTTAGGCCTACATATTCCTTGTGTCCAGACTTGTGCCTGCGCTGGGTTTAGAAAAGGCAAATAAATATGTTTGCAGACGGCGTTTTTACCAAAAATAAACCGCAAGTTCTACGCTTTTGTTGAAATATTTTTAGTATGAACTCCCCACGTGAAGACGTACATGCGCGTGCCGTTTGCTGCCATGGCGGCAGCGTGTTAGGTGGCAAATGCGCATGCGTAATCTTCACACGGGGAGTTCGTACTAAAAATGTTTTCAACGAAAGCATGGAATTGCAGTTTATTTTCGGTAAACACACCGCCCGCGGACATATTTGCCTTTTCTAAACCCAGCGCAGGCACAATTCTGGATACAAGGAATATATGTAAGCGAAATTTCAGCTTCCTTTGTCAGGTAAAAATATGAAAAAAATGTGTTAAAATTTTGTTCGCTATGGCAGGAGAGATTCATACCCTGGACTCCCTGGCGTGTACACAATGGAGTCCAACCTTGGCTAAGGATTGCTTAGCTTCAAGTTCAAGGGGGTCTGACGAGTGATCATCATGGTGATTGACATGTTGAAACAGTAAGGGGCATAACATGTAGGCCTACAGCCTGAAATCCCTGAAAATTTCATATTTTGGATTGTTTTATAGTTTAATACTATAAAAAAAAAACCACAAAAAACACTGGTTGTTGACACACGGGCTGGCGGAAGGAATAGACACATCAAACATGGCGGACATGATTTTGTGGCATCATAATCTTGCACACGTATTTCAATTTAGAGTCAACTGTGTTTTTTATTACTCAATAATGACATTTTCAAAAAGCAGACTTCTCTCAATTTTTGAAATAATTAAATGATTACGAAACAACAATTTGTAAAAAAAATCTGCCTGGGGTGGAAGGAGGTCCCCCCCCTCAAGATACGCCACTTTCTTTACAAGGAGTAAACAATGAAACATTAGCCCCGGTTCGGAAAGGCGTTGAAGAGTCGTGCCCAACTAGAAATGAGACACAAAATCATGCAATACATGTGTAGGTATCCTAACAAACATGGCACACTAAACAATGAAGATAAAATTCTGTGTTAACGGGTAAACATTTCTTTGAAGTGGTCATATGAAGATCAGGATCTCAATATGACTACTTGAATTTTTATCTCATTCAATCTCACTCCCAACAACCACAAGTTGTCGGTCTCCAACGCTGTACCCGAAATATGGCATGTATGGGAGTTGTCGTTGAACTTCTGTTCAGTATGGATGCCACTGCTGAAATTTTTAATTTGATTAGTGTCTGCACTTATTTATCAGAGCATAGTTGAATCGGGAAGAAAGTAATGCACCAGACGCTACTTTCGAAACAGAAAAAAAGACAATTTCGTTTGCTTATCTTGTACCTCAGAGAGTATACTTTCACAAGAGAACTGTAAGGAATATGTTGACAAAATCTTTAAGAGAGATTTGTAGGCAAATGTGTGACCAACTTAATGAAGTTTTACATGCCACTGCATGTTGACGCCCTCAACCGACGTGTGACATGTACAAATACACTAAGTTGGCCACACATTCACCTACAAATCTCTCTTAAAAGACTTTATCAACATAAATTATTCCTTACAGTTCGCACATGAAAGAATAGGCCTACTCTCTGAGGAACAAGATAAGCAAAAAAAAAAACATTTTTGTTTTCTGTTTCGAAAGTAACATCAGGCTGCAACATTTTTTCCCTCGGTTCAACATGGTTCAGGCAACATTTTTTTGTCAGTGATGATTTCAGTTCTATTTGGTTCTCTGTTTACTTTCTGATTCAGGTATTCTCGCTTAATTTTTGAGCCAGTTTAAAATATGGAGCAGTATACGATTCTTGGACGGATAGGGGAAGGAGCTCATGGTATTGTCTTCAAAGCCAAGCATATTGAGGTACAGTACACACTTGTCCAACATTTTTTTATATGTAAAATGTCTTTCAACGCCATATTAACTGTTGCGTTGTCTTTTAGTTAATTTAGTTGAGAAAAAAAAAGTGGGGAAAAAGAAAACTCTTTGAGTCGTGTGAAAGTTTAACAGAAGTTTGGGATAGAACATAGTATCCTGATACTGTTTTCATCACACATGATCGAATGAGGCTATGTACACAACCTCCAAAGTGGTGTAATGGGAAACTACATCTAGTTTTATAGTAGACACTTGTATATTATAGCACTCTAATAATGTAAGGTAAAGTAAAGGTAAAGGGGATGAACCTGTGTTCACAGGAACAGAGTGCCCATCTCTCTTTGAAATTGATTGGGCTAGACTCGAGTCCATGAAATGCTGCTGTGGGGGATCGCCACCTCCTCCACAGCGAGGCTGTTACTTTCCCAGTATTGAATAATGCCGGTACCCATTTAACACCTGGGTTGAGAGGAGTTATTGAGGTAAAATGCCTTACTCAAGGGCACAACACGCTTGGCCACGGCGGGGCTCGAAACCACAATCTCACGATAATGAATCATATATATGCTCTATTATATAACCGACATACAGATCCTTGTCATTTGATTGGTGGAACTCACATCACGTGGCATTTGTTATTGCTCCCATTCATACCGCGGCTCAAAAAGTACTATCCGCCCATGGGGAATGGGAAATACTATTCAACAGTTAGGCTCATGACGCGGTATTTGTGTGCAAATGCATGCTGGTGTGCGCGTTCAGCGTAGCGCGTATTGTTCCACAGAGCCAGCGCTACAGCGTTGGGTTCAAACATTTTTGTGAAAGGGTGGTTTGGAAGAGAGACATACATTTTCCTCCAGTTTTGTATTGAAAAAAAAGTTCAAATATATCAAATGACAAGGATCTATATGTCAGTTATATAAAACAAATATTGAGTGGCTTTAAATTGTGAAATGGGAGGAATATTATCGCTCGGTAAAATCTGGACTTTTCCAGTTCACTCGGCTTCGCCTCGTGAAATAGAAAAGTCCAGATTTTACCTTGCGATAATATTTCTCCCATTCCACGCTGAGCCACTCAATATTTGTATACTGCCACTAGACCACACATGCCCTCTAATGTATCAGAGTAGAGTTTCAGGAACATGGCATTTGCACCAATTCATATGAAATAAACTACTTCAATTTAAAACACAGATGAAAAACATTCTGAGCAGGAAGATACATTTTACATTGTACAAATTGTAGAAAATGAATTTACACCAAATATGCCAAATCTGGCATCCGTGCTGATAAAGAGCTTTTTTGAATATTTCTGCTTCCATCTTTACAGTACGTTGATGAAATTGAAACTGAACCCTTCACTCACATAGTGACAAATAAGGCAAGTTTTATTTTTCCTTTTATTTGTCGTTTTTTTGGAATAGAGTGGCGAGATATGTGCACTGAAAAAAGTTCCATTACGGAGACTGGATGACGGAATACCAAACACTGCACTGAGGTAAGACACATCAATTATCTTTCACAATATAAGTTGAAGCTGTGTGATTGTCATGAAGACCTCTACAAATTTCATGCATTTTGTTTGTCAGCAAATTTGGCTGCCAATACGCACAATTGTTCACGCCTTATTGTTGGGAAACAAAGTTGACAAGATCCTGATGTTTTCTCGTTTAAAGGGAATATACATCATTTGCTTTTGCTGTAATTTTCAGAAATGGATGGAATTGGGGGGGGGGGTGGAAATATATAGCAAATATAGTTACACTGACTTTTTTGAGGTTTTGGGTTCAAAAATGCTATAAAAACCAAGAAAAACAATCATTTTCCTGTAGTCTGGTTCCCTGACTCCATATAAGAAGAAACAGAGCAGTTTACATACATTGGGGAATTGTAAGGTCAGGGAACCAGTCTAGCTGGCTTGTACCCGTTCATAGGTGTGTAATCGATTGCAAACAAGCGCGATGGTCAATTGGGGCCAGTATTTGAAAAAAAGCCAGTTTTTTCCAACGCTGATCGGCCGATCAGCGTTGGAAATTGATACAAAAATAGCACTTTTCTTGAAAACGACAGTATACCAGGTGCCATGATTTTACAGGATGCTTTACACTGTCATTCACTAACAGTCCAGCAAGGTATTTTAAAATGATTTGGTAGTTTTATTTTTTGATGTTTGCAAATGTTGTATTTTCCCTTTAATATAGCAGGTTTTTTTTTACTTTTGCCTCCTTTTAACGCCAGGGAAATTAAGGCTTTGCAAGAGATTGAGGAGAATCCATATGTAAGTATATAATTCATTTTCCTGTGTGAAATGTGCCAGATATTTTGCTCAAGTAACCAAGAAATAGAGAAAAAGATATTGACAGAGAAAAAGGTAATGAGAAAAGCCTGATTAATTTGAAATGCACGAGTGCTAGTTGGACTGCTTGACTTGCAAAGTTTTAAAATCTGAGTACTCCACTTTGAAACCACATATAAAGGCTGAGTGCATAATTACTCAAACCGTGACCAGTTTCGTGGAGCCGCTGAATGACGAGTCAAAATCTGTGGCAACTTAAGCAGAAGGTTAAAATCGCTAACCATAACTCTGGCAAATATCAGTGCAAAATGGTGCCAGTTGAGCCAGCGTCTTACATGTAGAACATTGTTTTCAATTCTAAGGCAAACCAATTCTGTACTCAAAAGAGTAGTGATTTGGTGTGCAGCTATAGATATACTGTTGCGTAACATTTTATAAACACCATAACAGCGTTTGTCTGGAGAAATGAGCAATGGATGTTTCCATTAGCAGATAAAACTGGTTTCCTAAAAGCACCTATAGGCAGTGTTGAAATCAGGTCATTTATTAGCCAATCACAAGTCATTCACAAGTCTATCGCAAGTCATTCGCTAGTCAAACACGTGTCTCCAGTGAAGCGAAAGGCTTTTTGTATTTAAATTTGAACAAAGATATTTCATTGTTATTATATATTCTGTTAACTCATGAAATGACTTGTAATTTTACTTGTGACTGACTTAATTGTGATTAACTTATGATTGGTTCTTGTGACTGATATGTGCCTTAGGCCTCATCCGAAGTACTTGGCTATATGGCTGGAAATAACACACACGCCTGTGGATGCGGCTGCCTTAGCCAAGTAATTAGAATGCTGTCTTGCTGTGATTTACTTGTGACTGACTTGTTATTGACCTACTTACAACTCTGATCAACTTCTTACAAGACTTGTGTTTTGTACATAACTATTTTGCCCCGCATTTTGTTAGGTCGTCAAGTTGAGGGAAGTGTTTCCCCATGGCACGGGCTTCGTGCTAGTCTTTGAGTTCATGCTGTCGGACCTCTCGGAGGTGGTCCGCAACTCTGAGCAGCCGCTGACAGAAGCCCAGGTCAAGAGCTATATGATGATGCTGCTCAAGGGCATCGCTTACTGCCATGAAAACTCCATCATGCACAGGGTGAGCTCACTACCCATCAAAGTTAACTTCTCTGGCCAATTAGAACGTTCACATTGACTAGTTAAGATCACAGATTTTTAGTCAGATGGCTTAAAGGCATTTGCTGTCAGCTTGGTCAAAATTGGTTACATGCCTTGTTGACTTTTGACATGGCATATTTGCGACAATACAGTTGTTCTTGGGAAAAAATCGATGCTGTGATCGAGTACTTTTGTCCGAGTATCAAATACTGCCCAGTACCAAGGTATTGAGTACCACTCAAATCCGGGTGCACTGACCTTTGGGAACAAGTACATAACCAATCCAAGTAATTGGACACTAGAGTACAAGTTCTCTGGAGCCGAGTCTGAGTACCTAGACCTCTGAGTACAAGGACGAGTACTTGGACCTCCAAGTGTGAGATGCCGGTCACTATACATGTCAGCCATTCCATGGTGACTCACGTGACATTTGAACAAAGTGTAAAGTTTTAATGCATTACTGTTGTTAACCTGGCATTTATTCAACTCAAATTAGCATGTATTTGAGTCGGGGCATTGTGAATTTATGGTTTAGTCTTTATATGATTACTTTAAAATCGCTATTTTTTCATGTATTACAGTTTCTTTGACGTGACTTGCGTGACAGGATAGAAAAAGGGATTTTTGACATCCCTTGACTCAAATAGCTTTTCCTATGGATCTACCAGTGTTCTAAAAATTATTCTTACTGAACTTAGAACTTAATACCCTCACCCAATACATGCATAAGTTGTATTGTGCCAAATATCCCTTGTTGTAAGAAATGGCCTGAAGAAAATGTGACTCGCGTGACACAAATGCGTGACTCGCGTGACACAGTAGCTTTTCACTTTCACATTATATCTGTAATTTTAGTATAACAAATCAAATCATAATATTATATTAATAAAAATGATTTACCTGTGAATACCTAATGAAGAGTGTGAAAACTGCTATTTATCCCTTTACTTTGGCAAATGTTGGGGGTGGAAATCTGGTTTAAACACAATATCCTTAACAATGACATAGAGATAAAAAAAAATGTTTTGGAATTTAAGTTACGAAGTGATGTCATCAATCCACGGGTGATTATTTCAGGAAAACAGTTGTAATTCTTGGTCATGTAGAGTCACAGTTTCCTTAAATGGTAAGATCGAGCTGCAATTAATGATGCAGAAAAACTTTGTATCGGAATGTATACAGTACAGTCGACTCTCGTTAGTACAAACTCTGTTAATACAAAATTCTGGTTATAACAAACATATAAAGCCTTAGTCCCGACTGTGCATTTATGTGCACAATGAATGGGACTGATGTTCCTCTTAATACAAAATTCAGATAAAACAAACAATTTGGCTAGGTCCGAACGAGTTTGTATTAACGAGACTCGGTTGTATATACATTTGTAAAAAACTGATTCAATTTCTTGTTACATAACTAATGCTTTTAAAGACTTAATTCGAATTCTGTAATTTAATAGGGCCTATGGCATTGTTTCTTTGTATTACATGTAAATGAAACATTCCTGGCTTGTGACCAGGCGCGGATCCAGAGGGGGGGGGGGGGTTTTGGGGGTCAAACCCCCCCCCCCCCCAGCTCTGTCCAAAAAAAAATTCTCATACAAATTCCTGAAGAATAAGTCGAACCCCCCACCCCACCCCCGCTGTGACACCACCAAAAACATTATACTGGTCTAATGTCCGCCTGTTCAAAATACGGTACACCATTCTGTAATGTGTTAATAATTTTTCGTCGAATTTGAACAGCGCCCCCGATTGAAATTGGTCCAACATCCCCCCCCCCCCCCCCCCCCCAGTTTTTTATTTTACGGAGGCCAAGTGTTCGGAGAAAAAAACGTTGGTACATTTTCAGAGTTTTTGGATGATGAAACCCCCCCCCCCCCCTGCGAAAATTCCTTGATCCACCCCTGGTGACTCGCATGACATACATCATGTGTGACTCGCGTGACATTCTTGAGATAGTTTTTTCTACAAGGAATGTAGAGCAAATAAGAATATTCATAATTTTATTGATAGACCACCACTATTTCATTTACAAATATCAATTACTAGCTGAATCCCTCTCTAGTTATTAAGTAATCTGAAAAAAGGTCCTTTTTTTGTGACTCGCGTGACATATTTTTGAGGGTGTTTTCACGATGAAATAGTGGGAAAATACTGAAGACATTTGGAAAAATTCTCAATGTTTTATCAAATAGACTGGAATAGCTACCAAATGTATGCAGATAAAGCACAATCTTATGAATGAGCTTCAATTACTTCTTCAGTTTGTGATTTATACCCCTGACCCTCCGTTTCGCCCACAAAATTCATCTATGTTCAGGAGGCTGAAATTTTAATTCAAATGATTTATTTTAAAAAATCTTTTGAGATTTAGATGGTTTCAATATTCCTCTTATCAAATATAACTGACAAAAATTTATTCCTTTCACTTCAATTTTTGAGTTTGGTGATGACCCTTACATGGAATGGCTGACGTACACATTGTACATGTACATGCAAAATATGTAGTCTGTGCAAAGTCCAACATAATGGAAATTGATCCTATACACAGCCCAGTCCCATGTAAACAGTACCGATAAAATGGAGCATGTGTGTCTCCAAGTGAAATTAGTTCATTTCATTCAAAACTAAATTATTTGATTTTCTTCCTGAGTCCTTATGATCAAGTATAATAATGAATAGTCGAGTCCAAGTACTTCGCTTCTCAAATATAAGTACTGTGAATCAGTATTTTATTTCCTTCTTTGATTATGATTCTTTGATTATGATATTTCTTTAATATTTTTCTTTTATAGCTCCGTCATCAAGACCAGCACAGTAAATAATTTCACTCATAAATAATTTCACTCATAAATATTGCCTGTTAATAATTGTGGCTGTTTCTTGTGATGCAGGACCTGAAGCCAGCTAATCTGCTAATCAGTGAGACAGGACACCTGAAGATTGCAGACTTTGGCCTTGCGAGGGTCTTCAGTAACGAAGAGGGTAGACAGTACAGCCACCAGGTGGCAACAAGGTACACGCAAAATGCTCACTGCACACAGTACCGACAAGGGCCTGTGTTTAATGGAAGGATAGTTGCACATTCATGTACTCCGTGCACATATACCCCTGAACATTATGCTGTCACTGCGTGCAGATTTAAACACAGCCATCTCTTTATCCGCAATTTGTGCACACATATTCAGAGCATTCCGCTCGCATTCTTAAAGACAAGGGCTGAGCACGTTTTGGTCGAAGGAGCCCTAAGTGCGTGCGTATTTCGTGAGTACAACTCGCGCAAGCCTGACGCCATTCAGAAAATGGCTGTTGCGGGATTAGTCTACATGAGTTGCTTGACTCGTATGGCAATAAATAAATTTGTTTTGTAAACCTGTGGCTGATATTTTTTGTTTTCGTAGGTGGTACAGAGCCCCTGAACTGCTGTATGGAGCAAGGAAATATGATGAAGGGGTTGACCTCTGGTAAGTTGGAGCAAGCTGTATGAAGTGTGAAAGAAACATCTATACTCTCATACTTTTCTTTGTTAGTTTTTGAGCCCAACCCCATCACCTCTTGAGCCCTACCCACAAGAGACTCTGTTGCGAGCTATGAAGAATGGATAAAGTTTCACTGTGAGATTTTAGCATGCAACAGTGCGTATGTTATCGCAGAGTTGTTGGTTGTAATCAAGTTGCTACAAGTTACCACAAGCCATCACAGTTTGGTAGGACTGGACCTGGCATCATCCTTAGCACCACTTTCTGTTAGACGTCCTGTTGCTTCTCTTATCCTGTTCTATAGATACTATCATGGTATGTGCTCAGAAGGTCTGTCACTTGTTGACCCTTCTATTCACACCTTCACTCGCAGCACACGTTGTGCAATCTCCTCTCATCCTTCACTGTATTTGTTCAAAAGGCCAGTACTGTGAGATAGTCTTCTAGCTTAATATTCCTCATACTGCTGAACTCCTTACCAGAATCCTGTTTTCTACCAACTTTTAATGTATCCCTGTTCAAAGGAAATGCGAAAATTTCTGTTCTCTCTTTGTAACTTTTTTCTCTATACTTTCCTGTGTAGCCCGCATGCTGAGTGGCCCTCTGGCCTTGTGATGGGCGATTACCACTAAAACAAAAAAAATCGCAAATCATGCAGTCTCAAGTGATTTCACAAGCTACTCATATGAACTGTACCAAAAGCATTCCATTGTCATTGTTCATTCCCTGTTACTCGATGATTGACTTGTGACCTGCCTTATGATTGACCCACTTACGACTCAGTGAGTGTTGCAGTGTTTGACAAAGTATAGAGCTTTCACATTGACATGTTGTTGTAACTACAGGGCAGTGGGCTGCATCTTTGGGGAGCTTCTGAACAACTCTCCTCTGTTTCCTGGGGAGAATGACATTGAGCAGCTGTGCTGTGTGCTGCGCGTGTTAGGAACACCCAGCGAGAACACATGGCCTGTAAGTATACTGGTATATATGTATTCAGACTGGTATTGCTGTTCCCTCCCCCCCCCCCCCCCAAAAAAAACCTCCCCTTCCATCCCCCAAAACGAACATCTTAAAAGTTGTATCTGTTTGTACCTCCGCAACCATGCAAAAGTGGAGCTTCTTGGATGGTCACAGACCTATTGAATAGTCTCATGCTTCTACAACCACCACCACACTGTGGAACAAGCTTCGATTGCACTTGTTTGTGCGTTTATAAATCATGATGCATGATTTCTGTCAGGATTGTATATTTTCAAATCAGAAGCAAATCCAAAAGTGATTGATCAAGCGATTAAAAAACAACCCAACTGTTAAGCTGAAGCTCCAAAGCTGTGTGCATCCACACAATTAGCCATCTATAAACAGTGCCTAAAACTAATTTATACCCTCGGGTAGAAGGTTGGAACCCCCTCCCCCCCCAAAAAAAAAAAAAAACACAACAAAACACAAACCCCTCACCCCACCCCAATCTATTCTAAAAATTCTGGATCTATTCCTGTATGCTAGGGAGTGAGGCCTACTGGGCTTAGTGGTTGTAGGATCATGGGTTTGGTTCCAGCTGCTCATCATACATGTATGTTGTGTCCTTGGGCAAGCCACTTCACCCCCACTTGCCTCTCTCCTACCAGGAGTATAAATGCATGGTTCTGGCATTAGACGGAAAGTAACCTGCGATGGACTAGCATCCCATCCAGTGGGAATAGAAATATTCTCAGTCATTTCAGGCCACTGAAACCGGAGATAAACGCCGGCCTGATTGGCTGTATTGACTCGTGACAGACTTTCATTGTTCAATGCTAGGAAGGCTGCACAAGAATTGTCCCCCCCCCCCCCCTCCCCAGGATTCAAGGCAGATTTCAAATACACATATGCTTAGATAATGCATTGTACTAAATCATCTTTTTCTCTATAACTTGAAGGGAATGGAGCAATTACCAGACTACAACAAGATCACATTCCCGGAGAATCCTCCCATACCGTTTGAAGAAGTGGTTCCAGATGCATCGCCAGAGGTGCGTATTTCCTATTACAAATGTATGGATTTAAAAACCCATATTTTTCCGTATGGGTGATTCTAAATTGGTTACATTCCCCATGCAGCTTTCATTTGTTGTTAAGTGAAAATGTATCAACTTTTCAACATGTTCAGCTCATCAAAATAGTTCATATTTAAAAATGTTCTACCTCAATTTGAACTCTACTTCAATTTGAACTGCATGGCCATCTAGAGGAAGTAAACTGGACACATACTTGTACAGGTAGTATACTTGGATGTGCAACTTTTCCTCAGATCATTTGATTTCTTAGTTTTTCACTTCCCATTGATGCCATTAAAATTAGAAAAGCACTTTATAAAGTAAGGTAAAGCTTGGAATTTCCACTTTTTGGGTACTTTCCAGTTGTATTCTTGTATAATGGTTCTGCTACTTATATAAACAGGATTTAAATGTTTGGGAACACTTTAAGAAAATCTTTAAAGCTGTGTTAGTCTCGTGTGCCGTGGTACATGGGTTCGAATCCTGACAGGGAACATGGTGCTTGTGCTCTTGAGCAAGGCACTTTACCATTATTGCTTCGTCCTTCGGATGGAACCTAAAGCCGTAGGTCCCGTGTGTTGTGTAATACACGTTAAAGAACCCAGTAACACTCATCGCTGAGAGAAGGGGTTTGCCCCGGTGTTTCTGGCAGTGGCTGCTTAATGCGTCACAGCACCTTGTAAACCCTTATAAAGGTGCTATGTAATGGGTCTCATATTTCTAATTAACTTCATTTACCTGTCTTTAAAAATAGACACAATTTCAAGCGCCTTGAGTAACAAATTGTTCGTAGATACGTGCGCTATATAAGACTCCAGTATTATATTATTATTATTCCTCCTAGTGATTGATTCTGAAAAAACACCACATGAAATTTTGATGAAATAATAGTGGAATCCGTGCAAACATGGTCATATCTCCTAAAATGGGCCGTACGTGAAACATGACTTTCATAATTTCAAAAGGTTGTATCTCACTTAAAATGACCCGGATGTTCACACAAAGGAGTGGACGTAGAGATATGACCTTGTTGCACGGAGCGTATTCGTGCGAGATACGACTTTGTTGCACGGAGCGTATTCGTGCGAGATACGACTTTGTTGCAGAATGGAGTTACGACCTTGTTGCACTGACGCGATAATATCTACTTGCTTACAAGACTTTGGATGATTTCTTTTTAATGATGCAGGCCCTGGACTTGTTAAAGAAGTTTCTTGTGTATCCCTCCAAGCAGAGAATATCAGCAGCTGAGGTATGCAGGCAGTTAAAGTTAGCGAGTTTCTTGAGAAAAAAAATTACACTTTTTGATAATGACAACAAATATGTCATTGAAGTGCCCTCACTTAAGTTAAAGGCTGAAAGAAATCAAAAGGAGCAAAAGAATCTACAAATGGTTCTAAAACACGATTTGTTCACATTTCTTGACATCAGGCTGACAACCTACATGTACATGTATGTGTTCTTGTTCGAGACCCAAAACATTGTGCTTTTTTTGTTTTTCTCCAATTGTAAAAAAGCTACATGTTCAACAGGTTTATTGTCATGCACTGTATTTAACATTTTTAGGAATGGTGTTGCTTCAAACAAAAAAAACGCACATGAACAAATGATCCTATATATAATGTACCTTTAAACAAAATGTTCACAATTTGACTGCTGAACCACCACTTTGTACATAAACCCAACAGAGCAGACATAGCAACACTAAGAGTGAAGGAAGATCCAGGTTTAATGACTTCAGATAATGCTCCATCTTTTTGTTACCCCCCTTCAGGCCCTCCTGCATCCCTATTTCTTCACCGAACCCCTGCTGGCCCACCACTCCGAGCTGCCCATTCCCAAGCATGGCAAGAAAGTCCGGCACCGCGGCCAGAACCCCAAAGAGTATGACATCGATGTGCCCTTAGAGCAGTCGCTGGTGGACCCTGACCTACTAGCCCAGTTTGTCTGATGATTCTTGGGAAATTTAAAAAAAAAAAGCCTAGGAATGAATTTTCTGTGTTCCTGACAGGTCTAGTCTGAGTATCACCCGTTATCCTTAGAGGCCCAGTCGCCTGTCCAATGTCTGATATATCTAAGGATGCAGATTTACACGATCCCGCGCCTCAGCCAATCAGAGTCGACTTTACTAAATCATGCTTCATTTCATTCCCAAATTAGGACTAAATGTTTAATTGGTCAATTCGAATGCAGTGTTTTGTAATACAACAAAGGCCGGGTACGCATGGGAGTAAATTCAAATTCATTATAGTGAGAGTGTACATGTAGTTGAATTTTCCCCGTCTGTATCAAAATAAGCTGGTCCAAGCCCAGTTTGGCCTAAGGAGTCTAGGTTGCGAGTCAGATTTTTAGGAGTTTTTGTTTTTGAGTGTAGTATTTATTGCAGAGTCACTGTGTGCCCGGTATGACTAAAAAGGTTTGCGGTCTATAATATGTAGGCCCCACCTGTGAGTCACATTGAGTGCCGCCTTATATGATTCAGTTGCTGAGAGACGACGGTACGTTCAGGCACATGGCTTGTCATAGCCTAGCGGTAGAAGCACCGCACCGGACTCGTGCTTTGGTGTTTCAGAGGCAGCAAAATGTGGGTTCGAGCCCGGGTTTGGACACTTTTGCCCTTTAAAGCAAGGCACCATTATTGTTTCGTCCTTCAGATGGGACATAAAACCGTAGGTCCTGTGTGTTGTGTAAATGCAATGCATGTAAAAGAACCCAGTGACATTTATTGCTGAGAGAAGGGGTTTGCCCCGGTGTTTCTGGCCTCCTGTTCAAACTTCCCTGTGGAGTATTTGGGAGAAGAACCAACCAAGTACCAAGTAAAAAAGCCGACACAGTTACCCAAGCCAGATATTCAGGGGGGGGGGGGGGCTTTCGGGTCTGGTCGGTTGGGGTCTGATGGGTTTTCCTTGAATTTTTTGTCAGGTCAGGTCAGTTTTAGGGAGTTCAGATCAGTTTCGGTTCGGATTATACCTATGTTTCGGGTCGGTTTGGCCTGGTCAACTTTTTCAACTTTTTTAACAGCATTGCCATGGCCATTTGTAAATATTTGTGTATATTTCCAAGTACTTTCTAATCATACAGTAGCTTCTTCATCCGTTGTGCCATTCAGTGACTTGCATCCATTTATCAATACACTTTGGTCTAAAGATTTATACCTGAAGTTTTACACCAACTGCAAGTGCTCTTATCAAGCGATGGGAGAGGCGCTTGGTGGCAGCAAATATGTGGGTCCTTTGTTTGCGTCCTGTTCGCATATTTTTTTCTGGAGCATATGTTAACCAATCACACCACGCACCCTCACATGAATATTTATCCTTCTGTGTGGATGGAAGACACTTAGTTTCTCGTAGTGTTTTCCCTTCAATCAAACCTATCCCAACCAACAAAAGTATTTGATGAAAATGGGCAGCGGCTCGAACCACAGATCTTGCGATCCATGGTTCATTCCACTATCCGCTAGGCCACTATGGCATCTCGACGAAAGCCGTTCTTTGAAATGCTTCAATGTACATGCATGACTGGGTAATAGCAGTGGTGCGACATCATTGTTATTTTCTTACGAATAAACATTGAACTAGCTGAATAATCATGATCCATTGACAATGTGTGCTGCAAATAAAAAAACCACGTCCTGTTCAAGCTAATGTGCCCATGTTCAGAATGACGCAAACAAAAGGACCGGTGTGTTCGCTGTCACCAAGTATCTCCAAAGTTTCCCATTCTACCATGTGGCCTTATTGCATAAAACTTTCAAGTGCACAATCAATCAAACGCGGTTGAGCACTGACAAAGCCTGATATTAACAAGTATATACGCATGTGTAAATATATGTAATACAAGCAACACAATTCCTTTTTCCCATCATTAGTTTATTAGAGAAGTGCAGCAAAATAGAAAAAATAAGTTTGTAAACATAATAAACTAACTACGGTCTTTGAACTTGTGGTCGTTTGGTTTTTCCATTATTCCAACACTTTATACAAACATGAGCATACATCTGCACCAATTGGCAACAATTCTGCAACATGCAATGGAATCCCTTATGAAGGTACACTATCAGGATCTAAAAATGTTATGACACAAAATGAGGCTTCGGAACATAGTTTATGGGAACAGTTTTACCAAACACCACTGGCACATATGCCACTTTATATTGCTGTTATTTATACAATTCTAGAAACATACGGCTACAGAGAATGTCCATTATGCTGGCATCAGAATGTGACAACATACAAGATTGAGTGACTTCCACATTCAAGATACAATGTACGTGTATATATTCTTATAGAATAAATTTTCTTTGGTTTCCAAACCAGTAATTGTTACTTTATTTATTATCTTCAAGCAAATTTGATTCCGAAAAGAATGTTGCATCCTGACGCCACTTTTTTTCATCATATATTATCTCAGTGAAAGTCCGTCATTGCAAAACTGTTGAACAAAAACCACGAATTTGGGACTGAGAAACATTTCCAATTTTGTTAGGAAAAATACATTCCTGACTCTCCATAGACTTTGAACACAGCTGCTGAAGTGGCGCCTGGATACAACATTCTTTCCTTGAATCCTTAATCCTGATTGGTCAATCCATATACAGTCGAGTCTCGTTAATACAAACTCGTTCGGACCTAGCCAAATTGTTTGTTATATCAGAATTTTGTACTAAGAGGAACATCAGTCCCATTCATTGTGCACATAAATGCACAGTCGGGACTAAGGCTTTATGTTTGTTATAACCAGAATTTTGTATTAACAGAGTTTGTACAAACGAGATTCGACTGTACCACAGTCCATACCACACTCTGCATATCCCGCTATTCCAAGATGCGCACGCCATTCCTGCTGCATGCATGTGTAATAGGAGAACCGCTGAAAAGTTTGTGCTCGTTCCAACTTTAATACTGTGCATCAAGTTTGCTTGAAGATAAATTTGTTATCCCACTTGCACTTGGGGAACGTGAAAAATGTAGACAACCTGAAGTGCATCTGCGTCCCATATATATCACTCGGCCTCGTGGGACACGGACGCACTACAATATTCCGTGTTCCACTCGCGCTCAAGGCATTACTATTAAGAGACTTTTACTGTCCAGAGTCAGTTCTGCACATATCATGTCTATGCCGACTGTACCAAAATGTTTATTCAACAGGCTGATGAACTGAATTGTCAGCTTGCAAATATACATTTACAATACTTTGTTATGTACAATTGATGGCGATTAGAAATATACAAATTTAGTCATGTTTACATACATCGTACATGGTCAATTAGAGAAATACATGTAAGAAGTGTTCTTACATGATGTAAATCTGTGTACATTGTACCAATGTATGTATTTCTACCAGCAAATGATGAGCTTTTGATACAAAAATAAAATACATTTTCAGAGGTGAATTTCTTTTTTTTTCTTTTTTAGGGGTGGGGGTGGTTTAGAATTACCAAAGCTGTTCATTGATTTTCAAGCTTGCATCCACCCCAGCATACAGCTTTTGTTTGACTAATATTAATAAATATACGGAAGTCCAACAAATTACAACCAAACTGACCTCAAGACTCATTTTATGGGTTCCGGTCGCATTTCAGGTTTGAAATTGTCTTAGATGAATTCTTGCAAAGGAGGACATTCAATCAGACTCTAGCATGTCATAATTTGAAGCTTAGAGACTGATGAAGTATAAACGAAACCACATCTTATTTGTTAATCAAATTAGAAAAAAATAACCTGGTCACTACAAAAAAATCAAAACGATTATAAATTCCTCTTTTGGGCAATTCCGTTAATTCGGACATACCGTACCTCTCAGACACTTTTAATGAGCTGCTGTTGGAAAAAATGAATGTGATACATCACTAATATTGTGACATCTATATGTAATGAGTAGAAATCAATTACAGACCAATCTAAGGTACATGTACATGTACCGCCACCTTAACGACCTTGTACAACGCGTGGTCGGATGTACGCAGAGAATTGGATTTTACGGAATTGCCCTTTTTGTAACAATAGAGAATCACACACTTCACGTCTTGTAACAAAAAAAAAAGAACTGCAAAGGAAGAAAGTAACTTGGTTACACAAACATTTCAGAAACTGCAAATACAGGCACAGTGTGAATCTCAGTGAGAATGCTTAGAGAACGGCAACAGCCAAACACTGTCAGCCACCCTCGTGAAGCAATAGGGCCCATCCACTAAGCACTGCCATGATTCAAGTCTGACATGCATGCATATGCGTGTGTCGTTGCCCACATGCGCACTTTGAGGCTTTTTGGATCGGTCTATACTGGTCATATGTACAAAAATAATCTAATCAACCTAAGACCGTACGCAATTAACCTCATCTTGTTGACGGAGACTGTTCAATGTCCATTAATTAATGCACTAGCCAACATGGAAATCTTTTGGCTTTGACTTTAGTGAAATCATGAATGCATACATACTGTACATGTGTACAAAAAACATACATTTTTGTACATTTACACTGTTGTACAATGTACATGTACATTTACAGATGTAAACAGCATTAACTTAATGCTGGCATAAATACGAATCTAGTTTTGGAAGCTATTAAAATTTTCCAGTCGAATTGACAAAGGTACATTTTATACATGCCCCAGTTTCATCTTACATTGTACCGGTAACTCATTTCAGACCTCAAGTGCCAAATTTAAAATTGATTGTCTCATCCACTCAGTCAACGTTTTTAAAATGCCCAACGACGCTTAATTTTGTCTTTGCTAATACAGAATAAGAACCAATGTTTCGGCTAAAAACTCCAGCGGGCACCACCTTACACCAATATATTGGCTGACTGTACACAAAACAACTACATGCATAACTGTTACGCCCCAAGTAAAGCAACAGACACAACTCTAGTTAGGACGATCCCAACTACATGTGGGCAATTCCACGGCTACTCACGTTACATTTTTGATGTACTTTTGAGTTTCCTCTGGGCTGTAATTACTTTACTAAAATCGTTTAATAAGTGTTATCCCCATGGTAGATAGAGTAGACCTAGACCTACGTAAGCACCAAAGATGACATCCAGAAAAATGTGTTATGTACATGTATGACATATACATGTATGATAAACAAGACGCACAAAATCGGTTACTCACGTTGCATTTTGTGCGTCTTGTTTATCATACATAACACATTTTTCTGGATGTCATCCTTGGTGGTTAGGTAGGTCTAGGTCTACTCTATATACCATGGGGATATCATCACATTTTCAGGTAAGGTAATTACAGCCCAAGGAAACTCAAAAGTACATCAAAAATGTAACGTGAGTAACCGTGGAATTACCCATGTGTAATCGACATCATCCCAACTTTTTATATACACTTGTAGTTGTACCCGGGTAGTTGGGACAATGTTATTATCGGGTGCAACATACCGGCAAATGTAGATACATGTACACATACACGCATACATAGTGCATACTATACTAAAACCAAAACCCATATGATTAAATGATAAACCAATTTAATAAACAAATTTATTAAACAAATTCAATAAACAAATTTACAAAAAAGTTGTAATATGCAGTCCTTCTGATTTGAGGCGCGCGATCGCACCCCCACACCATCACATGCCTTAAAGCTTCACGAGAAGTGTGAATAAATAGAATCCCTCTGTACCGCACACCTCGGCATACATTTACAACATACTTCTGTGAGCTCTTGAAATGGCTTTACCGTAATATTATTTTTAAAAATATACCAGATTGTTCAGTCCCTGTTTGGACCACAGAATCACACGCCTACAAAAACACACGCCTACAAAAATCACACGCCTAAAAAAATCACACTTCTAGAAAAATCACACGCCTACAAAAATCACACGCCTAGAAAAATCACACACCTAGATAAATCCAGGTGTGTCTTTTTCCACATTGCTGTGATTTTCAAATCAGAAGGACTGCATATGGTAGAACATCATTACAACACCACTATACAAAACATTGGATGAAAAAAAATATTATAACCATAGGCTCCCAAATGTACAGTACTCGTCATACTGAACATCCACTGAACCAAATAGCCTTCCGGTACCTTTTAAGAAATATAATAATTACAATAGTTTGGGAGGCTAATCATCCTTACTCGCAGCTGAGAAGCTGAATTGCGAAGGACGCAGCTACAACGTAGTCGAGCCGCTGGCATGTAAAGGTGCATTTGGCAGCCAGCCACATCGACCCATATATGATCACGGAGCACAGCCTGAGATCGAAAGTGTTTAATTTTTCCGGAGGGAGGAAAACCGGAGGGCCCGGAGAAAAACCCTCGTGGCACAAAAGAGAACCAACGCTCCGCTCAACTCTACTCACGTCCGCAGCCAGGAATCAAACCAGGGCCACAGTGGTGAGAGGCGAGTACCTTACGCACTAGCCACCCATGAAACATTAGTTTTTTTAATAATATTATTATTATTAAACAGGCTCTCTATTATCTATTCCATAGATTATGGCGCTTAATGGCAACAATCATCAACGATAAAGGGAAGAAGCCAAATACTTATATAGTGAATTGATGTGTTTTGAGCTGCTTTTTGAATGACAAAACAGCGTCCAGTGGTTTGAAACGTATAGTGATAGTTATAATGGTGTTTACTGCATCAAGTATTTAAACCAAACAATACAGGACATCATTTGCCTACTGAGCAATATAAAAGCAAGCACTACTAACTAACAACCTGGGCCTAATTCCATAACGCTGCTTAGCTGATGATTTTCTGCTAACAGAGCCTCCATCTATTTCATACAGACGTCGAATGAAGTGCATACACGCAAAGGTTTTGCGCTATTCGAACGGAAGAAGGATAAACACGCAACTAGCGAGACCGGAAATATCTGTCTGTGACCCGCTGGCAGCGAGCAATGCCTGAAATATCAGGGTGTGCTACCCGCACATGACAGACTAAACCGATCTGGCATCGAGGTTCGTGGAAACCAGTCCCGTGTCTGGGTCCGGTCAATGTCAAAATAATCAGGGCTGGATCTGTTTAAAGCAGTTAGCACAGCAAAAGCGCGCTTAACCCTGAAGTTGCTTACATCAGTGACGTAACAATCAGTGTTGGCACACACATGCCATGTGTGTGTACTTAAGCAGCAGCATGATTTTCTGCTACAGTAAGCACAACTTTTCTGCTAGCTGTTAAGCAGCGCAATGAAACTGGTCCCAAGCTATCAGAGGGTGAAATTAAAGTCGAACATCGGACATTTTTTAAACGGTTTATCGTTATGTTTGTCTGACCAAAAATGAATAAGCTCAGTCAAATTTCATGCCCCTAACTAAATTCTATACTTTTGTCCGAGCAGTCTTTCGCTTATGATTTCACCCTCTGCATTATCTGATTTCATTACTACAATTAGCTACTTCTCATTTACCCGACCCCCCATTCGCCGGCTGCTCTGGACTCGGGGCCTTCTCTGGGGGCTTGGGCCGACCGTACAGAAAGATGGCTGAAATGACCAGTCCCGCACCGAGACAGAACTGAAGGTTAACCTGGAAATGGAACAAGTAGACTGCGGCCACCGTGGAGATTATGATACTGACCGAGGTGGCAAAGCCCTTGAGGATGTTGTCCGCATACTTGACCACCACGGCTATGGTCAGACCGCCGAAGGCCTGTAAACCGATGACTGCCCACACGAAGGGGGTGTAAGCATAGAACATGCCCTTCTCTGAGATGCCCTGTCCGTCCTTCATTATCATCCCAACCAAGCCGATCAAGGTGCCAAAGAGACCCAGCTGGATGTTGCGCACCCAGATGGAGGTCTTGGAGCCCTTCAGGATCTTCTCAAAGTAGACCCCGGCAAAGCCCGAGAAGCAGCAGGCGACGATGACGGCCAGCAGGCCGTGGATGTAGTTCTGCTCGGTGTGGGATACCTCGGCAGCTCTCTTGGCAGGGTCCGAGGGTTGGATCTGGATAATGGCCACGCCCGCAAAGAGGAGAATCAGAGCCACCCACTGGGATGCTGACAGGCTCCTGCGCAGCATGACTACCATGCACAGAGCTGTGGTCAGGATCTTAAGCTGATAGGTCACCTATGTAGGTCAAGGAGACAATTAGATATCACAAAGATGGTTATGGTACTAATAATGATAACAGCATTATTTTGTAATCAATTTAACACCTCTAATAAGAACCACTGATAAACGTATGCACATCTCATAACAGCACATGACTTCAATTAGAAACCATTTAACTCTCTCACTGATCATTCACTGACAGAAATTCAATCCATTGCCCATTCGATAACTTTTCACACAGGCAAGTCACCAACGGTCAGATCATATTTCATGTACAATGGAGGAACCCTGACTAGTTAAATTCAATCAACAGACAAAAGCAACTAACTGGTAAGAACAGCTGGTTTATCAATCTCCTCTAGTCAAAGCAAAGCTTTATCAAGTTACAACTGGAGTCAATCCTGCTTCATGTAGGAAGGGAGCACTCAACTGTTAAAAGCAGTCAATCAATTGATTTTGACTTTGCTGAATTTGCCTGCCAAAGGCGGAGGGTTAAAAGAGAGGTACCACAATCAAGTGACACAGTACACATCCGGTACATGTACATCTTCCATGTACAAAGTACACACAGTCGTGTTTTACTAAACTCTTGGGGACAATGAATTGTGTTTCCCTTTGTCCCTGTAATATAACACTAAGACTAAGCACATAACTGTACGATCAAGGACCGTTTTCAACAGAAGACGCAACGCCCAAGTTCAGGACACAAAGGATCTGTTGTTCTCCCTTTGTCTGTCGGACCTCTGGGTGTATGTACCGGAAGTACATGTATCGGTACATGTACACATATTTGTAACTTGTCATGAAAATGCATGCGACTCAAAAAGTAAAGAATCAATTTGCTGTGCAGACGATTGTGGTGCCACTCAGTATTGCATTTATTTGACGATGAGTCTATTTTGTTAAAAAAATTATGGACAGCAAGTTACTTTGAAAGTACCAGCACATGTATCACCAACAAATGGTGGATATTTTTAGGCTCCTTCGTCCAACCCTGTGTAAACAAGTTTACTGAGGTTCTGAACATATTAACTTTACTACAAGTCCACACACCGTAAAATAGAATTAGCAGACATACCTGAAACGTTGCCGTACTAAGGTTGGAGACCCCTATGAACATCAGGTTGTTCTGCACCGTGTAGATGAAAGCAGGGACGGCCACCTTGAGAGTGTCGACAGGCTGGAGCACAATGGTGTTCCACAGGAGCTTGCCCAGCTCCACAAAGTTGCCCTTGTGTTGGTAGAGTAAAATGAAGACGCATGTGGTCATCTTGACAAACTCCGTCACGCAGACCGCCGTGGTGGAGAAGTACATGGCGCCGGGCTGGTTGCGCGTGTAGCGCATGGTGAGGATGAGGGAGGCATTCTGAAGAACCAGCAGGAACAGGCTGACATATTTCAGATTCAGGTGGGTAGCCGCGCCTGAGGAACAAAACCAAAATTTGCATAAGTCCAGTAGTTCCTACACTGTCCCAAATGCAGCCCAGCTGTTATTTTTTGTAATACAAATTTATTACATGTACAAGCAAAAGTAAAAACATGGTTAAAAACTACAAGCAGTCCTGGGTCAAGGGCAGGCCTATGCAAAATGCAAAGTGAATGTTGACGCATCACGTGACATCCCCAATAAAATATATGTTGGAGTTCACCCGCAGTAAATTTGCAGGGTGCACTAACTGTTGCGTGACAATGCAAATTTGCATTCACTTTTACTTTCACACTGAGTGTGTCAAACTGCCTATTGAAGATGGATTATCCCACGACACTTTCCCTTTTTTTACAGCAAAAGTGTGCAGGGAATTACAAGAGGGAAAGCTTATACTGCACCGCACTGGGGACAGTTTGGGCTAAAACTTCTGTATCAATCCCACAGGAAACCTATCCTTAAAGAAACAAAGACACACTCTTTGCATTTGTGCATGTCTGAGAAGTAGACCTGTTGGTGTTGGTTTGGCAAATGGCAAATATGGATTCGTACAAAATCTCAGGGATTAATAAGCAGTGACTGAAAATAATTCAATGTACAAATCAAATCTAATATACCACATGCATCTATCCGAGTATGAATGCATAATAAATGAAAGGTTTGCGGAAACACCATGTGGGAATAATTTCTCAAACCAAGAGAATGGTTCTGAAAAGAACTAGAGGTATAAACTCGACGTTCCAGTCAGTATATGCTCCGACCATCATCATGGGCACTCTCCTGAAGATGGTCAGAGCATACTGACCAGAACGTGGAGTTCATACATGTACCTCTGGTCCTTTTCAGAACCATTCTCTTGGTTTGAGGAATTACTCCCACATGGTGTTTCCGCAAACCTTTCATTCATTAGTATCTCCACCATGCAAAGCCTCAAATTTACGAATGCAATCAGCCTTTCGTCTGTTGTGATTAATTAGCAAAACATCCAAAATGCAGTAAATGCACAACTGCACTTTCTGATAAAAAGTGTTGTGATAAAAAGGGAGAAAGTACATGATGTATGCACGGTCGGTCCACATCACACAGTTTAACACATGTATTTCCCTTTTCAAAGATAAGAATGGCCCATTACTTTTACAATCAGAATCATGTTTGATGACCTTATAAGAACAGAAAGGTGTCTGAACTAGACCTATCCATACCTTTACGTAATACAATGACATCTGGAAATGCACCGCAATCACTGAACCACTGTGAATACATGTAGGAAACTTTGCTACACACAACAGAGTGCTAAGCGTTCAGACCTAGCATCTGCCAAAAGTGCACGGATCAATGGGCTTTAAGGCCAATAAATATTTAGTCTGCATGAAAAAAATATATTATCAGTATTCAGTGGACTGCAAAGAAGCATTAAAAAAAAATGAATACAAAATACCAGTACATGTACGTGCAGATTGTTGTGAACAAAAGACGTTGTCCAGTGAATTCACACATGTAACGTACTTAAAACTTAAACTTAAAGAAGAGGGGTTTAATTCTCATGCTTTTTTTAGTGTGGCACCCAAACAAATAATTTGGTAGCATTACAAAAGTTGTGAAATTTCCAATGAGACATTGAATGAAACCAAATCAATTCACACTAAGTTAGCTGTATTTTTTTCTATTCGGCTTATGAATTAGGGGGACTCCTTATTCAGCTTAGACTCAAGTCTGATATCCGATACTTCAGTTCGTCGCACAAACTATCCCAGGATGCAACACGCAGCATACATGTACATGTGCGGTACCGGTACCTTCACTGCACACTTCTGATCTATCCATAAAAGGGTTCATTGTAACAATGTGCATGAATAACGTCACACGTATAACCAGTAACATCAGGTAACTTTTAGCCCATGAGTTTTATAAAAAAAAAAGGGACCTTTTTTTTGGGGGGGGGGGGGGGGCGGTGCCACACTCCCAAAGCACAGACATGCATGTATATACTGTGTACATACTTGCACAGTAATTAGTTAATTAGTTAATCACATTATGTGACATATTTCATGCAGTGAGAATGTGGGATTAGTTCTGTGGTACAATATGTTTGTTTGTGTATGTACAATTTGTATGTACCGGTACATGTACATGTACCGTACATTGTACATTAAAAGTTTGTGCATGTACAATGTATACATGCATGCACATGTAGAGTGTGTACATGTGGGCAATCGAACAATATGAGGTCAGTCATGTCAGCGAGTCAAAACGGCTATGAAAACTTTCAGCTCAGACAGGAAACCATGTCTGGCAACACAGAGTGGTTGGTCCTCTCAAAATTAGTGATGGCCCTGATCATACCGGTACATTATCTAATGGGCACCAAGCAGTATAGAATGTATGCTCTCCAATGGTGAGAATGTGAACATTTTAAAAGGACGGTGGGCTGGCACTTCCAGGTTGAACATTAGTCGTGGGCAAAAACAGTAGAGCTTATAGTTGACTTGTGACTCTTGCATGAAAGTCCTGAGAACAAGTTGCTGGATGGTCATGTTAACTGTACATGTATGTCGGCGCCCCCAATATCTACAGGTAGCACTGCGCAGTGTGTCATGTTTATTATCATAGGCTGGGTTCGACATGAAAAAAAAATTAATTGGGTTCGACGAACACGCATATTGGGGCATAGGATGCACACTGCGTTGAAGTGTCATGTACCACACACAAGCACATGTCGTGGGACGGTGTGCGGTGTATCTGCCCATGTGGCGGCGCGGTGCGCGGCGGGCAGCGAATAAAACCCAGTCCATTACCCACTTGGTTTTAAGTCCAACGTTGGTTAGGAAGTGCCTCTATAGACTTCGTGCACAAGTACCCACCCCTCCTCCCTCCCCCCCCCCCCCCCCCCCCCCAGAATAGTAAAACTAACAAAGACACCCAGTACTGAAAGACAATTGACATGATTGAGAGTATCAGTGAGAGTCACTTGGGGGTCATGTTAGCATGGAGCTATGTTAGCATGTACTCAGGTGCAGTCATTTCACCTGTGGATGTTCGGAGTCTGTGAACATCACTGTCGAAAAAGGTCATGTGATGCATTCTTCATGAGCATTAACCCTAACCGCCCGGAATCCTTTCAAATCCTCTTTGCCAAAGTGGAGGAATTTGGAGGATTGAGGTTACGTGGCAAAAGTGCATTACTGATTACGTAGGATGCTTTTCGTCAAGGTCTTGGGCCAGACCTTGTGTTGTTTTTGCTCAGCCATGCATGAATATATGTAGGCCTGGATTATGCTTGAATTCCTCCATACTGCTCCAGGATGTCACTGGCCAGCAAGCCTAAACATACTGACAGTCACTCATGCCACAGGATTTTGCAGGATTCAGGCAGTGGTTACCCCTGGAGGAATTTGCAGGATTGAGGCTGCTATTTTCCATGCGGCCAATTGGAGGATTTTGCAGGATTGAGGCTACAATTCTTGGCAAATATCAACACAGCACCACCCTACAGTTACAAACACACAGTAGCACAGAGTTCATACCGGTACATGTAGCATAACTCATTGTGTGCCTGGCAGACATGGCAGAAGGGCATGCAAGTTCCAGGTACATGTACGTCCTTATAAATGCCAAAAGCGTAATCACCAAAATGTTCCTAGAAAGGGCAAGTGCAGAAAACGGCCTTCATTTTAAGTTTTTCCATCGGAAATTAGCACGAGTTGTTCCAAAAAGTATGATTCAAACATGTGACAAATTTAAAACTTGTACGATTTATAATACGCGTGGGAGAACATTGGATTCAGAATACATGTGGTCCAACAGTGAAGCCTTCCAATGCAATTTTCTTGAAAAGTGATTTTCGTGTCTGGAATGCTAGTCATATGCCCTTCTGCCGGGTAGCGGACGAACTACATGTAGTCCTCTAGGGAACAGATCTACCAGCGAGTGCCAAAACTGTTTCTGCAGGATTGAGCCTATAAAACAATTTTACATGCACTACGTGTACCATACCGTTAATACTGAAAAGATGGGAGGCATGCGCCATTACAGACAAAAAGCTGATGTTGCAGACTACCAGTAGCTGACGAAGAGAATAAATTCCTGTTCACTAGATTCTCACTTTGGTAAGCAATAATGCACATTTTATGAAATTTCTTTAACCAACTACATGTATTTAAAAATTAATTATACATCGTATGTCAACACAGTGTGTGAGATGGCTACAGTTGACAGTAAGAACCCTTATTGCAATTAGTCACCTCGATTATCGTGTGCCATAGGTTTATCTTCGTGTGCAAAATATGTTTGCACTTTACAGAAACATCTGTTAGATCGCCGTCAGCTGAAGCAATATTAAACTGAGGGCTTGCAACTAAACTTGGCAAGAGCATTACACACAAGCACATATTGAAGTACATAGGGCCTACATGTATGTACATGTAGCTTTTAATTTTTATCAATTTATTTTTCCAACGTACCGGTATCCTTTCATTAACGATTAATGCAAAATTGTTGTATTTGTATTTATTCCATATGGGTATGGGCAGTGCAAATAACACTGAAATGAATACAGCCATAAAACTTACGTACATTGTACAACACTGTCACACATTAAAAAAAAAAAGGTGCCATAAACGAGTTTAACGTTACCTCCATAACTACATGTACGGTACATGTGAAGTTTAATAGTGAACATGGTGAAGAGCATGCAGATCGAGTTACTCTGTACTACAACATGCAGCAACTAATAAAACTAACATTTTCAAATACCATAAGCTGGTAAATGTACATCATATGTACATGTATGTACTACAACAAAACCTTGAATATGAGTTTTCTGTCTATTACATTACGTGAAGAAATTAAAATGTAGTAATGTTAAAATGTTGTAAGAAAACAGAAGGGTTTTTTTTTTGGGGGGGGGGGGAGAGGGGAGAACAGAAAAAGGGATGAATACCGGTAGGAACAAAAATTGTGCACGAGAAGTAATGTGTACAATGTACATGTACAGTGTACAATGGCTAAATTCTTTTCAATAGCATGCTTACTTGTGCCGACAAGTATTAATTAGCTTTGATTTGACCACTTTTTACAGCTTTAATTTTACAGCTGATGGCTTCCGGCATATTGTCCTCTACAGCTGACTCTTTGTCCTTCACGGTCCGTGTGTAGTGTCACACAAACGTCAATGAACTCAGACGCATAAAAATAAATTTACGGTAAAAAGCACTACTTGCAACTTGCATAGCCAAGAAAAGAAAAAGGAGAGAAAAATTAACCAGACAAAGCAAGCCTAGCGAAGCTGGCCCCACTCCCCAGAGTGCACAAAAGTTAGTCAATCAATTTAAAACTGCTATTCTTTTCATGCATGTGGCATGTAATTAGCCTTAGCCTATGTCACTGCTTCCATTTCCACTCCCAACTTCAAAAAATGAAAATATTACCTTGCTTTCAATTTTATATTATATCTCGCTTTCAATTTAATACAGTGTACACATGTACAATGGCCGACTTGTGAATGGAGCACATGTAGGCTGGCCCTTCTGGCACAAGCAAAAACTGCCATCAATCATGTCAATGGAAGCTTTTCTAAACGTCAATCTCCTACGAACGTATAAATCTAATTTCCCCGTTATTTACTTTAAGATACCGGTACCGGTACCAGGATTTTAAGACAGGCTCTTAACAACCTTATAAGCTGATCACTTTTTACTCAGAGTGGAAAACACATTTTTTTTCTATTTCTTAACAACATGAACAAGAATAGCAAATTTTCTGTACAAAATTTCACCTTCTTTTGTGGTGCTATCCTGAACCTGTTGACGTACTGACATTGCTCCAGCTAAGTCTTCAAAGAAACCAAAAAAACACAGAAATACATCTTACATCACAATAGTAACTAGCAATGCTACAAAATTCCCGGGCAAAGCATTCAGCCGCAAAAATGTGAGCCATTTGATGATAAACAATGATGGATGATGAGCCAATGTTATGTGTACCGGTAGCATACATGAACAATGTATGAGAAAAGCAGGGGTGTAACGATCGTTAAATTAATCATCATAATTACTGTAAGTGTAAATTTTTAATAAAAAGAATTTTATCATTCACTCTATAACCATAACAACTACATTGTAGGGCCTACGTGTAAGTTGTAACCACGTACTAAAGGTGTATTCCATTGATTGCAGCACCTACGTACAATGTACATAAACACGTGTACTTACAGGTACACATGCTCCTACCACAGTCTTAACCACTTCGCGCCGGGTTTATTTTTGCCAAAAATTTCGAAATTTTCAAAAGACAAAATTTTCCACCCAACTTCTGATACACAGCCAAATGCCAAAAATAATTCACAAGAGTCATTTCAACAGTACATTGTATTTGTACGATATTTCTTGCCAAAACCTCACATAGTTCAATACTCCGGGGTGTGCAATGGCGCGTAAATTGTACAACAATGGGCCGTGCACAACAGAGGCGAGTCAAGGCAATCTTGACGTTTTAACCCAGCAGCCATGCCTGTACACAAAAACAGCCAGTGCATGTTATCACGGCCTCCGGTGTGAACTGGCTAAATCAGCCAGCCAACTCAAGCTATCTACATGAAATAGGTATACGTACACGTACATGTACTATACATGTTGACCTGTAACTGTTGAAGTGGTAAATGTTCGTACATGTACATGTATCTGCAAAACTGTACACTGTACAAGCTCTTGGAAAGCAATGAGCCCAATTCTACTCCTCGTGGCAGATAAATACTATACAAACATGGAACATCTAAAATTCTCAGTAAAAAGTAAACATGTTGTTCTTTTGCTCAGCCATGCCTTTTGCAGTTTGCAACTGCAACTGCAATACATACTGGTACATGTATTTCAGCATAAATCAAGTGATATTAATTTTTATCATTTATCGTTACACCCCTCACTTGGCAGCAGTCAATACGTTCAGTCTGAATTCAGATTTTTTTGTTAGTTGAAATGACCAGGCACAGCCATGACAGCGCTAAATGATGAAAACATGCAAGGGTTCAGCACCAAAGGAAACACTGAAATTAAAGCTGTGCGTACACAAAATGTATGTACCATAAGGATGCCGTATCCCGAGGAAGTCCAATGAGTTCATGTTCTTCAACAAACGTGTACGTGTAGCATCATACAGTTTAAGAGCACTAAGAAGAAGGAACCAAGAATCCAAAAATAAAGGCCAGTTCATACCAAGCGCCAAAACAAACACGACTGCGAATTTGTAACATCACGGCAGGTTGTTCACGCGGCAAACTCCTCAACAGTTGAAAACATATTTCAACTCTTGCAAATTTTGCAGCAATGGTTTGTGACGTCAAATTCGCTTGCCATTGCATTCGCATTAAGTATGAACTGGCCTTAACATGAATGGAGAAATGAATGGGAAAATGAACGACATCACCAAGCACTCATGAATGTACATGTAAGGCCACCCTCAGGCCAACCTTGCGATGACACAGAACACTCAGCAATTGACTTTTCAGGATCGCGCTGCGCCTGACATCTGAGCTACGACCGTCGGGAACATACGGTATCAATCGCCAGTTGTTTGCGACTCGAGTGTCACTGCGACGATCAGCATCAGTTGTAATGCGACAGAATCAGTCACAGTCGACCTGTGTGATATGAAGTTATGACGTCGTGCGCGCATCCGGATCATTTTACTTCATTGTGTAGCCAATCAGCATGCAGCAAAAATGCTTGAATGAAGAGACGTGGCTGGAAGAACACTTAATTTTTAAAGGGCATGTGTGGTCTAGCGGTAGAGCACAGGATTCATGATCGTGAAGTTGTGGGTTCGAGCCCCGCTGTGGCCATGCGTGTTGTGCCCTTGAGTAAGGCGCTTTACCTCAATTACTCCTCTCAACCAAGGTGTTAAATGTGCACCAGCATTATTCAATGCTGGGAAGGCAACAGACTCACTGTGGAGGAGGACGAGTTGTGGAGCCCGTTATTGCACAACTTATCAAGGCTGATACAAGACGCTCACCACTTCATGTTTGAAGAAAATGAATTTCTATTTTACTTGTAACATAATTTTTAGAGTTGCCAAACAATTCCAAAGAAAGTCACACAAAATAATTTTCCAAAATGGCGGGCTAATGTGAGCCAACGACTGTTTCATGAACGAACAAATTCCCACACAAAACAGCCGTCGTAAATGCTGTTATTATCCTCGTCTAAGATGTTTAAATTGTTTAAAACGTTGCGCAGCTAAATGGTCACTTCGTGTATAAAAGTTCACTCTCGGCAATGGGCAAACATAAGAGCTCAAGTGAGTGCAAATGTACATTTTGTACCAAAGTGGCAAAGAAATGAATAGCACAATTCAATATGAATGGAGATGCATCTGATAAAATAACCAATGGTGATATTATCAAAGTAACAAATGGCATGCAAGCAATACAATTTGAAAACAATTTAAATAACTTAATGGGCGGCCATTTTGGAGAAAAAAAACATGAATAAAAAGGGCCTCCTTTTCCAACAAGGAAGGACGATAAACATTTTTTTATAAAAAAAAAAAACCAGAAATTAAATATCAAAACCAACTCATTTATATCTGATCTGTGATGAATAATACAATAATACCTGATTCATCTGAAAGCGAATGTATTATAATACAAGATGTTTGCAAAGGGCAAAATGGGATAACAGAAACTCCCAAAAACTGTCTTTTACTAAACTACTGGACCAAGTCTGCCAAAATCCATCAATCACACTGCTTCCAATGCATGCTTTGCTTTGCGCTACCAGGCCCGAGTCCATCATACCCCATCAATATTTAGGCAAACCAGGCCTGCAGGACCAAGTCCCCCCAAAATACACCAAAATGGGAGGATGAATTTTGATGGAGTTAGGGAGATTAGGGTCAAAGCCAAGCCTTTTCAATTTTTGTACTATTAATAAAAAGTACCAACTTTGGTTTTACTGGTATGATTGGTAGATACATGCATACAACTATGGCTGAAAATAATTTTTCCGTTCAGGTTTTTGGGGAAACAAGCGATTTCTGTCTTGCACACACAAATTAATGAAAAGGCAGTAAAGCCACATGTTATTTATGCAAATTACATGGTACAACACATGCAGTGTGTGTTTTTGTAGACTTAGCACTCACAGCTGTGTCCGCAGCTGTCGACATGTTGACTGTAACTGTACATTGCAGCCCAATTTAATCAAATATTCGATGAATACCTTTCATACCCATAAATATAAATACAATAAAATTATTCACATACAAGTACATGTACATCTTTTTCCACCAAAATCCTCTTTAAAATGGAGAATTTTGCAGGATTGAGGCTTAATGGCAAAAATGTCTCTGCTTGAACATAATGACAGTGATTGCTGGAAGATTTTGCAGGATCAAGGCTATGGTCACCCCTCCAATGACCACATTCAAGAAATAACGGTGGATTTTGCAGGATTGAGGCTGTATGCATTCTATTTTTACATAAAGGCAGTTGGCGGATTTGGCAGGATTGACGTCGCATCCAAGCAAAAATGCTGTAGGGAGTTAGGGTTAACCCTAACCGCCCCAACTCCATCCAAATCCATCTCCCATTTTGGGGGACTTGGTCCTGCAGGCCTGGTTTGACTCGATGTAAATACTGATGGAGTATGATGGACTTGGGCCTGGAGGCCTAAAGCAAAGCATGCATTGGAAGTAGTGTGATTGATGGAAAAATCGAGAATTGAGAAATCTGCTGGATCATTTGCTCAACTCAAGCGCATGATCTAGCAGATTTTTCGATTCTTGATTTGTTTCCATCAATTTCTCGATTTTCATCTGGTCAACCTGACTGACACATGCACATGCGCACAAACAACTAAACACTGCCGTGACAGCGAGATTGGACGGTTCTTCTCAAAAAGCCACCAAAATGATCAATATTTTTCATATTTTAGTCACTGTTGTTCTATTTCAAGTGATTCATTAGCTTCGTGTATGAAACTGCTGCATGTATTAGGTACAAAATGTATGTTTAATCTCATCTGGGTTTGGGGAAAACAATAGGGGAAAAGAACCATTTTACTGGGGGCCAAAATGTGACTGCATCCGGCATTTTCTCCCACTTGATACAAAGTAGACGTAGATTGACCTCCAGTTCTAATGTTGAATTCCTGATGAGCATTGGAGCTGGGATTACTTAAGCTAATATGTGGTGTGCGTTCAAACTTTCTGTTAAAACTTTCTTTTAAATTAAAGACTAACTCACTACTGTCTGACTAACTTAACTTGTCTGTTACATTTTAGTTATCAATTCAAGAAAATGAATTTCCAAACATGCCAAACGTGGTCCCCCGATCTCATGAATATTCATTTTACCAAGCGAGTTATGCATACGATGCAAATAAATGCAGGCACTTTTCCGAACCCTGCGCACTGACCAGCTGACTGCCATGGCTACACCGCGGCTAGTCGGGCTAGCTACACAACCGACAACAAGTGAACAACTTGCTGCCGCGCCGCGCAGCATTGCCATGGCCGCGGGCATACAACAACAACATGCACAACATTATACAGAGATTGAATCATGATTGCACTACATTACACCTGTTTGATTTGCTGCCCCACTAATCTAACAAGTAGGCTTCAACCACTGCCACCTGCTGTATTAAACATTCCCACCTGCTTTAGACGAGACAGTAGGTGATACGTTTCCATTTCCGATGTTTACGACTGCTTCTCGACCACTTTCCCTTGAAGCTGCCATGTTGGAATTATTGATTGACATCCTCGAATAGTATTTGTTATTTCAGCTCTACTAATTTACGAAAAAAATAAACTGTTTGTGGACCATTCAATGTATATATTATAAGAAACATTGCGGGTATTTATATTTTCTTTAAATCATACGTATGAGTATTAAAAATATGGAGGAAAAAATGTATAACAACTTATTTTAGTGAAATGACGTTTGACCGTAAACTTGTGCAAGTCGTTTTCCGCTCCAGTACGCGCGGCCGCGTTCGTGTACTGCATACACGCACTGCCAAGTGCCAACACTACAGCTTCTAGTTCTAGCCGCGGCGCCGCGCCGGGCGCCAATTATTTATTACCGAACCATACAACACTCCGCACCCCTTCCCCGGGCTGGCCCACCCAAAACTTGGAGATTGTCACTTTTGAAGTGACAAAATCCCCACCCCTCGGGCAAAATTTAAGTGACAATCCCCGACATGGCAAACGGGAGTGGAGCGCAATAGTAACTACGCTAATGGTAATATTACTAACAATGTTAATTAAATTTGAGTGACCTTGGTGCATGGAAAATGTGACCAAACCCCAACATCGGACCTGGGACAGGGGGAGGGAGGGGTGGGGAAACATTTGACATTATTTTAATATTTTATTACCATGAATTTATTTCCAGGATTTGTCGAGCTGAGTTCGATAGCTCAGTTGGATAGGATCTAGACCCATGAACGTGGCGTGTAAACATTTCATAATTCACGGGTCTAGATGGGATCCGTAATTTTGTGGCGCGAGGATCCTCGCGGTTCGAATCACCATTTTAACCGATTTTTTTTTTTTTTTTCTTATTTGAGGCTTTGGACGATTTATTTTAAAGAGAAATAAAGTCCGAATTTCATTACGTTCGAATTCATTTCATTTTGTCTAATAATATATTTTTCTATTTTTTACGAAAAGTAAAGTCCAAACGTCATAGCGTACACCCGTACCGTACTACCCCATGCGGATATCGTTTGGGGGAAAAATCGCACCCGGCCCACCCTAACAAGTTTCAAATTACTGATTTTTTTTATTTCGTAGTAAAAGAGCAAACTTTTTTGTCGTATTATTAATACTTTGCCCCAGTGGGTAAACGACTTTACAATAAGTAAAAGGTTTTGATCCTTAATTATTTTTTTAATGTATGCACCATGAGATTATGAAACTGTGGACTGGGAGAAGTTTATGTTGAACCCGCACGTGGATTACATCACGCATATCGCATGCCGCATGCACATATGCTGAAGCATCATCGCGCGCGCGGCATCAAGCAGCTATCCATGGTCCTACGTTAAAAAACATGCCGGTATACTCGTACTCCAGCGAAATAGCGCCATAGCAGAAACATTAAGTGCACTTTCGGCTTATTATTTGATTGCAAATTTGTGGAGCTACTTAATTGGGCGATGATGTCACATTGTACGCAGGAAGGTAAGAAGACTGAAATATCGAATTCGACAGTCATGACATCGACACGACAGTTTAGTCTGATGTCGAAGTGTGAATATAGGCTATATTTCCTACCTCCAAATAAGTCCAATAAATATGTACATACCATGTATGTTGCGGTGTGTGAGCAGTGTATGCAGTGCAGTGAAGAGATGCAGAATGTATTTCGCTAGTGAGTACAGTAGAAGTCGCATTTGATACTTTTTTGTACTATGATGAGAGTCCCAAAGCTTAGGCAGTGGCGTATCCGGGGGGGGGGGGGGGGGGGGCGCAGAGGAGGCACTCTGCCCCCCCCCCCCCCCCCCCCCCAGATTTTTGTCACAACATTTTTGTGTTCAGCAATTATTTCAATAAATGGTTATAGTATAGAGTTCTTACATCGGTAATCCTTACTTTTAGGACCCCGTTCCTATAAGGTTAAAAGACTCACCAAAACAGCTGACTAAATGACACTCAAAAGTGACATTCTGATGTTTCTTGACACATTTGAACAGTTGGCAATGACACCTTCTTGAATATCAGCAGGTTTAATTTTGTAAAAAGAGGGCAGGGCTTTGATTTATGAGGGGTTAAAGACGACGATGACAAACAGAAAATATATATAAAAAGCAAGATGGCAAACTGCAAAAAAAGGCAGAAAAGTCACATTTTCTTTGAAAGTGCTTTCAAAATGACAACTAACATGAGTTTATCTGAGGAAAAAAAAACTGCTTTAGCCTGCAAAAGTCACTTCCGTACTGGACAGTCACCTGCAAAAGTCAGTTTTGAACAGAACTCATAAAAATAGAGGTGTCCTAAAGATAAGGATTACCCTTACATCAATCCCACAAAAGAAAACCCGCTCAAAACCCATTACAACAATGCGTCGTGTAAATGGGTATATAAATTTACAGTATGCATAATAATGGTCAGTTGTGAAGAGCGCCCCCATTTGGAAGATGGGTACCAAATGGCTTTTCCAAATAATTGAGGTGGTTTTTTTTACTTTACATCTATAGACCGGCACCTTTGAATGGATTCCAGAGATAGGTCTAGTGCGCGTAATTATTATTATTATCAACACAGCCCCCCCCCCCCCTTTTCATATCAAAGTTGTTCCCATTCTTTTTGGTGGTGTGATTCTGACAAGTGTTTTGTATTATTCATCAGGAAAAGACCGGATCATCTTTGTGACCAAAGAGGATCACGATGAGCCCATTCAGACAACAAATGTAAAAGATCTGGTCAACGAAGATGATGACGATGAAGGAGAAGGTAAAGAAGTTACCATAGGCACATGTGTTCCATGATTAGTAATTTGGATCTGGTCTTAAAGGGAATATATACAACATTTGCAAACATCAAAAACAAAACTACCAAATTATTATGCAATACCTTACTGGACTGTTAGTGAATGATAGATAAAGCATCCGGCAAACTTGTGGCACCTGCTGGTACATGTATGCTGTCATTTCAAGAAAAGTGCCGTCTTGTATAAATTTCCAATGCTGGTCGGTTGACCAGCGTTGGAAAAAACTGGCTCATTTCAAAATACGGATCCCAATTTACCATATGTAGTTAGACGGCATTTTGTTTTTAATCAGTTACACTCCAACATGTATAAACTCCTACAGAGCCAGCTAGACTGGTTCCCTGACCTTACAATTCACCGGCATCTATAAATTGCTCAGTTTTATCCTGATGGTTCTCGCAAGAATAACACAAAAAAAGTACATTTTGTAACACCCTTAGTTCTTCTGATACAGTATCCAAGTCTTCCTCACATTTCCTGTTGTTTGTTTGGCCCATTTCTCCCATACACTAACACCTCACGCAGAATGCAGCGCTCTCGTCATGTACATGTGACTATCTAAAGCTGACTCCCATATTGAACTCATTAGGCCAATGATGCACTAGCTAAACTTAGGCTCCATTTCCTAGTGAGAAATGTTAAGTCTGATAGGTCAATTCAAAGCGCCCTCTACTGGCCATGATGAGATGTTATTATATGACCTGATGTGGTCACCTAATCATTTATGATGCCAAATTTCAGCTGAAAGAGTTCAACACCCGGAATTCTACCAGTGCATGGTGCAGTGATGGGCCTGAATACCAATATATGTCATTGACATTTATTTATTAACAATTATTCCTGATCATTTGAAACATTGAAACCTGTAACTTTCATCACATTGATAAAAAAAATTCTTTGGAAATTCAAAAGTCATTCATAATTTACACTCACACACACACACTAATCTGAAGTACCAAGTCCAATTTTATTTTTATGTAATAAAAACTTTGAGTATCGAATTGGTTTTGCACCTCAAGCTGAAATTTCAGGAGAATATAACTTCGAATAATGTCAAATTATTAGATCAAGTATAATGTCTGCAGTTCTGTGGATGATGCTAAAAATTATGCATAAAACATAAACTGTTTACAATTAAACTTTGGTGTTACAGTAGGGGTGTTATGATAATGATTGTCTATCACCAAAGTTGTGTTTCTGATATTCAAGTTTTAACTTCGCGATATCATATCAGGTCTCATCCTTTCCAACGGGGACATCAACTGGAGCTGCCCCTGCCTTGGGGGCATGGCCAGCGGACCCTGCGGGGTGGAATTCCGAGAGGCGTTCTCCTGCTTCCACTTCAGCGAGGCGGAGGCCAAGGGATCGGACTGCATAGACAAGTTTCGCACCATGCAGGAGTGCATGGTGCAGTACCCGGAGCTGTACCCCGTCGGAGAGCAGAAGGAGAAGGAAATGGTACAAGAGGCAGAGGAGGCGGCCCAAGAAGCGGGAGGAGACGCAGTCCATCACATCAGTGAACGCCAAGAAGCAGCTACACCATTAGATTCAGACACTGTTGACAGTGGAATGAGCACTGTTGTGAACAATGAAGATGCTGTGGACAAGGCATCTTCAGGAGCTTCAGCAGACATTATTACCGATGATGTTACTTCGAAGAAGGGGAGCAAGTCTTGATGCTTGTCTATCTCAATCTATAGACATTTATATGATAATTTTTAGTGTTACCTTAAGTTTTATAATCGTTATTTCCTGTGATGATTTTATACTTGACATGATACTATAATGTTTTAATACTCTTTTGCATTTTGAATTGTGGCCCTTCTCTGTGGATTGCCGTTAGGAATGAAGTCACCAAAAAGGACCAATTTATCGTAATTATAACTTTTCAAAACGAATAACTTTCCTATTAAAAAAGGATGCATAAGATTACTACATGTAGGTACCCAATCACATTTGCATGAATGTTACTGGTTTTATATGGGTCCATTAGTTGATTTTTAAATTAGTCTATAAAAGCATACATGTTTTCCCTCATCCAGGTGTAACGTCTTTTCTCTCAGTTTGCAGTTTCCGTCTCATATTTAGAGCCAATCGCCTTTTAAGTAGCAGATCCCCATTCATTTCTGCCCTGTATATTTGTTTATAAAATCCAAATAAATGTGTGCTTGTTAATGAAACAAGACAAGGCAAGACTAGTAAATCTAGTCCCAGAGCACACTTGTTGATTTAATAATTTCTGAAAGTTCTGTCGAATAATTTCATGAAAGTACTTGAAACAAGCAGCACCAGACTAATGCGTACATGGTGTATGTATTTGTTCATCACATACACAGCAGTAAAGCTGCTCCCAAACATGTATACCAGCGCAGTCACATGACATGCAATCAATGGGATAGGTAACCAGTCAAACTCGGAAGTGTCAGTCTGTCAGTAAATTTACAAAGAGAACTATACCTGGACACACTGGTACCAGCAAAAATGCATGTACATGTATTTTCAACCCCTGTTAAAAACAAGCGTTACATAATCCTGGTTTGTGTAATGTGTATGCATGTACAGTCGAACAACTTTATAACAAGGTCCTTGGGACTTAACAAATTACCCTGTTATAACAGGTACCTGGTATTGACAGTAATGGAAAACAAAGACTTGGGACCTAATATTTTGCTTGTAATAAACAGCATGTTCATGTTGTATTAACAGTGCTCTTCTTATCAGTGTTCGACTGAACATGCATGTGCGTGCATTTTATTTCATAGTTGCCAGTACAGTACATTCATGTTAGCAGAATTGTGAGCCCAACCATTTTTTTTTCTCAATTATTTCGGGGCCCATTCCATAATGTACATTGTAGCGTGTCTATAAGGTTTGTGAAAAAGTTCAAACTCCAAAAAGTTTGTGGCGTGATTGAGTTGGCTATTGTGTGTGACAGATTAAATTCTTTACAATCATTTACTGTAACTGGAGTTGCTTTACCGATTCTTTTATGTTCGTGTCGCATTTTCAAAGAATTATTAATTTGAGAGAGTCGTGCACCACGATCAGAGCTAAACTCTGGATTTCAATTTAAGAATGCATGCCTGATGTGCCAATTAACGATTTTCGTAATTTCATTTTGTTGGGGGAATTGTGGCACATTGCAAAATATACCTCTATAATTATACTCTATTAGAGACAGAGGTCGAAGTCCTCAACTTCGACCACTGTTCATAAGTTATTATAATTCCGAAACAGTCACGTTAGGAAAGTTCGCATTGCCGTCCTCGGGAGCTAAGACATGACCTTGTCTTGCAAAACCGATCTTTGTAGAAAATAACAACTAACATACATGTATATATGAAATGAAATTTGCCACAATTGGATTTTTATTCTATAAGTTTGTGTTTTAATCGCTGCAGAGTATTTATGTTTTTACGGATCATGCCTATATGCCAGTACTACATGTATTACTTAGCAGGTGGTAGACAAGGACCGTTTTAATAGTGCTATATTATAGGCAATTATACAATTGACGTTGGAACTTGTACATGTACATGAAGGCCTACGGAGGTCAGATATCGACAGCCAACGGGCAGCAGGAGGTCTTTTGCCGGACGCGTGACGACGCCGATCTTCGACGACACGTGTATACCACGGATTTTAAACGGTGTGTCACCATAAAGAAAGGAGCTATAGACTAGTGTAGTGTATAGCGCCCGGCACACTCGATTTACACCAGAGTCCCAAGTGCAAGGTTGCCATATACAATGTAGACATGGGGCTAATGCTGATAGTATTTATTTGTACAATATCAAACATTTATAATTATATATGACCTTTGACCTCCTTTGTTGTAATAGCTCCACGGCAGAATATAGTTATAGTTCATATTATTATGCAAAATACCTGCAGTGTCAAGTGTCATGCATGTTATGATGTTGGCAGCATTACTATATGTGGGGGTTTTGTCTTTAAATTAACTTTATTAAATACAATCAGCACAATAGGCCTAATGGCCTAATTGAACAGCTCACCTTTCGTCAAAACAATGAAAATGAATTACATACCTTCGTCCGTTCCCTGGAGGTTGAGATTAGAATTTTCATTTTGGAGAGGTGTCGTCTTCTCGTCAGCCCCTTGCATACGTCTTCGTGCCATGTTTCCACGTGTACGTGTCAAAAAGTAACCTCTAACCAGGCGAAGACTTGACTCAAATGCGCGCAGTTTGTGTATAATTTTGTTGTATACAGCGACACGTGTACAAGACATGTACGTGTACATGTACACTATACGTATAAGCTTAGTTCGCAAATACCAGCAACTCGGAACTGCGTGCATTCGATCGAACTCTGATCTCTCAAACTCAACCAGTCAAAGTAGTCAAGCAAATGAGTGCTGGTATCTTGAGGGCAATAATTTACGGATTGACAGATGAGACATGAAAGAATGGGTATAAAATTATATGACCGGATGATATAAAGAAGTTACCGGTGTGTAAAAAAAAATTGGTAAACCGACCATTGAACAATTATTATTTCAGGAAATATTTTCAGTTCAAAAGTTAAAAGCCTGTCCAAGGTATTCGGCACAGTTTTAGCGGGAATTTTTACGTACTGGGCCTAATACCGGTGCCGTATAGCATCATTTCCCTTTAAAAAACGTAAACCCGCGGGAAAACAACGGCGGATGCGGGCACCCGGCACGGCCCCCTTGATCGGCTTTATAATGTCAGACTCATGATTTTGTGCCCCAACACGCCTTGAAAATTGAAGAAAACAAACAATGAAATTGGTACCGAAGTTATTGATTGAGTGTCCCTCAATCAATGCCCCACCCCTTATGCCCATCCCCTCCCTTATTGTCACGTTGGGAATTCAGACAAACCTAGACTGAGAAGGAACCTTTCCCATTGTTCGATAAACGGAGTGTACGTAGGAAGCAATCCTTTCAAAACCTCGGCGGGACCCTGTAGGGCCTATAGATGGGGTCCGCTCATTAGTCCGACGCCACGATAGGTCCGACAAAATCTCATCCCCCAACCAAATGGGCCCATAAGTCCGACGCTAGATCCGACGCTCAATAGGTACCACGCCCAATAGGTCCGACGCCTCGCAGGTCCCACGCCTCGCAGGTCCGACCATTTTATTTCGCGCCATAAGTCCGACGCCTCACGTCATAGTCCGACGCCTCATGAGTCAGACGCCTCGTTTGTCACCCGACAGCCATTATTATACAACACCTGAATAAATCCCAGTCATCTGGTTGGTGGATCGTTGATCACATGTCATTAAATTATTCGTACCAACGCACGGCGCTCGTGCAGCGCACAGTACAGTGCAATGGCACTGTGAATAGAACTTCCATTGCACGGCGTCACTAATTGTGGTGGCGCTGTTTTAAATCGAGATAAATTGAATCTGATTGTTCTTAACCTGTCGAACAGTTTGCATCAATATAAATATGATGAACTTGTCGAACTTTAAAACAGTTTTAACCTGAATAAATTGGCTTTGAGAAGTCAGCCAGTCAGATGACAAGGATTTATTCACTTGGTGTTATATAAAACAAATAATGAATGTTTCACGTTCGTGCAATGGAAATAAGAATTCCATTTGGTGACAGATGAAATGTTCCATTCCACTCGGCGAACACTTCATCTGTCACGTCATGAAATTATTCTTACCATTGCACTCACAAACATTCATTATTTGTACAATATATGAATACAAACATCGCGTAAAAATTAGTGTCAGAATGTTAGCGCCACCAAAGAGATAGAGAATACACATTAACGGATGTACCCCCCCCCCCCGGATTTACGCGCAATGCATTTTTGCTTACAAAAACTGCGCGCTGCTGCATGGTGGGCTCTCTGACGGCGGCTAGTCAGTTGATGTTATATTATACAAATAACGAATGTTTGTGAGTGCGATGGTAAGAATAATTTCATGAGGTGACAGATTGAATGTTCTATTCCACGAGGCGAAGCCGAGTGGAATAGAACATTCAATCTGTCACCGAATGAAATTATTCTTTCCATCGCACGAACGTAAAACATTCGTTATTTGTTTTATACAACACCTGAATAAATTCTCGTCATTTGATTGGTAAATTATAAACTACAATTTATTTCGATTTTAAAGATGTTGAACTACCCCTTCACGAAAATGTTTGAACCCAACGCTGTAGCGCTGGCTCTTTGGAACAATACGCGCTACGCTGAACGCGCACACCAGCATGCATTTTGCACGCAAATACCGCGTCATGGAACAAGCGCAAAGTGAAACGGTATAACGCATGGGTATAACGCATGGTCGCACCGTGCATTATACCGAATAATAATATGTCACGTGATCTACAATTCACCAATCAGATGACGGGGATTTATTCAGGTGTTGTATAAAACTGACATACAGATCCTAGTCATTTGATTGGTGGAACTCACATCACGTGGCATTCGTTATTGCTCCCATTCATGCCACGGCTCAAAAAGTACTATCCGCCCATGGGGAATGGGAAATACTATTCAACAGTTAGGATCATGACGCGGTATTTGTGTGCAAATGCATGCTGGTGTGCGCGTTGCGCATAGCGCGTATTGTTCCAAAGAGAGCGCGCCGCAGAGTTGGGTTCAAACATTTCGTGAAGGGGAAGTTTGGAAGAGAGAAGTACATTTTCCACCAATTTTGTATTGAAATTAAAGTTTATTTCAACTCTGTTCAGATTTAAATAATTTAAAATTAAGCAGAATCTGTGGGTGAAGTGTTATAAAACAAATATTGAATGCTTTATCTCGTGGTGAAGTAAAACTAGCCTCCCTCGATGATCCATGGACCATTCACCTCGGGAAAATAGAATGTCCATGGATCACCTCGGGCGGCTAGTTTTACTACACCACTCGAAGCATTCAATATTTGTATACTATTGCACAGTGCGCCCTTATAATTATAGGAACGTAAGTAGACAACCGGACCGCGTTGTTCACATCCTTTTTGGTAAATCTCGTTTTTAATCTCTGGCAACAGAGCTTCTTCAAAATGGTGTCTGTCGGTCGGTCTGTCCGTCTGTGTCCCCCCCCCCCCCCTCCAAAAAAAGATTAAAAACGAACCCCTTTAGACCCATAACACTGCCAGTACTAAATTGTAAGTGTCCAAAAAAGCAAACAAAACCATGAAATAGTTGACAATAATTGTGAATTCGTGACACTGTTCATGCATTTTTTTTTTGAAGAGGGAAGATTAACAAAAATGATGATTGTAATAGTTACGTGGTATAAAATAGGGCTGGGGGCTTCTTCGGTGGTTCCCTAACAGACCTTGGAAAGCATGCACCTGTGCACTAGTATGAATCACCTTGGCTCTTGCATTGGGCCCTGTGTCATTTTTATGGGTCTCATGGGAGGCAGGGGGATTGGCCAAAAGTATGGTGTTCCATTATTTTGTGCCATCGGCCACTTGCAACACGGTCAGAGCTTATTACGTTATTAGTGGGCCAGCCAAAGTGGAATATTATTACACTTTGGATGGCATTTTTTGGTAATAGCAGGCAACCATGTCAGATCAATCAGTCAAAGGATGGAGAAGAAAATGTAGGCGCATGCCACCCTTAATTTTGACCTAATATACCTAAATGTACCTGATTTACATAAATTGTTAATCCGTGTCGTGTAATATATAATTATTATTCCCATAGTTTGGTATATTCTTTATTTTTTTTATTTATTGAAAAGTTTATTTTGGTGATTCTATTTACACACCCTTACCTAACTAACATTTTCGTAATAAGTGACTGAATAATTATGAGGACATAGTAACGATCCCAAAAGGCTACTATTATACCCACAAATTGCGCACATTTACCTTGTCTCAAGATATCATCAATTTGTCTTGCCAAACCTCAGTATTGATGAGCTTCCACTTAATTCACCAATTTGCTTATTGGCAAAGTTACCCTAGTAGAACCTTATGGAACATCATGTGAACAATGATAACATTGTGATATCTAGCTCACAGCCTCACAGCCGCCATCATTGAGGAACAAGCCCAGCAGAGACCCGAGAAACTGGTAGTCTACTGCTCCGCAGCCGACCCGTGATGATGATGCATGATCTAGCTCAGCAAACAAAAAAGGGGAGTCGCCTTAAATTAAAAAGAGTGTTTGGGCCAGCTGTAACCCTGGTATATATATTGCAAACCACACTAAACGCTGAGCCTAAATTTTGCTCATAGTTGCTGTATTGGGTAATATAATCATTGGAAGCAGGGGCGGATGTTTGCTGGGGGGGGGGGGGGGGGGGGTCAGGCCAAGGGCGCATCCAAACCCCCCCCCCCCCCCAAAAAAACCACATATCTATAGACGTCGCAATAAAGACAGGCACTGCGCCGGTTACACCACCATTTTTCCAAAAAAAAATGATCAAACTTACAGGTGGTCAGGAATAGCCTCAGATCGCACCACAGAGCATCTAGAATCCAACTAGAAATCTAGAAATTAATTTCATCAAATTTCTTCTTAAAGGCGACCGACTTTTTAAAATGAGTGTTTGGGCTAGAATGAACCCTGGCACATTTCAAACCACACTAAAAGCTGAGCCTAAATTTCGCTCAAATAGTTGCTGTATTTGGTGTAATATAATCATTGGGAGCAGGTTAGGAGCGGATGTTTGCAGGGGGGAGTCAGGCCAAGGGCGGATCAAAAGATGCTCCCCCCCCCCCCCTCATAAAAAAAAACAACGAACCCACCAGTCTTTTCCTCGCCGGTCAAATTTGCTAGTGGTCGGAAATTGCCTCCGGTTGCACTACAGAGCATCTAGAATCCCCCAAAAATTCTTTTTCGATATTTACGTAAGCTGATGATACGACTGAACATCAAAATCGATAAATCATTTTTGCCAGTTTCAAAACAGGGCTTCATGTGCAGATTTGACTTATGTTTTGTTACGAAATGATTTAGAAGCCTTGAGTACCCATTCATCATGGATTTTTAGTAATGGATTTGATAATCACAAACAAGACGTGGACCTAAATTGAACCGAAGTCCAAAAGTCGGGGTAGGGAGCTCTTTAAGGAAGGTAAAGACGAAAAGGAGACAGAGTTGGAATGAAGCCGAGTTTTGGAAAACTGTAAATGATCGTTAAATTTCGCGCGCAATCGCGCCCTCTCTAGTCTTTACAAACATTTGATTTCACACATTGCTACATCATCATGCAGCATAACATTTTAAACACATCATCACATCAAGTATTTGAAGTAAAGTTGGGTACATGTGGCACCACTTGCATGACTTGGTCGCAGGTTTGCAGACTAACCATCATGACTTCGATTAATTGAGAGTTTTGTCTTGGGTAAGACTAAGCCGTAAACGAAAAGAAAGATTAATATTCTGATTTGATCATTCATTTCAAGTCCAAAAAGATTTTTAATTTGCAAATAGTGTTGCACCCATTTCGTGATTAATCTGTTAATGTAAATGTGACATCAAACAATCAAATAGACTTCGAAAAATTAGTCCGATTAACTAGGACTCTACGGATCGCTTTTTTAACATTTGGACATGGTCGGGCGATAGTAGAGTCCGAGATTGATGGCCCTACATTGCCCTATTGTAGTCCGAGTAACTTGGACCCAACTTATCGCCTTTTTAAAAATTTGGACATGGTCTGGCGATAGTAGGGTCCAAGCCCATTCCGAGACCTAGACAACACAGTCACTGACAGTCCCAAAAACCAACATTTTCCAACAAAAAACATCAGATTTCACCTTCAAAATGGCCTCCAAATTACTAGATATGTCACCTGAGGTACAAGTAGACATAGATGATTAAGATGGTTGTACTTAAGTTTACTTACGATCCGGAAAAAAAGTGAAATTTTCCGTTCATTTCGGAGAGCTCCCCTCGCGATATTGAACACGTTAAATTTGCGATCGTGTTTAAAGTTTGAACGACGCGATTTCTTCTACATGCCCAGCGTACATTCGATGGTCCCCGTATCCCGAGTGCGATTCCGTTACCGAGCGCGCGCGATGCATCGATTATGATAATGAGTAGACTGGATCACGTTTGTAAACACATGTGCATTTCAAACGATAATAGGGAGTCGGGAACTAGCGCAGCTTTTATAGCGGGTACCAGTTCAAGCTGGTTCCCGATTCCCTTTTACAGTTCGAAATGCACATGTATGTGTTTACAAACGTGACTCATTATCATAATCGATGCATTGCGCGCGCTCGGTAACGGAATCGCATACGGGATACGGGGACCATCGAATGTACACTGGGCATGTAGAAGAGATCGCGTCGTTCAAACTTTAAACACGATCGCAAATTTAACGTGTTCAAGATCGCGAGGGGAGCTCTCCGAAATGAACGGAAAATTTCACTTTTTTTCCGGATCGTAAGTAAACTTAAGTACAACCATCTTAATCATCTATGTCTACTTGTACCTCAGGTGACATATCTAGTAATTTGGAGGCCATTTTGAAGGTGAAATCTGATGTTTTTTGTTGGAAAATGTTGGTTTTTGGGACTGTCAGTGACTATGTTGTCTAGGTCTCGGAATGGGCTTGGACCCTACTATCGCCAGACCATGTCCAAATTTTTAAAAAGGCGATAAGTTGGGTCCAAGTTACTCGGACTAGCCCTATTGCAGTTACTAATTCTTTTGACCATTTTCACTCGTACCCCCAATCAAAATTGTCAGATTTCACCCCCAAAACTAGTCCCATAAATGTGACGGAAATACTGGACTACCTCCGTGTTTAACGTCACACATCCCAATAAGCATGATTGATCATGTTGATAGGGCCATGCCATAAATGTGGCCAATTTACAGGACTACCTCCGTAAATAATACTAGTCCGAGTAGGCCTAACTTGGACCCAACTTATCGCCTTTGTAACATTTAGACATGCATGACATGGTCTGGCGATAGTAGGGTCCAAGCTAATGAGCAACAAAATTCTGTCATTAACCCAAAAACCCAAACATTGCCCAACAAAAACATCAGATTTCACCCTCAAAACTAGATACACCACCTGACACACATGCCTGAGGTACAAGTAGACATGATGATGATGGTTGCACTGAAGTTTACTTACGATCCGGATGAAAAGTGAAATTTCCCGTTCAATTCCAAGAGCTCCCCTCGCAATCGTGAACACGTTAAATTTCTGACTCGTGTTAATGTTTGAACGACGCAATGTGGTCTTCATGCCCAGTGTTCATTCAAACTGCTGGTTCACATCCACATTCAAGTAATTTCTGCCTTTTTTTTACCAATTTTGGATGATGGGGCTCTTTTTTCTTGACTTTGTTGTAATGAAAACCTTTGACATGTTCCAAATTTACTACATGTAGGGCCTATCATTATGTAGGCCTACGTCATTTGTCCTATTGATACTCCTTGAGTTTGAGTCTCACATAATTAATTAATCTCGTTGCACGGCGCAGTGAGAGGACTGGAAACTTGTCTAACATGTCTAAAACGGCATGTATTTGACGGCAACATGAAACAGTTGTCGATTGATCAGGCGAAAAAAGAACCGTCTAATCGTATGCGTGCATGCGGTCTGCATCTTTCTGCAGAGCTAACAACAGGTACAAAAGAATAAGGGAAAAATATTGCAATCTTAATTATATCACTTCCGCGGTTGTGTAAAAAGTCTATGGAGAGTCGAGAAAATATAATTAAGCAGGCCTATTTCCTAATAAAATTGGAAATGTTTCGCAGTCCCAGATACACGTCTTTTCATCATTTTTGCAATGACTGACCCTCATTGATATGAAATATGAAGAAAAAAGCAGCATCAAGTTGCAACATTCTTTCCTAAATGACGTAAATATAGAGAAAATTTGGAACACGTCAAAGGTTTTAATTTCACACAATTCATATGACATTGTTATGGGTCTAGTTCTAGTTAAGCTACAATTTTGTTGGAAACGAATTTAAAAGACATTGACGAATTGGAAAGAAGGTTGCATCCTGACGCCACTTTTTTTTTCATCACATTATAATTTCATCTCAATGAAGGTCAGTCATTGCAAAAATGTTTTAAAAAAATAATTGAATCTGGGACTGGGAAACATTTCCAACTTTGTTAGAAGGTAGAAAGTACTTTGAATATAAACTCTTCTCTCCATAGACTTTGTAGTTGTACACAACCAGAGAAGTGGCTTCAGGATACTGCATTCTTTCCAAGAAAGTTTGCAAAAAGAGGCCTGGGTCAGGCATGCAACTTTTCCTCGGATCCGCTGATTTCCTTGTTTTTTACTTCTCATGAATGCCATTACAAATTAAAAAACGCTGTACAAAGTCTCATGTGGTTTGGAATTTCCTCATTTTTTTCAAAATTCCCAGTTGCATGCCTGCTGGGTGTATGTACATGTACTTAATTGTCCTTACATGGACATTTTAAGAGCTTTGACATACAGAAACTGTGAAAACTGAAGCCTCACCCATATATACATGTACACAGGCCAGAGGTTTTTCAAGTCAGATGGCAGGGAACACAGGAGTTGCGTCCAGTAAAGAAATCATGGCCTCCCAGAAGCAACTGCACAACCAATGTGAGAAGATATGGACAGAAGTCAATCAGGTAATGATGATATCTAGCCGGAGAAAATTGCAATTCACTGTGTACTGGTTAAGTTTATTGATATCAGTTAGTTACTTTTTATCATATTGACCATGTAAAATAAATCCCCATTCATTTGATATTAAATTTTTTTACCAGCGTTCTTTATTCCAATTTGAGACAAAATTCAAACAAAACCTACTATATCTGATTATGACATTACAACTGCATGTATGTATCAAAGAGCACATGTACAGTGTAATGTCCGTGACAGAGCCATTAACCACATCTAATTGATGATTCAGAGAAATGATCCAAAACTCCTTGTGTGTAATTTCCTTGAAGGTGATGGATACATGTACATGCTGAACATGTAGAAGGATTGAAAAAGTACATTTTCACATTTATTCACAGCCATTACAATACATGGGCTGGAATTGTTGTACAGCATACCTGTAGGAGTGCCAGTAAATGTTGTGATTTTGATTCTCTTTTTGATTGTATTGACATAGATTCATGCAGATTTAGCAAAAGAGAAACCACTGGGTACCCTAAGTGCGGCTGAAAATCAGGTCAGTGTAGAGGATTTAACATGGAACAGAAGCAGATTGTGGAATCATTTGTGCAGAATTCCCTGCAAACTCTATATTTCCCTGTCATGTGTATTATCATCTTGGTCTATTGTTGATAAATTGCAAGTATGGGAAAATATGTTGCAACCTGACGCCACTTCAGAGGTTGTGTACAAAGTCTATGGATAGTCAAGAAGTATTTTCTAACGAAATTGGAAATGTTTCCCAGTCCCAGATTCAAGTATGTATCGTAAAACAAACTCAATTGCAAATCATCCAGGCTCAAGTCCAGTGCCAATCTAATCAAAATACTTGGACTCAAATTCATGGCACTCGTACTTGAAAAGCGAAGCACTTGGACTAGACTATTTGATACTGTACTCCTTCGTCAAAGTACTTGATTATAAGGACTCGGGGGAAAAATCTAGTAATTTAGTTTTGAATGAAAACTCTCACTTGGAGACTCACATGCTCCGTTTTAGTCATACTTACTGAATAGTACAGGGCTGTGGAGAGGATCTATTTCCTTTGTGTTGGTCCTAGCTCAGATTACATGATTCATATATATATGTACCATGTACTTGTATTCAGAGGTCCAAGTACTCATACTCAGCTTCACAGAACTTGTACTCAAAGGTCCGAGTAGTTGAACTCGGTACCTGTATTCGTTCTCAGGGGTCAAAGTACTCGCATGCGATTGGTACTCCATAGCTTGGTACTCGGCAGTACTTTGTACTCGGGAAAAAAGTACTTGAATACAACACTCCTATTCAAATGAACTGTGACCAAAGTAATATTGATTGATTTGAGCTGCTTTGCCCTGAAATAGCAACATCGAGCTGTTTACTCCCCAGGGGGCTGAGATTGTCTTTGGAATGTTTCATTGGCCCAGTGAGCAGGGAATAATGATGTAGCGCCTTGAGCACCAATACTGGTGGATAAATGCGCTTTATGAATACACACATTATTATTATTAATATCATGTTTGTGTCTTGACTTGCTGTCTGACTTGTGATTGAGTTGTGATTTCTTGATCACAGCCCGCTGAATTGCCATGAAGACGCTCACTAAATTACTAAATTACTACTAAATTGCTAAAATGTTCGCGTTTGTCACACTATTCTCGTTTTCTCTCTGTAGATGCTTGAAGTTTGCAAAGCAAAGGAAAAGCAACTGGCAGGGGAGATACATGTCCTAAAGAACACCCCTCTAGAAGGTAACACCCCAAATATAATAAGATTGCAGCTACTTTTCATTCCAAAACTCACTCTTCAAAACTCCCTTTTGAGCATTTTGTCTGTAAAAAATGGCATAAATGTAAATGTTGAATGTAATAAAGGTTCTACCGCACAGCTGTGCCCATACAGGGCAAAAACATTATGTGGCCCTTTTGCAGTATTTTCTGGTGTAGTTCCATGTTTTTATGCTTTCCAATTTGGCAGATAATTTCACGTATTGGGAAAAAGCACACACTGTCTGCTACAGTTTTGCGCACATTCCAGCACTAATTGGTTTGAATGTGATGCAAGTGGTGTGATGCATGCTGGCTGTAATCAGAGATGAAACTTTTCCGATTTAAATCGGAAGTCCGACTTTTTGAATTTTCCAACGAAATTTCCGATTTTCTTACAATGTGTCCCACAAAATTTGATTTTGTAACAATTTTTTCACAAAATGTCATTTTATTTCAATCATAGTTTCGAAGAAAAGTCGATGGAAATGGCACGTTAAAATCATCGCAAACATAGTTTTAATCTCTTTCACCAGTCGTTATTGGATTTGTTTCAATGGTAGAAACACAGGCCATAACACTGATCGGAGCCTTCTCCGGCTGGACAAAAGGTTAAACATTGACAGGTGACATGGAAAAATCACTGTGTCGCACATGTGTGCGAAGATGATATGCAATGGTACCAGCGTACGTTCCGCACACTGATCTCTATATAGAGACTGGATAGCGGATAACCATTCACACAGTAGACTTTGCATATTGACCAATTCGCCCCCTGTCTCACAAAGATGGGCGCGTATACGAAGGTTCTACGCGTATTAAACAGCGCGCACTGTATCAAGAGTTGACGCGCATTTTGGTCACATACACGTATTATGATGTTCTAAAAGGGACAGATTTCCGTAGTGATTATTATTTCCAAAACGCCGAAAAAGGAACTGCGGCATTAAAAAAAAAGAAGTAAACCACCACGTTAGAAAAATTATAACCGTGGTCAGTGGTGGTGGTCAAATAAAAATCAAGAGAACCGCGATGTTACAAAAGTAATCATGATGCCTATAAAGACGGCAACTTGTCCTTTGTAGATCACCAGCCCGTCTCACCGGTCTCACCAATATGGCGACAAATTCATTCATTGTGTGGCTCTTTATCCGCTATCCAGTCTTTATATAGAGATCAGTGGTTCCGCATCGTGCCGTCCGCTAGCACATGGCCAGTCGGGAACGGGTAGCCTTGTGAACGATCCAGTGGATAAAATCATTATGTTGTGCGATTTTCGGAGGTTTCAGATTTAGTTGTACAAAATGCAATGCTTTAAAAATCGTGATGATTATCTCGAGGATAGCGAAGACAGCATTAGCAAAATATTTCACGGGCATTTGTTGGAAGAGAAAGACGATAATGCCTGATTTTTCCCCACGTATGAATGTAAGTGGGAGTAGTGGAGTTGTGTGGTTGAATCATGGACGTGATTGAAGCACCATGAATGGTGCCCTTGTCTTTCGGACTTTTCCTCGACTTTCTCAAGTAAGAAGTGAACTTCTTTATTGATGACTCCATTACCCTAACCGTAATTCAGGCGTTTTATGCAATGAAAGCACTGACCATTTTTTTTTTTCGTCGTAAAATTTTGTTTGAATCGAATTTAAAAAAGGGGGTTGGTGTCCGGAAATTGGGCATGAAGTGTTTTGTACATACATGTATATGTGTGTGTAACTGCAGCGCGGCCCAGATTTCGGACACATACTTTTGTTCGGCCTATTTTCTGAATTTTTTTGCCATATGCCAGTTTCATCTCTGTGTAATGATTAGGCTGGTGGTGCCTTCAGAATTTAGCTGTTGGACTCATAAACTTCCATTTCTTTTCCAGCATACCCTTCTGATGCAAACACACTGAGAGTTTTGCTGCAACAAGAGTTGGAAACGTCGACAGCTCAGCTACAGCAAACACTTGATATTGTACAGACACAGAGGAAAGAGCTCGAGGAAGAGTTAAACAGGTGAGTGGCTTTCTGTCGTGGAACTTAAGAGAAGTTGGTAGCTTTCAACAAAATGAGTTCTGTCAATTAACCCTAACTCCCTAGGCATTTTGGCTAGGATGCAACCTCAATCCTGCAAAATCGTCCAACTTCCTCGACGTAAAAATTGCATATAGCCTGAATCCTACAAAAATCCTCTATTATTCCGTAAACGTGGTCCTTGGAGGGGTGACCACTGCTTCAATCTTGCAAAATCCCCCAGCAATCACTGTCAGTATGTGTGACATCCTGGAGTAGTGTGGAGTATTTCAAGTGTAATGTAGGCCTAAATTTATGCCCGGCTGATCATAATCAACATAGGGGCTGGCCCAAAACCTTGATACAGTGCATCCTCCAAAATCAGCCACACATTTTTGCCATAAAGCCTCCATCCTGCAAAATCCTCTGTTATGCAAAGAGGATTTTGGAGGATTTGGAAAGGTTAGGGTTAAAGCGCTCTATACTGCAGAATTGGAAAGTCTGTGAATAAAGGTTAAAGGGTCGCTCTCTGTGTCCAGCCACCAAAATCAGTTGTAAAGTGGCATGATTACGTGGTGAATGACACTCACACTGCACACAATTACTGACAGAACTTATGTTGAACATTGTATAGTTAAGAGTTGAAGCATATTTGTGTTCATACTATTGTAATCTACGGTGACAAAAATATAAATCTTTGAAAAAGATATCACAGATTTCTGTGTGGGACCCACATCCCAAAGTTTCTGACTCACTGGCAGAGACATCTCAATCACACTCCACCCCTGTGCTTGCCAGAGTGGGATGGCTGAATCAAATTTGCCCCCGGGCTCTGTGCACAAGTACCCCCTCAACGGTAAGGAAGGGAGAGTTGGGGGAGACCACTGGGAGAGACATTGGAACGCATTGCTGATGTCGCCTGACGCTAACGCAAAGACACTATGGTTTTTATGTACATTCCAGGCATGCAACTTTTCCTCGGATCTGCTGATTTCCTCGTTTTTTACTTCTCAAGAATGCCATTACAAATTGGAAAACACTGTACAAAGTCTTGTGTGGTTTGGAGTTTCCTTGTTTTTTATAAATTCCCTGTTGCATGCCTGACATTCAGACTAGAAGAAGTCATGCATGCTTCGCGCTATACGCATGTGTACCCCCACGGGAGCTCTCAAAAGTGGTCTACAAGCGCCCTCTCTTGTTCACAAACGGAGACCGTACACCAATCCTGTCACCGAAACCTCTGTATACTCACAGAGGCCCCCAGTAATGGCGTTATCATTTTACCAGATACATGTACATTGTATTGTTAGAAAGCTTGTTCAAAAGTTACCATTTTTGTGTGTCTTCTTTCTGTTTCAAGGTATTTAGTATTACAAGTTTGTACGAAAGTGCTTTACCTTGCAAATAAAAAGTTGAAAAAAGAGGCCAAATGTTTTTTATTTCCAAACAGGGAAAGGAGTTTATTGGAACAACACAAGGATGTCCACCAGAGTCTGGTCCAGAAACTGGAAGCAGCCAAAGACACAAGTCCAGAGCAGCACAACAGGTCTGTATCGTGGTCCAAACATTATTCTTTGTGTAGGTTTTGGAAAACTGATAAAAACAAGGATGTTTTCTACTTTTTGTTCATTTCTTGAACAATTTCCTATTGAATATGTCCATGTGATTGTCAAACTTTTATTCTCATTCATACATGTAAATACCTTTTTAATCAAAAGCCATAAAAAGTTGAAAACAATTTTGTTTTTAACCTTTTACTCCATGTTCAGGCCTCTTCTGTCTCCTTATATGGAGACTATATCAGTGATTTCCAAGCACCTGGTTGTGGCCGAAACCCGGAATGCATACTGCGCACTCATGGCGCGGAGCGCAGGGTCCTGAGACTGGTCTTAAACATCGCTGGGCAGTGTTTAAATGACTGTGCTGGCAGGAATGGGCAAACTCTCCCAGGTTTTTATGAGTAATAGATAATAAGATATCAATTTTTTTTGTTTTGGTTTAGCGACAGAGGTTTGAGGGACTTGACAAGGAGGAGACAGCGTGCTGCTGAGATCCAGCAAGAACTAATGCGTAACCTTGCCCACTTTGCCACCAAACACTTCCCTCTCCCCTCCGCAGCAGATATCAACAAAGCAAGTAAAAGGGTACGTAATTCACTTCTGTTTTTGTTTTTTTTAATCTGCTTGGTCAGTCTTACACCCATTTTAGACCGGTGCTCCAGAGTGGCACCTAACCAAAAAGTATTAGGAGGGACTCTAGGTGTTCGCTCGGTCCCCTCCCCCCTCCCCCTTTGCAAACAGGACGCTGGGATATGCTGATGAATTCACGCTCTGATTGGATAAATTTTGCGTGACCTGTGACCTGCAAGTCATCATGGCCACGACCCTGCAAGGTTTCAAATTGGCCATTAAGACTGAGTCATCACTCTTTTATTCCCATTCATTAATGTTTTTACCCTTGAAAATCGTAATTATGTAGGAAAATCTGTCAAACGTATCTGTTTTGTAAATTTTCAATTCTCGTCACTTGCACAGGCTCTGTTTCGAATTCACGAAGGGTCAAATTGCATATAATGCAATGCTCAAAGTTTGTCCACATGGTCCGCAATGAGAAAGAAATCACATCCGTTATATAGAATGGGTGCATTTCTATGGGAAAGTTTTCGGATAGTATTTGCGCGCATTGGCTAACTGCGGTCTTAAACAGCTGCAGCCAGATGCTTTATACATAGGTCATAGGCCACTTCCTTTACAAGAGTCTGTGAAGCTCATCAGCGTATCCCAGCGTCCTGTTTGCAGGGCGGGGGTACGAGCGAACTCTAGTTGACCCAAATAGACTTCTGTTTCAGACAGGCAAACTTTATGCTTTGCTTTGCATTGTTTCTACTCCACAGTCATTCTTAATGACTGTAACAGTCCATGGTTTCAATGTTATACTGTACACAGGTATCTCATGTGGACATTTTTATACACTCAATGGAAACCTTCCAAATAATTTGGTTGGGTGCGATTCTTGTCCACTGGTCTGCAATTGGTGTGAAAGAGTTTTGTTTAGTGACAAAACTGCTAATGCTCTTAACCAAGTACAAAATAGGTGTATGATTGTTAACTTGTTTATTTTAGGTATTCTATCTTATTGGTACATTTGGCAGACTTTCTTTTAGGCCAAAAAAAAATCTCCAGTTTCTGGTATGCGCACGTGTCGCCGTAGCCATGCGCGTCGGCAAAATGAAAAAGTTTTTTTTTCAATGAAAGATGATGTCTCAAACGGCCAAACTCACTGATTTGACTGGAATCCTGCTGCTGCACAATTATAACGTGTTTTTAGATGGAGTTACGATCGAGAATAAGCTTTATGTGGCCTCTCTGGACTTTCACATATTTGCACTAAGTTTAGTCGGGCACCATTTGCAGTCATCAGCCGGAAAGAGTAAAATGATATTCCATGTCATTTTCAAGTTGTCATTTTCAAGTTGTCATTTGACTCCTTTCAATATTTCTTTTAAACAGAGACGGAGCTCAGCTGAATCAGATGAAGAACAACATCGTTACATATCACTCCTGGAGATACTAGAGGTACAGAGTTCTTGGTCATTTTATCATTCCCATTTCCAGAATATAAGAATGTGTCCAAATAAGGCATGTTTGGCTTACAGAAACTGACAGCGATTTACTTGCTAAAAAAATGCTAGATTTAAAAAATATGGCCTTATGTTAATTTTCCATGACACATTCATGGTCAACATTCTGGGGTATTGTGCACGAAGGAAGAGGAACCCATTCAAATTCTGCAAATATGGTGATAAATGTTCAAATATTCAACTTCTTGATGAACAGAATTTGTTTTTCTAAAGTTAGCATGTACAAAATGTCTTGTGTTGGAGCTGGAATTACACAAGTCTGTTGTGGTTGTGGAGACTACACATACATGTTATTCAGGCATGCAAGTTTTCCTCGGATTAGCCGATTTCCTCGTTTTTCACTTCACACTCATGCCATTAAAAATTGAAAAACAATGTATAGTCTCGTAAAGATTGGAGATTCCTCTTGTTTTTGGTTACTTCCAAGTTGAAGGCCTGTATATTGTAAAAATTGAGATCTAAATTTTAAATAAGGTTTAAAATAAGTACAGCCATTGAACTTGAAGCCATTTTGCTTCATTTTTGAACATTGTATTTTTTTCCATCCCCTCGGCAGGTTCTGATGAACAAGTGCACAGACGATGAGCCAGATCCTTACATCACCTTGGATGAATCCTTCTGGCCTCCCTACGTAGAGCTACTCCTGAGGTGCGGCATTGCCTCGCGTCACCCACAGGCCTGTCAACGAATCCGATTGGTGCCCTTCCACGTCTGACCTCATGAATATTTATTATATAAATGTGTTGAGGTGCGGCATCACTTTGCGTCAACCACATGCCTGTCAACGAATCCGATTGGTGCCCTTCCACCTCTGACCCTCATGAATATTCATTAATAGGAATGTGTTGAGGTGCGGAAGTGCATTGCACCACCCACAGGCCTGCAAACGTATCTGATTGGTGCCCTTTCACCTCTGATCCTCATGAATATTCATAAATATGATGTGTTGAGATGCGGCATGGCGTTGCGCCACTTACAGGCCTGCAAACGAATCTGATTGGTGCCCTTTCACCTCTGAACCTCATGAATATGTAGTAATGAATTTGAACTGTATGGGACAGCACATGCCACTCAAGCTTATGTTTGACGTGTACTCTGCACAGCATGTGCCCACCGTGTTTCACAGAAAATCACCCACATCAGTGAATCATTGTGCGACCACTATGCCAGTTATATCAGCAGAGTTTTAAGCGACATCTGTTGAAACATTATGACCACAGAGACTGCAACATTTTTGCTGCTGGTTACAGTGAACAGTGGCTTTTAACCCAGAGACCCAAGCAATTTTTTTTCTCAGGAGTCTTTAAAAGTCCATTGCCCAACTTGAAATCAGTTGTACATCTTTCAAATTTCAAGGGTTTTCAAGCCTGCGAAACAAGGCAAAGTGGCTAGACTCGTTTTCCCCTCAATCCTGCGCAATCCTTCAAACTTCTAGTTGGTTTTGGAAAGATCTGCAAGGGATCAGGATGAGCCATGTCGGCAGCTTTGTCGTGTTTGTTGCACAGAGGACAATGTCACTGTGACTGACGGGAGACAATGGGTCCTTCCTGCCTGTCAGTCAAACAGTGTCCACTGACCAATGAGATCACTACTTGTTGGTCAGGTGACAACATTAAGCACTGAGAAGCCCACAGAAACCATAGGTGGGTGGGGCTTATAGGTGGGTGGGGCCTTTTGCCAACTTTGGAACTGTTCATCGTGCATTTTGTGCACATTATGATCACCTTTGCCTCAAACACAGTGGAAAGGTCACCAGCGTTGATAATTGGCTTTTGTGTTGTCACTACACGAACATGACTGCTAGCTTTAATGAAAGTTTTTAGCAGTAAATATTTTTACTTTGCTGTAAATATTGTATTTACCAAAATGTTTTGTTGCTTGCATTTTGTATCACATTGTAGCAACATGCAATGGAAGTTATGGTACAACTGTTACCTGTAAACTATTCAAATTTTCTTAGACTTTTTATCAATTTCGATTTATGAATGTTTCTACATGAGAAAATGATTTCCTGATAATAAATACAATAAATGATATGAAATCTAGAATGCAGACATGTAGAGGCAATATATTTTATTACCCGGTAAATCTTGAAAATCACACTGGTAACCATAGTTTAAGCATTCTCAATGAAAATCAAAGTGGATTTTCCCTCACTTCACACAACAGATTAATACAGTGAACATTAGTGTTTTTGTTCTTTTACAGTAAATCAACTACACGGTGTAACATGCAAATTACTCGCTCTGCAGGGTATGATCGTGTGACGTCAAAGAATCACGTGACCATCTGGTTTTCCTGTGATCGGCCTCCATTGCAGTAGGCAAGCTTTTGATTAGCAACCACGTCGTGCTTTGTTAACTGGACAGTAGGGCTTTTTTTCACATAAAATATCTGCAAATAGTTTATCAAATGACACAATGGTTTATGTGTCATGCACAGTTGTCATAATCATGCCGACCCAGCAGTGGGTGTTGGCACCGCAGTTTTCTCGCCCATCACAGCCTTGAAGGCTGAAAATAATTTTTGTAAAATGCGAATGCAAATAAATTGACTACTAAAGGCAAAGTTCGCTGTCTGACCTTGATATTGTACTATGTGAAGGAATTTCAACTGAATAAAGCACACTTTATCTATTCTCACACCTTAATGTGACGACATCCGATCTCAGACTCTGTAACATTAAGGAATATGGGGAAAAACAAGTTTCTGATCTTTAATTTCCAACACATGAGCCTGAGGTACTGTGGGGTATTAAAATCATTCTTCAATTTCAAAACTATTAGCAAAAACCAAACTACATGTGTGCTATCTGTCTTTGGCCTCCTCTTGCTCTTTCGCTTTTTGTCTTGCTTCATCTCGTAACCGTCCCAATTCACCTCTTGCAGGAGGAACATCAGGTATTGACTGCAGAAAAAACAAAATGAAAATACTTACAATGCATCGACCTCCAGTGTTAACTATCATTGCTTTAGTCAGGACAAGCAAGTCCAGCAAACTGAACATACAAAAGCAAGATGTTTTATAAGCCAGTTTGGTATTTCAACTGCGCATGCGCGCAATGATATTGGTCACAGGTCATTGGGGATAATCCAACGCTCATCAAAGGCGCATGAACACGCAAAGAGACGGTCGGCACAATGCTCACCTGTTGCATGTAATTAAGAGCAGAATGGGCATTCGCGTAATATCACGGTTACAAGATGCTTGATGATGTCGGCCATTTCATCCCGAATGACCTTTGACCTGGACCACTTAATCAACATACCGAAGTGTCCTATTCTGGGTGCAGTACTTTAAAAGAAACTGTAGTGAACTTGATATTGCACATACAGGAAGATATTAAAGAGGTCGTGGAATGCTCAAAAACATTTCCATCATTTTTGGGGTATATGTAGCCTAAGGTGTGATGAAATAAAAACGACTATTGTTTCCGTCATGAAATGAGTACAAAGGTTACTTTTGAGAGCTATTTTTCAGGTCCTGTTTCGACCGGAACGTGCAATTTGTGTAAAAGTCGTCGTTGCGGGCAGCAAACAAAACACAGTACATAATAAACAGGACTCGTTTATGCTACTCTGCATCGGGAGTCCTGTTTATTACGTCACGATTTACTGTGTTTTGTTTGCTGCCCACAACGACCACTTTTACACAAATTGCACGTTCGGGTCGAAACAGGCATGACATGACTTGAAAAACAGCTCTCAAAAGTACCTTTTGTACTCATTTCATGACAGACACAATAGTCGTTTTTATTTCATCACACCTTAGGCTACATATACCCGAAAAATGACGGAAATGTCTTCGAGCATTTCACAACCTCTTTAAAAATTAACAATCAAGTACAAGCGTAGTACATTTGGATTTACCATGTCTGGCTTGTAGTAAGCATGCACAGCCTGTGCCCCTGCCATCATGGACAGCATTCCTGCAGCCAGGAACTTCAAATACGGAAGCCAGTCAGCTCCAGCCGGCATTTTACTGACGAACTGTGAGTTGCAATCTTAAAACAAAATCTCAACTTGTCTGAATGTTCACCAAGTTTGGCTTCTCTTCACGGAGTTTTCACTTTGATATTGTGAGTTTAGTTGTTGGAAATATGCTACAGGTAACATAAACGAAGTTTGTTGTTCGTATGAAGCGACGGCCTTTTTCCAATCTCGTCACTCGCAGCAGGTCTGTCAAGGACATAGAGTTCCAGACCAGATGTACTCAGACGGATCACACTTGTTGACTTTCCTCCACTGGTTTGGCTATTTTCTCAGCATACAGTTGTTCAGCTTGCTTCCTGCGGTAAACATCATCTGCAAATAATTGAGAAAAGCAGTATGACATTGTTCACACTGAACTGTACATTTCATAAATGTTCAGAATATGACCGACTTTTATCATACTGAGTCGACAAGTTGTTCTGCACGCAGTGATGTCTTATTTAAATTCAATTCAATTTTTAATTCAAAGGCAACATTTATTCAAAAGTATCATTTCAAAATATGCCATATGCTCAAAAGTTTAATGGTGCATATTTTCATATAAATTTGTGTGTCCATATTTTTCCAATTTTATTCCAAAGTCTTTGGGTGGAAGGTGATTATCTATTTTTTTTTTTGGTAAGTGGATATTTTGCTGTGACTGGCAATACACCACTCAACGCTATCTTGCTGTAAGTGCCCTGTGATTGGCTGTTTCGATGACGATGGGAAAGTTATGTTTATTTATGAGAAAAGAATATGATGTCACGCTATCGTTATTACTTAGTCAACTAGTTATGATACGGTACATTAAAGCATTTTTTTAAAAACAGGATGTTGTCAAGCTGCCACAGTACAGTAGTCTTGTGGGAAAGATTCCCATATCTGGCCATCACTTGTCACCCTGTGCACAAACCCAATGGGACTGGTCTGAAATTTTTTTAAGTGTTTTCTCAATAAAACCTCAAAATTTGTCCCTGCTAATTTTGACTTTTTAGGACATTTTACCACTTTTTTCGGAAAAATTCTGCCAACCGGACACCACTTACCTGCCGCCAAACATCCAAATTTTCACCTCACCTTGTGATTTCAACCAAGAGGAATCCAGGAAAGAGTGGACATGCGAAAAAAAATTGGTAAAAATGTGTTTTTGGAGCACATTTTGCATGCACATGTAGTGCAGATCTGAGTTGAAGCAGTCGGTCAAAACTGATTGAAGTGTCTGGAACAGCGGTACGTTGTACGCATGACATCGATAACCATGACGTCGCATGAGACGTCGCATGAGCCGGCCAATGATAGTGCAATACGTCATTATGAATATTTATTTTCTCATGAATATTTAGTTTATTTCAATGGATACTTCAAATACGTCCAAAGATTGATCATTGCAACAGCGATCGTGCGCGGCCTAGCGGTTAAGAGACTCGTGTATCAAGCAAGCGTTCGAGGTTCGAATCTCGAAGAAGTGAGCGACTGACTGATAAATAGACATTAAGGAAAGGAGGGGGTGAGAGTAGAGGAGGGAAAGTGGAGGGAATAACCATAAAAGAGGTAACTTTTGGCGCTAGAAAATTTATTGAAAAAAGTGGTGTCCGGTTGGCAGAATTTTTCCATTTCTAACCCCCCAATTCCATCCATTTCTGAAAATTACAGCAAAAGCAAATGATGTATATTCCCTTTAAAGGGAATGTACATCATTGGCGTTTGCTGCAATTTTCAGAAATGAACTATTTAAGGGGTTAGTATAATAGATCAAATTTTGTTACACTGACATGTTTGAAGTTTTTTGTTCGAAAATGCTGGAAAAACCAAGAAAAACAAAAACGTTCAAGTAGTCTGGTTCCCTGACTCCACTAAAGTTAAAATGGATCAATTTCCAGATGCCGGAAAACTGTAAGGTAAGGGAACAAGTCTAGCTGGCCTACACCCGTTCATGAATATGTAACCGATAGCAAACAAAATTTGAACTGAATAACAAATGGTAAATTTGGAGCAGTTGTTGCAAAATAGTTAGGTTTTTCCAACGGTGGTCGGCCGACCACCGCTGGAAACGTATACAAAAATACAATTTTCCGTGAAAATGACTTCACACCAGGTGCCACAATTTTACAGGATGCTTTAGATTGTCATTTACCAACATCCTAGTAAGGTATTTCGTAAAAACTTGGTAGTTTTATTTGTCGATGTTTGCAAATGTTGTATATTCCCTTTAAGCTCCATGCTTTAAATAAAAATCATTTGGGTTGCAAATGAGCATGGGTAAAGCACTTTGATAAATTATGGATCAAATACAACAAAGCTATTTCACTTTAAATCTTAAATAAGAATAGCACTTTAGAAATAGCACTTTAGCAATATAGCACATTAGCAGCACGATAAAATTTTGTAAGGCAATTGAGATAAAAAAATTTAGTCTGGTACCCCACAGTCAGCTATCTATTCACGTCTATTCACAATTAGCACAGCAGGAACCGCGTATGACTTACAGAAAGTTTCTCGGCCCGGTGCAATGCGTGCGTTGATCATAACCCATTCAATCGACGCCCCGACAACGAAGAACACTGGCAAGAATCGGTAGATTCCGAACCTTCTCTTTCCTGGCCACTTATTGAGAAAGTTTCGAAGTCTTTTGCTGTAAAACATCGGGGAGTTTCGGTGAGTAACTTCTTGCGAACGCACACAGTGGATTTCATTTTTGAATTGCGCCCTCTGTCGATGTGTGATGTCCAGTGTTGAACATGTGTCAACTGATTGTGCAATTAAATGAACTTTGTCAACACAAAACTGAAAGTAGGCCTAGCTAGGTCACAATGGTCAGTAAATAAATTTGTACTTGTAAATTGTGATTGAACATTTTGAGGTTGGTTCTTGAAGTCTTCATATTTTCTGTTGAATTTTGTGGGTAAGCTGTCATGGCTGTAATCGTGTAGTTTAGACAACTCCCTCTTCATGCTTTGTAAATTGTAGCTGTAGTTTTGTTCTGTTCAAAACTTGACTTTTGCATAGCCATAGGCTACATGAATTTTGCAAATACATCAGTCATCATTACATGACTGTCAAATTTTCCAAAAATAACTTTTGCAGCCCCTTACCATGCAGACAGTATTTTTTTTACTGAGATTAACTCTAGTTTTTGTAATTTTGATAAGAAGGCCTACTTTGGAAGAAAATGTGATTTTCTTACCTGTTTTTAGCACATGAGACGTGGGCGTATACACACAGTGTCACAGCAGTTCAAGCCCTTTCATAATTTTACCGTATAAATAGCGTATTTTACCGCATTTTTCCTCATAAATAGTCCCAGTATAAACTAGGACTCTACGAATCGCCTTTTTTGGACATGGTTAGGCGATAGTAGAGTCCGGGGACGAGGTTCATAGCCATGTCACGCCCCAACTATCGCATCGGTCCCAACTATAGTTGGGACTGTCCCAACTATAGTGCGGCAGTTGGGTCGGCCCAACTATAGTTAGGACTGGAGTTGCGCCGGATGCTTCATGCTTGATAGATCTTGTTGGATTAAATGTTCCGCGGCGCTGGCACCGTGTATTCGTCGTGCATGCATGCCGCAAGGCTGGCAGGTCACGTGGTACTGCCTAGTTGGACGAGTTGTCCAGCTGCTGGGTTTTATTATCCAGCAACATTTTGCAAAATTCAAAGATTGCCATGGCCGGCCAACTATAGATGGGCCCCACCCATAGCTAATGTCAAAGGTCCCAAGTCGGACATGTAAGCCAATGTAAGAAGAGCTGTAGAGAGTGTTTTATAGTCGTACATCAGTTGTAAACTATAGTTGGGACTGCCAAATAAAAATATTGTGGTGGTCCAACTACAGATGGTCCAATCCCATAGATCATTTCATTGGTCCCCAGTAAAGTCAGATGTGTATTAGAGTTGTAGGGAATGTTTTATAATCGTACAACAATGTACACTATAGTTGGGACCGCAAAATAAAAAGATTGGGATGGCCCAACTATAGATTCGCCCCATCAATAGCTAATTTCAGTGGTCCCCAGTAAAGTCAGACGTGTATCAGAGCTGTAGGGAACGTTTTACGGTTGTACATCAATGTAAACTATAGTTGGGACACCGCAAAATAAAAAGATCGGAGTGGCCCAACTATAGATGGGCCAGCCAACAATGGAACTTACAGTTGGGACCGTCCCAACTATAGTTGGGACAGGCCCAACTATAGTTGGGCCAGCCCAACTGTGGAACGACAGTTGGGCCTGTCCCAACTATAGTTGGGACACGCCCAACTATAGTTGGGACCGATGCGATAGTTGGGGCGTGACAGCCATATCACGACTTCCATGAGATCAATTCCACTCATTTTCAACATACCCCAAACAAAAGCCAGGAAACAGTCGTTCAGCCTATTGCAGCTACATGATGTCACGCACTGAACCTATATGTATGAATTATAGCAAGCTTGCGCGTGTGTGCATTGTGTCACTGCTTGTTCCCAATGCCCACCCATTCTCGGCTTCGCCGAATTAAAAACGAACTAACTAACAGAAACTTCAAAAAATGCTTCGTTAGACGCATCTTTGGAAATTACCTTCTTTTACTGTTTTCTTTAAAATGACAGCATGCCAAAGAGAATAATTTCACAGGGAGTTTAGTGCCATTACTATCTAAGTATCTTTAAACCAAGTATGATTTTCAACAATAACTTTTGTCAGTTACTTTTTGGATTGCTGTAAATGATTTACTCTACCTTTAAAATCTCCTCCAGTTCTCGTACTAGAAACAGTCGGAGCAAAGCAAACATCTTTTGAGGATGGCTGGGGTTAGGACCTACCAGCAAGAGCTGGAATACCTTCATCAGCTATCGCCAAATGTCTGGCAGATCAAAAAAGGCTTTGTTTCCAACATGAAGGTAGGTATCCGTCGTGTTTTGAAATACGATAAATTTAGAGAGGCAAATCCAGCAACCATGAAGATGCTGGAAGGCGTCCAACAATTCAGTAAACTTTAGGGTGGACCCAAGCAATTGTGTCTCTTGAAATTGCCACAAAATAAAGGACTTTTATTTCAAACTCTTGAATGAACCTGGTTTATAACATAAAGGATCATTTTTATAGCTGATAAGGAAGACACTAAGATAAAGAAGTGTAGACAACGCAGTGTGACACAGTCACATAAAAACACTCGATCTGTGCATCCTCCTTGATATATACGTAACATCTGTGAAATTTGAGGGAAAAAACTTGAGCTGGACATAACAAATGTGTACAACTTTAGGTTTATGCACAGTATAAATGGTATCCTGAGTTCATGTACATGTAAAATGGTAGGCGCCCTCTGAGTGCCCGTTTGTGAAGTCAAATGACACGTAATGGCATATATCAAGGAGGTGTGCATTGGAGTGTTTTTATGCGACTGTGGCACATGGCGTTATTAATGCCATGTTTATAGGTCTAGAACAATTGATACTGTCAAAAATGCTCCAATAATGGCAAGAAGATCCAAGTTTGGATTTGCAAAATTAATCCTCCTAGTCGAACCGAACCCCCCCGACACCCCCCCCCCCCCAAAAAAAAAAAAAATTATACTGGTATAATGTCCGCCTGTTCAAAATACGGTACACCATTCTATAATCTAGTGTTAATAATCGTCGAATTTGAACAGCACCCCCTATTGAAATATGGTACCCCAGTTTTTTATTTTGCTGAGGCCAAGTGTCCAGAGAAAAAACAAACCTGTGTACATTTTCAGATTTTTTGCTGATGAAACCCCCCCCCCCCCCCCCAATTGCGAAAATTCCTGGATCCGCCCCTGCAGTATTAATAAAAGTTTCTTTACCATGTGTGACAAAATTGCCACAATGGAAAGAATGCCCGGTGGGGGATGAAACTTCAAGAACATGCATTTCAAATTTGAAATATGTTGCTGTGGGCTATAAAATTACTACGATGGAAAGAATTCCCTTTATACGATACATGACGGAGAAAAGTTTAAGAACATGCTGTAGCTTAAGACCACAATAATTTTAAAAACCTATGCTTAGTATTCAAAACATTAAATGCATTCACCGGGATAGTAGTATATGTACTTTTGGTCTATTTAGTACAAACCTTGCCCCACTGTTTGTGTGCGTATAGGTGGAGGGACGTTTCTACGTCAACAAACAGTTGGAGAAGTTGATGTTCGAAGAGCTAAGGAATGCATCTGGGAGAGGTAGTAAGACTTCAGATATTGATTTCACTTCATGCTATGCATTTAAGTAAATAAATGATCCTAAATTATACAAACGTTGTTAGTCTTTGGTTAACTGGTACCCATCTTAATTAGGCCCATTGAAGTTGCACCAAACCACCATTACTGTATAAAATTAAAACTGTTTCAGGTTCGGACCAGTAAATAGACTTCCATAGACCCCAATGATAATTACGCGCACTTCCTTAAAATACTCAAAAACTCTCAAAGGTGTTTGAGACACTCATCAAAGTAAAGCTTATTTCTTCATCTTTCATTTTCTGTACAATTTTATTGCGGTTGACCAGTGACTTTTGGGAGAAAATTCCATCCAAAGATGATCACCCCTAAAAGAGGTCCTGAAGCCCATCGCCATTTTGAAAAAGGATGCCTACGCTCCATAGCAAAAAAAGAGAAATTTTAGGGCCTTATTTCATCCCAATTTCACAGAAATACCAGTATGAGCTGGCAGTCCTCTGCACGGCTTCCACCCTTCTTTTGTACAAATCCTCAAGTTCATGGCCCTCAAAATGCAAAGTCGTGATTTGGCCGGTGTAGGCAATTTCGGGCCTATACTTACTGGCCTGCACCCTTTAATACAACTGTTCCTGGCTGTCTCAATAAACATGTTGCATTAGCATTTAACTGTACATCCTAGTGGCTAGACAGCTTAGCACCTCGGTGCTCTAATTAAGGGACACACAATCAGTTATCTTGTTTGTCAAGGATTGTTCACTGTAATCAGATTAGGCATTGTACCCTTATTACACTGCCCTGTAGGCCTGTTACGCCCCAACTATCGCATCGGTCCAAACTATAGTTGGGACTGTCCCAACTATAGTGCGGCAGTTGGGTCGGCCCAACTATAGTTAGGACTGGAGTTGCCCCGGACGCTGTGGCCCAGCTATAGATGGGCCCCCACCCATAGCTAATTTCAGTGGTTCCAAGTAAAGGCAGACGTGTATATCAGAGCTGTAGAAATGTTACGGTAGCTGTACAGCAAGTGAACTATAGTTAGGACCGCAAAATTCAAAGATTTGCATTGCCCAAGTATAGATAGCTAATGTCAATGGTCCCAAGTAAAGTCGGACATGTATCAGAGCTGTAGGGAATGTTTTATAGTTAAACATCAATGTAAACTATAGTTGGACCGCAACAATAAAATATTGCACTGTGGCCCAACTATAGATGGTCCCCACCCATAGCTAATGTCATTGGTCCCAAGTAAAGTCAGATGTGTATCAGAGTTGTAGGGAATGTTTTATAGTCGTACAGCAACGTAAACTATAGTTGGGACCGCAAAATAAAAAGATTGGAGTGGCCCAACTATAGATTGGCCCTATCAATAGTTAATTTCAATGGTCCCAAGTAAAGTCAGATGTGTATCAGAGCTGTAGGGAACGTTTTATAGTTGTACATCAATGTAAACTATAGTTGGGACACCGCAAAATAAAAAGATTGGAGTGGCCCAACTATAGATGGGCCCCCTTGATGACTACCAACTATAGTTGGGCCAGCCCAACTGTGGAACTACAGTTGGGACTGTCTCAACTATAGGAACGATCCCAACTATAGTTGGGACCGATACCATAGTTGGGGCGTAACAGGCCTACCATGTCTATAAAGTTCATTCATGTGGAAATATGGGTGGTACTCATTGTGCGTCTGTTACATGTAACCCTCTGGCACGAAACCAGTCACTTGCGACCCATTTTTGATAACTAGGATTTTTTAGCTCATTCGGAAAGGACACTGACTAATTTTCTCCAATGACATATAGAATATGGTAATTGGAAAAGTGCTGCTGTTCCGTTGTAGTGTGAATTTTTAGGACTATGAAATACTGACTCACTGGTAGTGTTGCGCATGTCTGTGTTCAGAGGATTGTAAACATTCAACCAATAAAACATGTAAAATGGTAAAAGGCACCGGATTTCATAGGAATCCAAAGTTCATGTGACACTGGAAAGTCCAGCCAGTCTTTTATCAACCGTTTAAAACCGGCCACATGACGGGCTCTCGACCAACTGGAATGGGAACTGTCTTAAGTATTTATGAATCATCTTTTAAAGGGAATATACATCATTTGCTTTTGCTGTTATTTTCAGAAATGAATGGAATTGGGGGGTTGGAAATATATAGCAAATATAGTTACACTGACTTTTTTGAGGTTTTGGGTTCGAAAATGCTATAAAAACCAAGAAAAACAATCATTTTCCTGTAATCTGGTTCCCTGACTCCATTTAAGAAGAAACAGAGCAGTTTACATATATTGGGGAATTGTAAGGTCAGGAAACCAGTCTAGCTGGCTTGTACCCGTTCATAGGTGTGTAATCGATTGCAAACAAGTGCGATGGTCAACTGGGGCTAGTATTTGAAAAAAAGCCAGTTTTTTCCAACGCTGATCGGCCGATCAGCGTTGGAAAGTGATACAAAAATACCACTTTTCTTGAAAATGACAGTATACCAGGTGCCATGATTTTACAGGATGCTTTACACTGTCATTCACTTACAGTCCAGCAAGGTATTTCAAAATGATTTGGTAGTTTTATTTTTTGATGTTTGCAAATGTTGTATTTTCCCTTTAAGTCAATTTCCGTATTTATGAACTCGGTTTTATCACTACACTTTTCTGTCCTTGCAGCAATGGGCGGCTTTTTACCCGGCGTGAAGCAGATTGCCAATGTAGCAGCCTTACCGGGAATCGTGGGTCACTCCATCGGTCTTCCCGATCTTCACTCAGGCTATGGATTCGCAATAGGTAACGCATGTTATTTTTGTTCAATATTTCCTTTACACAAAGGCAAATGGGCAGGAACTTGTTTCAGCCCATCTACAGTGGCTTTAGCCTGCCAAGATTTAAGTCTGGCACTTTTGGACAACTTTCGAGAGCCCATGTAGGAGGGACACTTGCACTGTCTGGTTCATGAATATTTTATTTGCCACACACCGGTCGCATACTTTGGACCATTTAATACAAAAAAGGGAGGAATTCACTACAGAACTGGGTCCCATCAAACATGGGTAGTAGTAGGCAGGGCATACCGTTCACACTTACACCAGTATCTACACAAATTCACTGTAGATTCTGGATATTCTACCTGGGTAGAGCCTCTCAACCATAGTACCCAACCAGGATTACATTTTACCCTGAAGAGCATCGGACCCTTGTGGAAGCAGTGTTGGATTCTTGCTAGTTTGAAAAGGATTCCCGAAATCTCCAACACGTAGATTTTGGAAACCGTGATGGGCACTTTTGATGTTCAGCTTATATCATAATGTTCAAATGCTTCCCATTTGATTTATAGTTTTCCTTGTTTAATACCAGGCAACATGGCAGCCTTTGACATGGCCGACCCAGAGGCTGTTGTATCACCGGGGGGCGTGGGCTTTGACATCAACTGTGGAGTGAGGGTCCTGCGCACCAATCTGGATGAGAAGGATGTCCTGCCGGTAAAGGAACAGCTGGCCCAGGCCATGTTTGATCACATACCAGTGGGAGTAGGCTCCAAGGGTGTAATTCCAATGGGTGCTAGGTATGTTTGACTGAACAACAATCCCAAGAAATATGTTAATGTCACAAAATTCAAAAAGTGTGACATTTAGCATCAACTAGCAGATTTAGAGAAATAGCACTCAGACCTCGAACTAAATTTCCAAAATACATGTTTGGAATGGTCTGTTATGTTCTCGGCTGTTCATTTGGGAGAAGGTGTTCTTAAAACTGTCAAATACCAATCAGATATGGTGAAAATTGTATGGTGTCCATGTTTACATCGTTAAACCTGTTTTACTGTAAAATATCATGCTGAATAGCATCCCAATGCTCAGAAGCTTTCTTAGACAGCATTTTGGTTACTCTGAGCAACCTCTTATACTTATCTACAGATGTTTGAATGTCAGAAAATGTTCCCCAACTTCATGGAAAGACCCATACAGGGTGGCCCAAAAAACAATTTACACTTTTTCCAACGCAGATTTCTCAAAATTAGGGAGACATATTGAAATTGCTTTAAGATATTCCTAAACTACAAGGTCTTGATGGCAAATGGTGAAAATGGCTTTGAAAATAAAGCCTAAATTAAGAAATGATGTCCATTTACATAAAAATGGTCAAAAACCAGTTTGTCCACACGTGTATGATCATACGTGTGTGGTCATCAATATGGCAGTTCTTATTGCACTGTACAATTATTTTGACCAAGTTTCATAGACTTGCATGTGGAGTTGTGGACAAACTAGTTTATGACCGTTTCTCTTTAAATGGCCGTCATTTCTTAATCTAGTCTTTATTTTCAATGTCATTTTCACCATCTGCCACCAAGACGTTGTAGTTTAGGAATATGTTACAACAATTTCAACATGTCTCCCCAATTTTGAGAAATCTGCGTCAGAAAAAGTGTAAAGTTTGTTTTGGGCCGTCCTGTACATTACTCATTTGTGGATTCAGAATCTGTCATTAGTTTTTCCAAAAAAAATTCACTTCCTCTTGCAGAGATCTGGAGGAGGCACTAGAGATGGGTATGGATTGGTCTCTACGAGAAGGTATGTTCACTGGTGGCTGGTCTGTCAGGGGTAGCAAGAATTAGGATTATCAATGACCTGTTTTTTTACTATGGCTTGGGTCCAAATAACCATGTGGTCTGTAAGTATTATGTTTTTATGCTAATACCTCTCAGACCTAAAGGTTGAGTTTTGTAAAAAAAAAAAAAAAAAAAAAAAAAACAATTAAAATTGTTGAAATAAAAACACATTTGGGACCAAAGTGTGGTAGTGTTTTAGCAATGATGAGTGAAGTGCTTGCTGGAACTGATTGATCGGTTTTATGATTCACTATAGAGCGCACCACCAAGTATATGTCTTGCAGATGCCAATTTTTCAAACTACACATTCACAGGAGTGTGAAATCTCAGCTTTTTAGCTGATTTCAGCTTTTTTTGTTGTGGATTTCAGCTTTTTCCCCTCACTTGCTGTGTACAAAAGTATAGGAGATTTCCAAAATTCAGCTTTTTTACACCTTTTTCAGCTGTTTTCAGCTATTTTTATCAGTGGTCACTCACACCCCTGCATTCACTTCACATTTCAAACTTCACTTCTTGCATATATATTTATGCTACATTTAGGTTCTGTCCTTCATTGTTTACATGCAGCATGTGCACTACACACAACAACAAAGCAGTTGGAATGATAAAATAAAATGTTTTGAACTTGAAAAAAAAGGTACATGTATAACTGTCAAGTTGTATGCTAAAGCAATCCAGTTTTTCACCTGGATGGTGACTTTTCTGCCCATAAAGTGTTACAAAAAATGCCCCTGTGATAAACTCTTAGTGGCACTCTTTATAATTGATTCCACAAATCTTGTCCTTTAGGTTATGCCTGGGCTGAAGACAAGGAACACTGTGAGGAGTACGGCCGCATGCTGCAGGCCGATCCCAGCAAGGTCAGCTCCAGGGCCAAAAAGAGAGGGCTCCCCCAGCTGGGCACGCTTGGCGCTGGTAACCACTATGCAGAGATACAGGTGGTGGAGGAGATCTACAACGAGCACGCCTCCAAGAAAATGGGCATAGATCACAAGGGACAGGTTTGTAGAAGTTGTACAGGGGTTCATAATGTACACATATTGACTAGCAGTGAGGTGAATAGTCCATGACTAATAATAATAATAAGGTAGGTCTTAAAGCACTTCACAACTATTACCCTTGTTCATAAGGCCGTGAGACCACTTTTTTTTCTGCAACTCAGATCAGTTCAATATGGTCTGTACCCTCACAGGTACCCATTTATACTCTGAGTGGAGAGAGGCAATTGTAGTTAAGTGTCTTGCCCATGAACACGAGCACCATGTTCCCTGTCAGGGTTTGAACCAATGTACCATAAGGCCAAAAAAAAAAAGGCTCCGGTTTCTGGTATGCGCGCGCGTCGCCGTAGCCATGCGCGTCGGCAAAATGAAAAAGTTTTTTTTTCAATGAAAGATGATGTCTCAAAACCGCCAAACTCACTGGTTTGACTGGAATCCTGCTGCTGCATAATTTTAACGTGTTTTTAGATTAGGTTATGGTCGAGAATAAGCTTTATGTGACCTCTCTGGACTCCCATATATTTGCACTAAGTTTAGTCAGGCACCATTTGCAGTCATCAGCACACATTTGAAGCAAAAAAATCAGGTAAAAAAAAAAAAAAAGCCGCGTCACCGCACCACTTTTTGGGCAAGCTCCATACCAGAAACCGGAGACTTTTTTTTTTTGGCCTAACACTTGGTTCGTAACTGTAACCACTGGTCCATGGCGCTTCACATAGATGGGACTATGAGTGATCCCAAGAGGTTCCCCTTTGGCGTTGGGTTAAAAAGGCCAAAGTGAGGCATATAAGTGTACTTATCAATTTTAAGAGGGTGGGAACCAGTCTGTCTTGTTTGAAATCAAATATTGTTGGGCAGCAAATGGTTTGTAAGGAAAAGTGGGCTGATTTTATTTAATCAATTCTCATTCCAAAGTGAATTATTTCTGTATTGCTAGAAGAGTAGCAATTTAAAATTCTTTATTTTGGGGGAGACAACTTGGGAAATAGGACGGACAGTACAGGTACATGTACAATAATGTATCTTAAATATTGTATTTTGGCTGTTTTATGCTTTTTGTTTCTTTTTGCACTGCAATGCTTAGCGATTCTTTGTGTGTTTTCAAGCAAACCTGTGTCAAAAAAAAAATGACTAGTTCCCTGTCTCTTCTTCTGTACAGATCTGTGTGATGATCCACAGCGGTAGCCGGGGCCTTGGTCACCAGGTGGCCACCGATGCCCTGGTTGCCATGGAGAAGGCCATGAAGAGAGACAAGATTGACGTCAATGACCGGCAGCTGGCCTGCGCTCGGATACAGTCACAAGAGGGCCAGGATTACCTGAAGTCCATGGCCGCAGCGGCCAACTACGCCTGGGTCAACAGAACCAGTATGACCTTCCTGACCAGGCAGGTCAGTATGTAAACTATGCTTTATGCTAGCTTCACACATTTCCGAATTACTGCCACGAATACCCTGATCTATCCCGAATAAAAATTCTTGATGGCATCAGAAGAAATAGTTCCGATTCGCCGTTTGTAAGAATAACTTAAGAATGAAACAAAAATAATCAAGAACTAGGTAAGAATTGGAAGCCGAATCAGACCAAACCAAGCCGAATGATTGCAATTTTTTGCTGAATAAAACCGAATTGTAGCGATTTTGTCAAGAATAACATAGAATAACTCCAGAATCATCCAGCATGACCCAGAATCATGCCGATTTTATTACGAATTTAATAAGAACAAAGACCGCATGTAATGCGAACATTCCCGAACCACCCCGAACTAACCCGACTTCAATCAGAACAAGCCAGAATCATCCAGAACGAGGCAGAATCCAGGCGATCCCGGTACATAAACCGATCCAGACAAACGCTCATCGTCGGTCAGTTCCAGTTCTTAATAAATTCTTGGGAAAATCTGGATAATTCAGCATTATTCGTGATTCGTTCTTATTGTTATAAGTGGTCTCATGTGAGACCTGCAGCCGATTTCACAATGGCGCAACTCTGCTTGCGCCACAATGATTTTCAAAATGGCGGGCTGAGGTGAGCCAACGACCGTTTCCCGAAAGAACAAATTCACACACAAACAGCCGTCGTAAGTGCTGTTTTTATCCTCGCCCAAGATGTTTAAATTATTTCAAATGTTGCGCAGCTACACCAAGTTTTGTGAAAGCGATCGTAAGTTTACTGCGCAGCTGCGCAACTAATTTGTTGCGTAAGTCTTACGCATGGCGCAAGCTACGCACTTGTTTGTGAAATCGGCTGCAGTTGTAGTGAGCTAAAATCTTATTTGCCATTTAATTAAGTTTGTATGTGGATTTCACATTGTGTTTTGTTGGATTTTGCAATATGTTATTGACATTTCTTTAGTTGAATTTGATTACTTTTTTTATCCTGATGATCTTATTCCTGTGTATAGGCTTTTGCCAAGCAGTTTAAAGAGACGCCAGATGATCTGGATATGCAGGTGATCTACGACGTGTCACACAATATTGCCAAAGTTGAAGAACACATATCCTTTGGTCTTAATCTCAAATGCTTAGAGTGTTTGTCAATTCGTCAAAGAAAGAGATAAGAACAGTAATGCTACTTGATTGAACAAGGGAAATATTATAAACCATGGAAGGCACTGCACATTTCGCTTCAAAACCTTCCGTTTTTGACCATTATGCCTGCTATAACCCTAACTCCCTACTGTCTTTTACTAAGTACTGGACCAAGTTTGCCAAAATCCATCAATCACGCTGCTTCCAATGCATGCTTTGCTTCAGGCCTCTAGGCCCAAGTCCATCATACTCCACCAATATTTAGTCAAACCAGGCCTGCAGGACCAAGTCCACCAAAATCCACCAAAATGAGGGGATGGATTTTGATGGAGTTGGGGAGGTAAGGGTTAATGGAGTGTCCACTCTGGAGTGAAATTCTTTTTCTTCTTTTTTTAAGTGAGACCGCTCAGTTTAAAGTTGTCTCTACACTTTCTTTTGAAATTCAGTCAGTTAATAATGAACTATTTTCCAAGTCTTGTTCTTTAAAAAGAATCATGCCGTTGGTGCGTTTGAGGAATTCTTGGTTTTCTTACCAGGAATAATAATACCAGCAATCTTCCCTTAACTGAGTTGCTTACATCTTGGATGGCAAGCAGAGGACACTACTGGTCCATCGGAAGGGATCAACCAGGGCTTTCCCTCCTCATCATCCTCTCATACCTGTAGATTACCAGGTTAGTTATACATGTGTGTTCCTCGACCTCATCCCCATGGTGTCGAGCAGTACCCTCCCAGTATCTGCTCTCTCACCCTGGTACTTGCTCATTTGCATGTTCAAAAGTTGTACGCCTTAACTAGGGCTGTGCATAGGAACCGGGTACTCAAGTACCAACCGCTGATGTCAGGAACCGGTTCCAGATTATAGAACCGAGTACCCGTAATCAACTTGGACATATTAATTCTCAGACTCATTATTCTCAGACTATAATAAAGAAAGGTTTGGAATGTCATTAGTTAAGAATTTTCAAAATAAAAACCTAGGCTACAAGGAAAACCAAACAGATTCACGTTTATGAATGCAAACAATGCAAAAAGTGCATAAAGTAAAGCTACATGTGAGCTGACTGTACACGTTTGTATGATCTTGCTGTTGTGACCCGCCAATGTGGTATTCTTGTGCAGACCTTTATGAACAATCTGAACTGCAACTTCCGAGATTAAAATTTTGGGTTGAGATTTCTATAACGGGTACCAGGCTACCCGTATTTGTGTTTTACGATCGGATACGCGATTCCTGTACTACCCATAAATGCACTCCCCAAGTATTAACAGTCTGGTACCTATGCATACTTTAAATAAGCGTTTGTTTTTGCATGCGTTGTCCAGGGTACAGACATAATCCATTGTTAGTGGCGAAGATTGCAAAAAAACCACCATTTTCTGTATTTTTTAAAAAACAAAAATTTGCGGCATACGTGCCCGAACTAATACGTGCACGTAATTTGACGCTCCCACTTGCACTTTTCAAGTGGTGACAAATGGCCCACCGTCCGTGCATGAAGCCTGTTGCAGTCCCCATCCTACAGCATGTGGTTGTCTAGTCAACTCATTCTTTTTCCGTGACTTGATAGTTTAATATGCAACAAATGTATGTCTCCTGTAGATGACCGGCCAGCCAGTGCTGATTGGTGGAACCATGGGAACATGTAGTTACATTCTGACCGGAACACAGCAAGGAATGACGGAGACATTCGGAACCACATGCCATGGAGCGGTAAGACAGTTGAGCTTTGAACCTTGCATCTATCGTGTTATCATGTTTGTATGTCATGCTTCGATCTGTGCACATTAAAATTGGTCATAGGAATTAATGTTATATGCCATTCATAAATACAGTTTACCATTTCCTATATTGATCGAGAGCCTGTAACATGGCCGGTTTTAAACGACATGACTGGGTGGTCTTAAACATTTTTCCAGTGTCACATAAAATTTGGACTCCTATGAAATCCGGTGCCAGCACCGTTATATTGGTTGAACCTTCACAATCCTCACGTAGGCATGCACAATACTACCAGTGAGTCAGTATTTCATTGTCCTACATTCACACTACACCAGTACATGTGCGTTCTGCGCGACATCACGCAGTACGTGCTGCGCGCGCCAATCTCCATATAAGGAGTTTTTACCAGAGGGCCTTACCATTGTATAGCTAGAGGGGTGTTTTGTTGAATGAAATCGTTTCTAATAGTCACCTTTTTTTTTACTTTTGTGGATCGAAAGTTTGGATTTTTTTTGACAGAAAAGGTATTTATGAATATGTGCTTGGTTGGTATTAAACACTATGTTAAAGACTGATTGGAGTATGGATGCTGATTATTACCCTCACCTTCGGCTCGGGTAATTATCAGCATCTAGACTCCAACCGGTCTTTAACATAGTGTTTAATACCTCCCAATCACACACTTAGTCCCTTATTTACATCCAAGAGTTGACATCATTTGATGGTTTTCAACCCATTTGAAAGCACCAACTGTGAAAAGAAAGTGCTGTCATTTTACTTTTGTAAATTGACCACATGGTGCTGTCAGTATTGAGTCTGGAGCCCATGCAGTTGGTGCTTTCTATTTCTCTCCTTCTGCATTAATTTCATCTGTATAAATTCAACATTTTAAACTATTATAAATTGTACTCACTGTGTGACGAATCCATAAAGCTGTACAGTGCTGGATCAGTTTGGGGCAGTATAGGGAGTAACAGGGTTTGGGGTAATACATAGTTACCGGTCAATAAAACAGTACTTGTACGTATTTCTTTGGTTAGATAGCTTGACACTTATTAAGTAACCTCAACTGAGCTCATCATACAGCATCACAAGAGCAAATTTGGCAATAACACGTGACGTAATCTCTTCTGTTACTGTTTACCATAATCAGGGTCGCGCCTGGTCCAGGTCCAAGTCTCGTCGTAACCTGGACTACCACACTGTACTGAGTAAGCTCCAAAGTCAAGGCATCTCCATCAGAGTGGCTTCCCCTAAACTCGTCATGGAGGAGGTAAAATCCTAGCTTAATTGTCTGTAGCAGTAAGCCGAAAATTATCTGCTAAACTGACAGGGCCCCATTTCATTGCTCTGCCTATCCTCAGAATTCCATGGTTATGCCAAAAAAAAAAAATATTCGGTCTCTGGTCAGACCAAAGTTCCGGAATTGATGCGGCGACGCGTTTTTTTTTTTTTTTTTGCCCTTTTTTTTTTTTTTTAGCTTGGATTGTACAGACAAGGTGGGTACTATTTTGCTTTTGTTGTGTCCTCATATACATTGGGGTCCTCCATAATTTGCCTTGGTGCCCTCCATCATGTGCAATTTCCCCTTCCTTGGTACAAAAATTTGAGGAGGTGCAGCAATAGAGGGCGCTGCTGTAGCTACCGCGGACAATTTGAAGAAAAAAAGGTTGACGCGCATGATTAAAATCAACGCGCACGCTGACCAGAGACCGACTAATTTTTTTTGGGGGGGGGGCCTTACGATCACCACTCTGTGCTAACAATGCTAGGAAAACTTCCCATGCCAAAGCTGTAATCACAGAATCCATAGTTTTTGGATGTCACATGCGCATAAGCCAAAATTCCTTGATACGCCATTCAATATACTAATCATAAGCACAGAGTTTTCTGCTACAGTAAGCAGAGCCATACAGTTGGGCACAGATGTGAGCAAGGGGGTGCTACTTTTTACATGGAATCTGTGCTCACTGAAGTTCTCAGTACTGTTTGTCAGCAGTACTATAACTTTAACTTCACTCGGGAGTTAGTCGTAAATGGACATCTTGGTCATTAGGGTGATTTCTCAGTGCACCGTGTTTTTTTAAGATTGAAGATCACTGCTGTGCTAATGGCTGGGAAGCTGGCTTGCAGAAAACAGAATTTCGGGGGGGGGGGGTGTACTTCATAAAAATGCAAAATTTAAAGAATTGGCCCTTCTGTACAGGGTGAGTACAAAAAAAAGGACACCCAAATGTTGGGACCATTTTCTTAGTAAAGTTCTACGTGTAGCACTTTCAAAATCTAGGATATGAAAGCCCAATTCATACGCTTTCTTTTAGTACAAGAATCATTCAAATCACTCATGTACTTTTCAAGTTACGAAATGTTAAACACAACCACCGTTTTAAAGTTCTGTCCACGGATCACAAAAAGGTACGTGTGATTTCAGCAAAACGAAAACAATTGACACACATTCCTATGTGATTCGTTTTCGTTTTGCTGAAAGAACGCACACATTTTTGGTGATCCATGGACAAAACTTTAAAACGGCAGTTGTGTTTAAAATTCCGTAACTTGAAAAGTACATGGGTGATTTGAATTATTCTCATACTAAAAGAAAGCGTATGAATTGGGCTTTCATATCCTAGATTTTGAAAGTGCTACATGTAGAACTTTACTAAGAAAATGGTCCTGACATTTGGGTGTCGTTTTTTTTTAACTCACCCTGTACTTCTAATTCTTTCATGCCTGGAAATCATCTTTCTAATAGATGTTAATAAGTCACTTTTGCTCAATCACTGGCCAGTGGTAGATACCTTACGAGAAAAACAAAACGAAAAATGAATAAAAACTGCTGCAAACTGCACACTGACTGCATTGACCTGAAACACACAAATCAAAAAAGTTGACATTTTAAGACTAGCAGTGATTTTTTGCCAGTGAGAAAGACACTGTTGGTGTCTTAATATCATACCTTTGAACTTTTGTTACTTACAAACAAAATGTGATACCAGAATAATACCTAAAAGGATTGGAGTGGCAGTACAGATTGCAAATTTGCCTCTGATTTGGAGAAACCTCCATCTGATCTAGTTTGTGTGTGTATATCTAAAAACAAAAACAAAACATCATGTAAACCCTCTCTCCAACCACTGAATAATCAAGGCAAAACGTCAATTAAGACAAATATCATCAAATGCAACCCAGTCAGATCGAACTGCAGTCCATAGGCATTTTCATTTAACGATATTTTTATTTTCATTTCAGGCACCGGAGTCCTACAAGAACGTGACAGACGTAGTGGATACGTGTCACACGGCCAATATAAGCAAAAAGGCCATTAAGCTGCGACCGATTGCAGTCATCAAGGGCTAGACAAGACACACTGACTGGAATTAATAACTTACCCCCTCCCCGCCCCATACCCCACCCACCGCCCCGCCACACACTCTCAAATTTGTATCCTTGTGGAGACATTTCTTTGTTCTCGTGTAGTAAAGTTTTCAATTTTGAAAGTGAAGTTTGAAAATGCTCTTATTTTAACCAGAATTAATTTCCTTGGCTGAAATTCGGACATAATATTCCTTTTCTAAAACTCTTCCATTTGCGACAGATCAACTCACCTTTGAAATTCCTTGTTTTTGAGTAAAATCCATATATCTATTTCGCGAAAACCTTGTGGAGACCTATTCATCTATAGAAATTGCCTTGTGGAGACCTTTACAATGTTTTATTCCCTATTGTGTGCGTGTCTCCACAAGGATACAAATTTGAGCACACTCCAACCCTTACCCCTCCGCTCCCACCCTTACCCCTCAACTCCCACCCTTACCCCCACTCCACCCACTGCCCCTCCAGCCAATCCCTAGGGGACCGATGTTTAATGACCACGCCCATTTGCTGTGCACAGAAACATTTTGCTGAGCAATAACAGACTAAAGTTGACCTGTTGTAATTAGCTTGTGACTACTTACAGGGGATTTGTTTGTTTGTTTGACACTGATAAATTTGCTCTTTTTGTGAAAGATAGGCTCCGAAATGTGTACAGGGTGAGTAAAAAAAACCGAAACCGTAATATCGGGACTATGTTTCATTGAAGTTCTGCATGTAGCACTTTCAAAATCTAGGATATTAAAGCCCAATTCGTAAGCTTTCTTTTAGTACAAGAATCATTCAAATCACTCGTGTACTTTTATAGTTACGGTATTTTAAACACAACCACCGTTTAAGGGTTCTGTCCACGGATCACAAAAAAAGGTGTGCGTTCTTTCAGCAAAAGGAAAACAATTCACACACATCCCTATGTGATTTCCTTTCCTTTTGCTGAAAGAACACTGAACTTTTTTTGTGATCCGTGGACAGAACCTTTAAACGGTGGTTGTGTTTAAAATTCCGTAACTTGAAAAGTACATGAGTGATTTGAATGATTCTTGTACTAAAAGAAAGCTTATGAATTGGGCTTTCATATCTTAGATTTTGAAAATGCTACATGCAGAACTTCCCTAAAAACAATGGTCCCAACATTTGGGTTTCGGGTTGTTTTTTTACTGACCCTGTAATGAATGAGTGTGTTGGAAGACAATAAAAAAAATCAATATTTTTTACAAAACTGGCCACGATTAAGTCCAAAGGTGATCTTAATACTCGGAAAGTCAAGATGTCAGTGGCGCACCCAGGACTTGGGTTGGGGGGGGGGGCTCACAATTTTTTTTGCCAATTTTTTAGAAATTTGATTTTTTTCAAAAAAAATGTTGCCACAATTTTTGGTCACAGAAAATAATAACTTTTGGGGGGGGGGGAGGACGACTATTTTAACCTTGGTGGCGCCATCTACACCCCTATTATACTACTTGAAAATAGGCCTCATACATATATATCCACAGTCAAAATCGAGGGAGTTAAAAAAAAAATTGACAACCTCTTGGGGGCCCCCCCCCCCCTTGCTTGGGCCACTGCAAGATGTTACCTCTGTTTACTTTCTTTATAACTAAATGACAAAGATGTTCATTGAACAGTTATTATGTGCCTCAACAAAACTTTAAAAGTATTACTTGGCAAGATAGAAAAATTGGAGAAAAAAAAGACAATAAGCTCTCAGTTTTTACTTCGAATTTCTCTAAATACGGTACATTATTTAAATAGAAGAAAATGTGTTCTTATCTTTTATATTTTGTCTCCAAGAATTTTTGGAACAAAATGTCTGGTGTTGTCCACTGTCAAATACCTCTTAATTTGATTAAAAATATTTGTCTCTCATTTTATAAATTAGCAAGAAAATTAGCCATAACAATCAACTTTTTTTCTTTTTTTGCACAATTTCATAATTATTCAGTAATAAATCATTTCACGGTCATAATTATGTTCTTCAATTCAATTCTTCAGGCATGGTGAAAGACAATCCAATTTTATTATTCTGAATAATGTTTTTCCCCTTATATATATACAAAATATATACAAAGTATATATACACAATTTTGAGCTTTGTTTGGTAGTAGAAGACAACTGAAATAAAAAAGAATTTCAGAAAAAATGTGACAGAGTATAAATAAGTTACATTTCTTCTCATTAATATTCTATTCTGTTCCTTTATTCAGTGTTTTTTTGGAAGTGATCCAGCTGGATATAATCAAAGCTTTTAGATTACAATTTATGCATGATGTGGTTGCACTGAGTGCAGACACTGGCGTTTGTAAAATTAATAAAAAAAGAAGTTGTATTCACCCTCAATCGCTCAGAATCAATATGTAAATGAACAAGTAAAAAGAATGTTACTTTCATTTAATAAAAAGAACTTGTGGAAAGAGTTCCATACCTCGACATCACTTGGCACCCTGTGCACAAACCCAACGAGACTGCTCTGAAAAATTCAAACTGTTTTCTCAGTAAATGCTTCAATGTTTTCCCTGCTAAATAATGACTTTTAACGACATGTTATTGCTTCTGATGGATTGTTGGTCACTGCAGGGGAAAATTGGCGATGTCCATGTATGGAATTCTTCCCGAAGTTGTTTTTCCGTTTAGCTTTTCTTTGATAAATAGAAGCTTATTACCTGTGCACTTACATGTACAAATAAGGCCAGGTTAAAATATAAACCTTTTTTTTTTGGTCTTTTTGTTCTTTTTTTTGTAATCGTAGGACTATATTTGCAATACGTTTTATCTATTTATTTCCAGCAAAATTGTTGCTATGTACACAAGTTCAAAATCTAGTAGAAAGGAAGCAGCTTCTTTGGACAAAAAAAGTGAGGCAAAAGAGGCGAGAATGTAAGAATCAGTATCTGCCATCTCGGGGGGAAAGGGTCCTCGTTTTTCTCCAAAAAGCCAAGACAAGAAACAAGGGGTGTTTTTTTAGGACTGCCAACTTGCCCAATACCAAAATTGGTTATCAAGTTTCTCCAGGATTTTAGTTCTGTTGGTATATCATTGATGTGGTTTGACAATGCGTATTATACAGATTACGGAGCAATAATTGATTTTAAAAAATCGATCTGCAACTAATCAACGATTCATTTTTTTTGTGTGTCATTAAATTTTGGAAACAAATATGATAAATCATTGCTGTCTTTTTCGTCATTTTTCAAAAGTTTCACAGTTTTTAAGTCTTTGATATGTGATGGCTTTTTCCATTTTGCAAAACCTTTGTAGTTTGTCAAGTTGCAACTTTTTCTTTTCCTTTTGTTTTTATATAAATTTGCAACCACTGCACAGCAGCAATTTCTCCGGCGGCCAGATCCGAAAATGCCCGGAGGTAGTGAAAGCGGTCACAAAAAGGGGCGGGGGCATAGGGCGGGGGAATCCCTGTTGAATTTCGAACAGCGCCCTCAACCGATAAGTAGGCATTCACACATCGATTGCACACTGCGTCAAGCGTGAACAAACTTGAAAACGCTGGCCGCTGTCTTTGAAAAAAATCCTTTTCTTTATACAATTATCAGCAATGAGTTCTGGACTAGCACCGAGCAAGACGACATGTTATGTATCCAACCTGCCATTTTCATTGACAAATAATGATCTACACAAAGTAAGTCGTACAGTCAGTCAGTGCATGCGAGGGTGTGTTGCTTTGCCTGAACCAGTAGCGATATTCATTCTTTCAGTTAAACTTTCATTCATTCTTTATTGGTAGTGGATATTTTGCCGGAGGTAACGCCGGCAAACTAACGTTTACTAAAGGTTTGCCGGCGGCAATCCATATCAACAGAGGGCGCTGTACTCTTTAAGATAGGGCTGAATTATATTAAACATGTATTAAATTCCCACTGAAGTTGTGTAGCACAGACGGTACAGTGGTTAAGCAATAGCTTTAGTGAGTGGGATGTCCAGAGTTGAAATCCTGATCCCCGCCACAATTTTAAGGGTTTTTTTTCCCATCCCCAAATAAATAAGAATATTCTTCTTTTATTATTTTAATTTGTCTCAAACATTTTATTGCAGAGTATTACTTTTTCTTTTTCAGATTTGTGGTTCTGGAGGATTTTTTTTTAAAGGGAAATAAAGTCCGAAATTATAAAATGGTCTGATTCCCATCTTGTAAATACAAAAATACAACGATAATATTGGCAAAGTACAAAGTACAAAAAAACAGTAACTGCGCATGTTCAGTGCATATCCGGCAAACTAACGTTTACTGAAGGTTTGCCGTCTTCGGCAAAATATCCACTGCCTTCTTTATTTTTCCACATAGGCTACTTGCTGTCTAGGCAATATACACGAAAAGTACATGTGAATGGGGGTCCCCTAGTCCAAGAAGCAACTGCTTGTCGAGTAGGGACCCATAATCTTATTACCATAAAGTTGATAAACCCAGTAACGAGCATGATGAGTTAGGACACTAAAGTTAAGGCAGTACAACTTTTTGGTGGTTTTGTCCCCTTTTTTTTGTTTCAATTTAAAAAAAAAAAGAAGGGAAGCAGCTGACAAAATGGAAGCAGGTGGGAACGCTAAACATGGTGGTTTTTTTTTTTTATTTGGCCTAACGTAAGAAAAGCCGAATTACAATCAAGAACATTTGATAGATTGATTATCATCATTAATAATTTAATATTAATATAAAGAAAACGTGGAAAAAATACACACCACGAAACCCAAAGTCTCAAATTTCCAACAAAGTCCCAATTTTCAATTTTTTTTCTGCAGCATATTGCTCAAAGTTTTTAAAACAAATATCAGCACTGAGATTTTGCCCATTAAATGGGCAGTTTCTTTTGAGGTTTTTCATTTGTGAGACAGCGAATTTCATCGAACGCTGAGCACAGAGCGTCGCCCCTTGGCATTTCATGATGTATATTTTCAGTCATACGCACAAGTTCCCGACGTTTTTTATTTCATTATACAGCAAACTTTAAAACACAAAGTAAAAGCACAAGGGAAAGATATATTTTGACGATAATCTGATGCATTTTCGATATTTTTGATATAGTATCTCAACATCAAATCTGTTTGATATTTCAATTTGATTAAAAAATTGCTATCAGTGATATCCATTCATAATAATATTGCACAATCGAGTAATATTGATACATTGACGGTGCTTATTGGAGGGATTTTAAAACTTACACTACTATAGACCTTATAATGAGTTGCAGCCATCTTAGAAGGTTATAATGTATGCCTTTGTTTGGCTGGGATATGTAATTAAGACTAAGTGAATCTGTGTGCATTCATTGTCACTGAATTAAAATTAACTAAAAAATGTCCAGTCTAAGATGGCTACTGCGCATTTAGGTCTAGAATGAGGTTTACTTTATTCACAGTTTCAGTGATTGTTATGTTAGTAATTTCATGCCATGATATGTTGAAATTAACATGAATTTGGGACTGAGAAACTTTTCAATTTTGACAACCAGTGAAATGTGTATGGGTTTTTTCCAGTTCAGTGTTAAGTTTCAAATAATTGGGGGGGGGTTCAACTTGTTAATGAGCATCGAAGAAGGGGTTTCTCAAGAAGCTCTACAGAAGGCATGGATATTTTGGCACTTTGGTTCACTCCTGGGCTTGCATGCCTGAAAGTTTTGGGCAACGATTGTAATTAATGTTTGCTTTCTGGCCCCAGTAATGACAACTTCCTCTTTTCTCCTCTTTACAGATCTTTGAAAAGTATGGTAAAGTTGTTAAGTAAGTATTGTTGAGGGAAACATCACTCGGACTTTTTGAACAGACATCACGTTGTGCATCTTTTTTTAGCCACCATTGCAGGGTGACCCCCAAAAAATGCAACGCTAAAACATTTGCTTTTATTTTAAGAAAAAAAGGGATCGATGGATTTATATGTTTTTGGTATCAAAATAAAGCTGAGAGCTTCTTCTTTCAAATACTTAAACAAAATTATGAAAAATCACTTTGGGTTGCTGAGAAAATGCCAATTATGTAAAAGTAGTCATTTTCATCCTGTACACAAAACATTACCACAGTAAGGGATTTTCACTGTACCTATTTTGTGCACGTCCTAATCTTTACAAACAACATGGCACATTATATGACAAGAGTACAAATAAATTTGATGGAAATACCTTATATTTTCCACCTGAACAGGTATCTCATATATTTTAGTACTATTTCAAACCCTTTCAGCATCATGAATATGTCAAAATACTGAAGAAATTGCACAAAATTATGAAGAATAACTGCAAAGTAAATGTTTCACTGTTTGAAGCATTTGTGTACAGGATGAAAAATGACTACCGGTACTTTTACATAATTGGCATTTTCTCAGCAATTCAAAATGCTATTTTCATGATTTTTTTCAGTATTTGAAAGAAAAAGCTCCCAGCTTTAATCTGATACCCAAAACATAAAAATTCACCAATCCTTGTTTTTTTTTCAGGCAAATGTTTTAGAGTTGCATTTTTGGGGGTCCGGAAGGAAAGAATAAAATTGCCGTCACAGAACTATTCTATTCAAACCAGTCATTGCATATGCATCAGCAGTCACTGGCAAGAAAAGTCCTAAACTGTAGCTTCACTTGATTCCTTGGTGATAATGTCTTTATTGATGCAAATCTGTTTGTTTGTTTGTTTTTTGGGGTTTTTTTTAACATATAAATGTGGGTCTGTACGTGAAATAGTGGAAAGTGCTTGATAATTTCAACCAATGTTTATCTCCTTGTAGGGTAACCATTGCCAAGGATAAAGAGACACGGAGGAGTAAGGGTGTGGCATTCGTCCTCTTTCTTCAGAGAGATTCCTGCTACAAGGCTATAAAGGGGCTTAATGGGAGGGAGGTCAGTAAAAGGAATTCCTGCACCAGCCCAGCCTTTCCCAGCCAAGCCTAGCTCAGTCCACGTGAACCCAATCCAGCACAAACCAGCCCAGACAAGCCAAACCCATCTCTATGCAACCCTACCCAGCCCAACCCAACGCAACCCAATCCAACCCGACCCAACAAAAACAAATCACACCAAAACAAAGCCAACCCAGCCCATCCAATAAGCGCAGCGCATTCCAACACAAACCAATCCAACTTACTCAACCCAACCCAGCTAAAACTAACCTAACCCAACACAAATGAACCCCCAAAAATGAAATTGAACCCAATCAAAACACATCTACCCAACTAGTCTGAGCAAGCTAAGTCATTCCACGCAATCCAGCCCAACCCAAGCCAGCGTATCTAAACCCACATGAATCCAAACAAACCCAATTAAATCTAATCAAACCAACTCTAAGCAAGCTAAGCCACTCCACTCAATCCAGCTCTACCCAGCCCAGCCTATCCCAACCCAAATGAACCCAAACAAACCCAATTAAATCTAATCAAACCAACTCTACCCAACTCAAAGCAAGCTAAGCCACTCCACCCAATCCAGCTCTACCCAGCCCAGCCTATCCCAACCCAAATGAACCCAAACAAACCCAATTAAATCTAATCAAACCAACTCTACCCAACTCAAAGCAAGCTAAGCCACTCCACCCAATCCAGCTCTACCCAGCCCAGCCTATCCCAACCCAAATGAACCCAAACAAACCCAATTAAATCTAATCAAACCAACTCTACCCAACTCTAAGCAAGATAAGCCGCTCCACCCAATCCAGCCCAACCAATTCAACCCATCCCAAACCCAACCCAACCCAAATGTTAAGTCTTTCCACTCGACCCAGCCCAACCCAACCCAACCCAACCCAACCGAGCTTAACCCAAATGAACCCAATCATACCAACTCTACCCAACTCTAAGCCAAGCTATGAGCCATCCCACCCAGCCCAACCCGACCCAACACAAACAAACCCAATTAAACCCAATTAAACCAACTCTACCCAACTCTAAACATGCTTAGTCGCTCCACCCAATCTAGCCCAACCCAGCCCAACCAATGGCCCCATTCAAGTTTTCATAATATATATACCGTATGTGTTTAGACGTAACAAGTACCTTTTATTATTTTAGTTGTTTGGGAGGAAGTGGAAGGTTTCCATAGCAACAGACAATGGAAGAGCGGCAGAATTCATCAAGAAGAAGAATTATCCAGACAAGACCAGATGCTATGAATGTGGCGTGAGTAATCCTCCTTAAATATGTTTCTTTTCTCTTTAAGATTAGATATGTATAATACAAACTACAATTAGTGCTTTTTCCAATCCATGAGTCATTTGTATTTGTCACTTGAGGGGCATTTTCTAGTTTAGCCTGAGTTCAGCTTTACTGACTGAGTCATTGACTGACTGACTGACTGATTGATAATACTGTCTGAGACTTTTGGGTTTACCTCAACTAGGCAAGCCCTGGCTTGTTTGTTTGGGTTGGTTGGGTTTCTTTTACCTGGTGTTTAAAGGTCCCTGCAATGTAATATTTTTATGCACTCCTTGAAAATACATGTCCCATTTAACCCTATTTTCAATTTTCGTTTTGCCATTTTCAAGGGACTTTTGGTGCTTTTTGGTTCTTATGCAAGTGCAAATGTCCATATTCATGAGTAAAAGTGTAACGTCATTTCAGGTGAAACCTCAATATGACACCTGTTTCAGCAACAAAAGTTGCCAGAATTTTGGATATTTTACTGTTGTAAATTTTCTTTTCTTTAGTGATTCCTTGTTGTGGCAGTAAGCCAATGAGCTAACTTTTCTCACCAATTATAAGATGGAATTTTGCGTCGGGGTGATATAAATCAAATTAGGTTTTGCCCTTCACCGACGTTTTCTCACCAATGTTTTTAATAAGAATATTTTGGGTTCACGATATGAACAGAAAACCCCTAAACTTAACAGTGCCTTCCTCGCATACATATAAACGCATCGACTGCCAGTCGGTTAAAAACCTTGATTAGAAAAAGTCTTGGCAAAACACTTGTTGACATCACGCGTATCCGCGTGAGCGCGTTCAATGCAGATACGCGCTTAGGACAGTGCATACATTTACATACAGAACATAAATTTTTGAGTTAAAAAGGCTGTTTTACTCACAATCCAATTGAAAAAAGTTGTGGACGTTATTGTTTTTTAATCTACCTAAATCATATTAAGTACACAAGGGAATTTGTTTACAATCAAAAAATAACTTCATAGAATTTTTATAATGGAATTGTTTGGGTTTGTGTAAAATCCCTATACCGAGAGGTGAATTTGCCCATAGTTTGGATTTTAGTCAGGCGCTGTACGTGAAATCACGGAATGCGCGTGAGTTTTGAATAAGGGAATAAATGTGTGCTCCGGAGGTTTTTATCACTCGTTTAATACCGCTTAGAGTCTGGGTGCTGATAATTACCCGAGCCGGAGGCGAGGGTAATTATCAGCACCCAGACTCTAAGCGGTATTAAACAGAGTGATAAATACCGACCGAGCACATATTTATTCCCATTCATAAATACCTTATCCGTAAAAGAATATCAAATAATTCGTTCAAAAAATCCCGATTTTGTTCAACAAGTTCACTTCATACTTTTTGAAACATCCCTCTAGCAAAATAATGGAGTGTTCAGCTAGCGAGTAAGATGTAAACAACCCTTTTATGGAGATTGACGCGCGCGTAACATGTTCTGCGCGATGTCACGCAGAACGCACCTGGGGCATTGCGTTTTGAATTTAGAACTATAAAATTCTGACTCGCTTGTAGTGTTGCGCATGCCTACGTGAGGATTGTGAACGTTCAACCAATGAAACGGTAAGAGGCACTGGATTTTTAGGAGTCCACATTTTATTGTGACACTGGAAAAGTGTTTAAGACCAGCTAGCCATGTCTTTATCATCCGTTTAAGACCGGCCACGTGACGGGCTCTCGACCAATAGGAATGGCTAAACTGTCTGAGGTATTTATGAATAGGACTTGGCAGTCTATGCGTTTATGTGTCTGGGGTCCTCCTTTACTGACATCACAGCAATATCACCCTCAGTTGTCTGGAAAAGCATGTAAAAATGTTAAAAGTAAAAAAAAGTGCACCTTTTAATAAAATTAACCAAAAAGGGACATCAAGTGGTTTTCATACATTTTAGAAGGAGTAGGCAGTTGCACAAAATATGTTCCTAAGAAAGATGCACTTCATGGACCCTTTGAGTGTCATCTGTCTCTCTCTCTTCTTTGTCACCTTAGAGGGGTACTTTTGCATGCATTCCATATGAAACAGTTCATTTCATACCTTTTGCCATCATCAAAAGTTGTTGCAGTGCCAGAGAGCCTACATGTAGTTGTGCCTAGATTTCCACTATACCGTCCATATTGTCTGGTAAAATCTTTTTGGTGTGTAATCATTTGCTCATCTTAGGAGTTTGGTCACCTGAGTTACAACTGCCCTAAGAACTCACTGGGAGACAGAGAACCGCCCAAGAAGAAAGAGAAGAAAAAACGGAAGCACGTGGAAGACGAGAGGGAAGAGTATAGAGATTCAGAGTAAGGAACAAAGAGCATTGAGCCATCAGCGCTAGTGCATGAATGACTAATTCTGAAACAGTGACAGCTAGTCCCATTGAATAGGTGCCACAGTTGTATCCTGCTGCAGTTGGTGATCACAGACTCGGAGGCAGTTGAGCCTTGAGATTTGTGACCTGGGGCCCAATTTCATGGCGCTGCTAAGCAAATAAATTTGCTTAGCGCAAAAAAAGTCTGGCATATAAAAGCAGTTTACCAGCCAAAACTCCACGTGATTTTCATGCTGTAGCAAACAACAACTCAATACTAATCAAGAGCAATATACATCACATGGAGTTTTGGCTGGTAACCTGCTTTTACAAGCCAGATTTGTTTTGTGCTTAGCAAATTTGTGTGCTTGGCAACGTCCTGTATTTGGGCCATGATGGATCTTGCTACACTAAGCAGGCTCATCATTTTGACAAGTGTTGCATGACTGTTGCTGTGTTCAGCTAGTTTGAGTGTCACCTAATGTTCAACGAAGCCCTCCGTCTACGGTCCAACGTCTGATAAATCTAAGCATGGAAATTTATGCGACCCCGCACTCCAGCCGATCGGAGTAGAGTTTACAAATTGTGATGTCATTTCGATCAGAAACGAGGACTCAGCTGTTAATTGATTGGTCAATTTGGATGCAATTTGCCAGATGAATGTTGACCTTTAACAGAAAAGAATTTAACAAAGGATTTTCCTCTTGTTTGCCCAGGGATGACGAGTCAGGTGGTGAAGATCCTGCACTGGAGAGCCTAGGAGCAGCTATCAATTTCCAGGTAACAATATGACCCTGTATCAAATAAAAGAACGACCAACAGTCAACGAAGCTGCTCCCATTTCTTATGCAAACCAAGACTCCCAAGTTCTCGGCTCATATATTTGTAGATGTCACAAGCAGTGGTGTAACTAAGGGGGAAGGCATGTGGCCCCCCCCCCCCCCCTCCCACCCTCCCCCAATTTTAAATCTTGAATTGGAAAAATATGAAAACATTATACGAAATGATATGTTTCACTTGCCTTTGGTGTCCCCTTGAAAAATTGATGCAGCCCCAAGTGCCACCCTCTACCCCTTCAGAAATTCGACCCTAAATACATCGCTGATTTGATTAAACATAATGTTGATCCTCTCTGAAAGAATAAAGGTCGGGTCATACATCACGCAAATGTGAGTGCGAGTAGAATTTGACCTCATGAAACACTCGTTACGAAATTTGTCAATGTTCAAATTCACAGCGGGAAAACTTGCCTTGATGTCACAAATTCGCATTCGTGTTAGCATGCACACCCAGTATGACCCATGCTTAAACCCAGATGCACACAATATTAAAGGGATTGTTTCATGTTTCTTTATAAATGTTAATAAGCTCTTGGTATGACTGAGCAAAAACTGGTTATTACAATTTTAAAGATGCTGTTCATGGAGTTTTCTAAATTGGATGAAATGTAGGATTCCTTTGTAGTGTACACTACCCATGGGCATCAATCAGTGGGTAACGGCAGGACATGTCACCACACTTTTAAAGTGGGGGGCCTATGTCGTTTTTACCCTTCTCCCCCCCCCCTTTTTTTTTCATCCTGGAATAAAAATGTAGCCTATATTTGATTCTATAGCTCAGAATAGCTGATTCTATGACTCCATACTCAAAAAGGTTTAACAGTGATCTTGTGCTCAAAAGAGTTTGTCAAAGTGGTCAGAAATTGCCTCAGATTGCACCACAGAGCATCCAACATTTTTCGTGGCCCTTTAGCCGGCCCCGAGACTCACTTCATGCTTCGCGCTCGTATTAGTTCTGATCAAGGTATGTCCGTCCCCCCCCCCCCCCCCCCCCCACTATTGAGAAGCGATTGACGCCCTCAACACTACCCGTGTTTTGTCTCCTCTTTTTTGGCAAATCAAACTGTGAAAGTAACAATGACTATTTATTAAAATGACTGAATGAGGGAAGCTACCATTTCTATTTTGAAATTTAAGTTCGGGTAAAATTAAAGCATCTTTTATTCACAGATTCAAAAAAATGTACATTTTTACACTTATTACATATTACAGTATAATACTTTATAATGTTTATTTTCTACAGGTTACGCCAAGTAAAAAAAAACAATCATACTGTACCCATTACCTCCTTCACATAAGCCCGGTTCATACGAATGCAATTGTGAAGCCAATTGGACTTCACAAAGCATTCGCTGTGAAATTAACCAGAGTTGAAACTTTTGCCAAGTCGCAGCGCAATAAGTTGCCCTGTCACCATAGTATGTATGAACCGGCACCTAGTATGAACTGGCCTTTAGAGTGGCATCATTAGAGTACTCTCTCTCAGAATGCAATACTCATTTCTTTGTTTTGAAATATTTTTCTATTTCACTTTGCAGCGAGCAAAGGAAGAAGAGGAACAGTACCGCGAGATCGTAGCGCGAGGTGCTTATGACGAGATCGCTGCATCATCATCATCAACATCATCATCAAGACCCCCACTCAAGAAACCCAAAGTCAAGCAGAGTGCCTACTTCAGTGACGAGGAGGAAATTGACGGGGACTGATGAACTTTCAACGTTTGACTCTGCAAGGATTTGCGTACATGTATGCGCAGTACAAAGTTGGCCAACCTGTGGTGCATTACCCTTACGCAAACAATGCTAACGTTCACCAATGAAGTCGGTGATATTTGCCCAAATGGGACCAACTGCTTGCCACAAACATTGGCGAACCTTGACAGCCAAGGTGAACGGTCTTCCCAAGTCAGTAGCTATGGGCGACACACACAATGAACGTAATGATCGTCAGTGCTGAGAATTTCAGCATCCCGAGTAAGTTCATATGTTACTGGGGAAAAAATCTTGTTTCCAATCACATTTAATATTTAAGAGGATTTAGAAGCTTTTAAGATTTACCCTGATAGAGCAGCTCATACACATACTGTGTGATATTCTGTGGATCAGTGCGAGGCCCGAGTATAAGCTTGCATTTTACAATATGTAATGTTCCCATAATATTCCTCAGATATCCTGATAGAGCAGATCATACCGTGTTATATCCCAGGGATCAATGGAAGACCTGACCATCAGGTTGCCTTTCACGATAGCTGATATTCCCATGACACTTCTCAGATATACTGGTAGAGCAGCTCATACCGTGTGATATTCCAGGGATCAATGGGAGACCTGACCATCAGGTTGCCTTTCACGATAGCTGATATTCCCATGATATTTCTCAGATGTACTGGTAGAGCAACTCATACTGTGCGATATTGGCATCAATCAGCTAACTATCCCTTTAAGATAGTAGATATTCCCATGATATTCCTGGGATGTTCTGGCAGGTCTTCTCATACTATGCGACATTCTGGGGATCGATGGGAGACTTGGCCATCAGCTTGCCCTTCGCGATAGCTGATATTCCCACAATATGCCTCAGATACCCTAATAGAGCAACTTTTTGGTATTTTGGGCATTATGATAACTGGTATTCCCAAGAATACCTCAGCTATCCTGATAGAGCAGCTCATACATGTACTTTTTGTTATTTTGGACATTTATGGTAGCTGATATTAGCATGATATGCCTTGGATATCGTGATAGAGCACCTCCCACTCTGTGATATTTTGCCCTCATGACAGCTGATATTCCTGTGGTATTCCTCAGATATCCTGCACCTCGTACTATAATCTGGGAATCAATATGATGATATTTCTCAGATATCCTGATAGAGCAGCTCATACTGTGTGATATTCTGGGGATCGATGGGAGACCTGACCATCAGCTTGCCCTTCATAGCACCGCGGTAGATCACCTCGACCAGATCAATGAAATCCTGCTTCGTCTTGAAGCTTCCAATGAATTTTGTGTGGTCAGGAGTTCTGAAATGATAGGGAAAAATATATCAGCAAAGTACAATTTAGTTTGAAGTACATGTACATGTAATTCTCTGATGAATGATGCGTGACATTTTGTACCACTGATTTGTTGATTTGTAAATCATTTGTAAAAAGTTGTAAACATGGATGTATTATAGACAATAAATAAATGTGAAATTTTGATGTCGTGAAAGCTTTTCCTTTGACTGGTAGTGTATTTTCAAAAAATGAACACAAATACAAATTTGAAAAAAAAAATAGTCAATTCAATAAACGAGAAAAGAATAGATGTAGCTTTACCCATAATCCACCTTCATGTGCTGTCCGTTGAAGAAGAATATGGTAGCTGGAATAAGGGCGATGTCAAAATACTGCGTATAGACTGGGACACTGTCCGAGTCCACACAGTAAACGGTGGCCATCTTCGAAACATCATGAGCAGTTTTAGAAAGCTTTCAGTAAGGAAGTGGAAAATGAGAAAGAAATTTGTCAGTGAAGGGAAGGGGGAGGGACATGGCCTTCAAATTATTTTACAACAAATGAAATATGTGTGCAGTCACTGTTACGAGAACTTGCACCGTAATTGCTTCCCAAAGTATCTGCACAGCACAGAACACTAACTTAACCAGTTTGCGCCGGGATTATTTTGACATTGACCGGACCAAGGCGCCGGGTTGTCGATGCCAGGCGGATTCAGGCCGTCATCTGCCGGTAGCACACTCTGATATTTCCGGCCTCACTAGCTCCTATCGAGAGGGTCGCTGACAGATATTTCCGGCCTTGCTTGTTGCGCGTTTATTCGTCATCCGTTCCGAATACCGCAAAACCTTTGCGTACACATCATCCGACGTGAACTGGTTAAGAAACTTGCATTATTTTGGAAATGCAAATCTTTTTGAAAACGTTTTTTCAAGGAATTAACTTGTCGAAAACAGCAGGTGACAGGCAGTGACCCGTAATAGAAAAGCTGTAGGCGTCCTATTGTTGGACCCTATAATAACATAATTAGCAGTGGCACCAAATAATAGACGGGACACCGAGTCCCAGCTATACATGATGTAGTTGAGGAAGTCCCAATCCCAACTATAGTTGGGACGATCCTAATAGTTGGGATATCCATCTACAGTTGGTACAATATAATTGGGACGTAACACAATCAGCAGACTCACTATTTCATCAAGCTGCATGCACACTAGGTCAGTGTCTCGGCCAAACCGAAGGACGAGAACCAGGTCCTCTGTTGTCTTGATCACTTGGTCCACTTCCTTCTTGCTGGTCAGCTTCGGCAACAGGAAACTCATCTTGCGCGTTCAAGCTGAAAATGCCAAAATACACATTTCAGCAAAAGGCCGACTGAATGTGTTCACTTAATTAGAGCAAGTGGGAAAGCATGATAAATGTGTAACTGCAAATATTCAGCTTTAATGGTGGGCCAATGTTTATTTTTTGATCTAGATGCTCATATATATACGTCACTTGTCAGGCTTGTGAGCAATAAGACAAGGGTTTTCTTCAACTACCACCAACGTGACCAAGACTGAAAGATGGAGGAATTTCAGCGGTGCATCCCTATGTTCCCCAATGTTCCCAAATACCCGGCGATGTTCCCTAAGCCTAAACCCCAACCCTAATCAAGGATTTTGGGGAACATCGGAATTGGGGAACATCGGGTAGACCCCAATTTCAGTTGATGCCCAGGACCACCAAAGGGGTCTACCCAATGTTCCCCAATACTGATGTTCCCTGAAATACTTAGGGTTAGGGTGATGGGCTAGGGTTATAGGTTAAGGATTTCGGGGAACATCGGTATTGGGGAATTACGTATGCACCCCCCACCAAATGGTATAGAAAAACATAGAAAACAACCCATTCAATAGGATCACACTATTTAATTAGCACATGGCAAATTAAGCCTCTTATTTTGTATCGGGAAGTAAAATTTGGTGAAAGAGAGGTCAATTTTAAATTTACACAAACCCTTCTTGCTTGAATGAAACATGGGAGGGTTTTCCTCCGTGCTTGCAAACAGGTTGTGGCATGCATACAAATTACATAATTCTGGACAGAAGTGGATTGTTATTTTCTCGAAGTTATCAGTTTCTGACAATTAAACAATTTTATAATATGAACACCAAAGTCAAAATGTTCCCAAAACAAAGCTTCAATTCCATGCACAGTGCTGTCAAAAAAGTCACCACGTGCATACTTTTCACTCAAACACAATTTGTGAATAGCGCCCTCACCGGTAGGGTGCAATTGGAATGTGTCTAGTCCCCCGTCGTTCACAATGTGTATTGCGGGATAGCCCAATCAGGGGGACAGGTTATGCAGCTCACGGAACCGGAAGGCGGAACCGACAAATCGACGCTCTATTTTCCCTAACAAATACTGCATATTGGTGTCTTTAGTGTCAAAGGTACGTGTTTTTTTTGCTTAAATATTTTCCTTTTAAAATACTACATATTGGTGTACGTGTTTGTGTACTTTCAGTATGAATGTGGTGAGACTTTATCGAATGTATGCCCGGCGCGCCCGCCGCGGCCGGCTTCAAACAGCTGAACAGTCATAGTCTATTATTAGAAGGGGGTCAGACAAGTCGACCGTTGAGACAACTCGACTCGGGACAAGTCGACCGTTGAGACAACTCGACCGTTGAGTCAACTCGACCGTATGTGCTATAAATGGAAAGACAAGTCGACCGTTGAGACAAGTCGCCTCGCATGTTTTGGGCCTAGTTTCGGGGATAGTACCGGGGATTTTGATGGTGATGACACATGAGGTTTTTTTGGTTGCATATAACAGAGCCGATATAGCGCAGCGTGATTGTCCGTGCACATCGTTCGTTTTTTTCAAGGCCACGTGCGCACATCCCCGGTCAACGCACATCCCCGGTCAACGTGGCCATACCGTGCACGGTGGCATCGTTTGTGCCGGGCCTGTGCGCACCGGCCTGCTGACGCGACGTCCTCTGTACATCGAGTATGCCCGCGCCGCACCCGGGATCGGTCTTGCCACAGATAGATTTGTGCGACTTTTTCTGCTCCACGTGTATTCATTTCCATTAAGTCGAGCAGTCTCAACGGTCAAGTTGTCCCGAGTCGAGTTGTCTCAACGGTCGACCTGTCTCAACGGTCGAGTTGTCTCAACGGTCGACTTGTCCCGAGTCGAGTTGTCTCAACGGTCGACTTGTCTGACATTCTTATTAGAAGGCTTCTCTCCGTCAGTCTTCTAGTAGCATGGTGATTTTTGGAAATGCCCTTTGATAGACGAATTCGAAATACCTTTGTTCCACTTTCTGAAACACAAATCCACCAGAAAAGTTGAGCCGGTTGATCTATACTTAGCTGGAGTTACCCAGCCCTAAATTTTATCATTGGGTTTAGACTTTAGTCCGAGTAACTTGGACCCAACTTATCGCCTTTTTTAACATTTGGACGTGGTCTGGCGATAGCCAGACCATGTCCGAATGTTAAAAAGGCGATAAGTTTGGTCCAAGTTACTCGGACTTCATTGGGTTGTCATTTAGGGCTGGAGGACATTTTTCACGCGAACCAGCAGAGTTGGCAGGTTCCAAAAAAAATTCGGAAAAAAAACTGGAACTCACCCAAACCTTGCCTGGAATAACCATTACACAGGTCCTTGAAGTAAAAAACGATCCACGATGAAGATTCAGCCTACAATTGCAGTGAAAAAAAGAGGCATAAACCGACAACCGTGCGGTCATGGCGAGGACCACAATGGGATATGTGCACAGCGCGTTTACCAGTTCGTTCTTGCTGGCTGCGCTGGCTGATGGCGCATGACGTCACGCGGAAGCGGAATACCCGAGGACTGTTTCATGCACGATAACCGGCTAACTTTGGTTGCCATCCAGTATCGCAGCTATGATGCGAGTGGTAAACCAGGCTCAGCAGTCGTCGGGAATTCCGCTTCCGCGTGAGTGACGTCAAGCGCCATCAGCCAGCGCAGCCGGCAAGAACGAACTGAATTTTTTTTGGGACCTGCCAACTCTGCTGGTTCGCCTGAAAAATGTCCTCCAGCCCTAAATGACAACCCAATGATAAAATTTAGGGCTGGGTAACTCCAGCTAGGCCTAACTCTAAAAGTTTTAGAACGATTGACATTTGGATCATGGGACAATTTTTGGGTGGCAAATCTGAGTTTTTACTCACCAACCTCGCGTTACCGATCCGATGAATACAGCGGTCATGTTCATGTGTGTTTACGTACGTTGCGCGTGCACTGATCTTCGCATGAATTCAGCAGGTCAACTCTACATTCGGCTCAACCATTTGGGATGGAGGGGAGACTGTATGCCTTGCATCGCGAAACAATACATGTACATCATTATGTATGTCATTTTGGCGCGCTGAATACGCTGCGCTGTCGTTACAAGTTGTCAGTTTTGGGGGACTGTTTTTAAATTTGACAAAAAAGGGATGAAAAGATCCATCTGTAAACTAAATTCCAACATTGATGGATGGATCATTTCTGCTGTCACGTAGTCTTGAGTCAAGGCCGACGTGGTAACCCGGAAATGAAAAAAGACCACGCGAGTGCTTTGGTTGTGCACAGAGCCAACAAGCTCCGCCACCCGCGTGGTCTTTTGTCATATCAGACAATGGAATTTCTTCAAACCACCAAAACTAAACAAATCAATTCTCACACCTTTCTCCAAAGCCCCAATGCTCAAGTTTTTATTTTTAATAATCAATTGCAACGCCGGGTGTTGCCGGCGAGAAATATGTGGGAAAATATCAGACAACGGATCTTCAAGATCAAACCACCAAAAATACAAATCGATTCCTACGCCTTTTTCTGGAGCACATTGCTCGATCAAGTAGTTTCATCAAGCGTCGAGGGTTACCGACGAGATAATGTACAAAAATGTACGGCGGACAACAGAACTTCTCCAACATGTCCAAGTCAAAACAGGGCAACTTCTTTTGAGGTTTTGCATTATACAAGAGACCACAAATTAAAGCGAACGCAAATCACAAAGCGCCGCCGCTGGGCATTCTGTGACTGTGAGTGATGTTTAATTCTCACTTACATGTACAAACACAATTGCCGCCGTCTTTTATTTCTTTATACAGCAAACGTTAAACACAATGTATATTTCAAGTGTTCCTACCGGTACTTGAATCAGGAGCTGGCGTTGTTATTGACGCCATGTTTACGGGTCTACCCAATGAACCAGAGTGCTTTGATAGCTCAATTTGACATGTTGAATAAAACTTTAAACTACTATGTCGAAGGTTCCGGGATCAAAACCCACGCTGTGCTCTTTTTATTTATTTCTGGATGAAAGTGAAATTTACCATTTATTGGCGAGGGCTCCATCATGAATACCGCGCATGCCGATGCCATTTTCAAAATGACATCTGTGCAACAGAGCCCTTGCTGATAAATGGTAAATTTCACTTTTCATTCAGAGTAATCCTTAGACTCTCAATCTAAATAACTGATCTGTATTTGTACCTCAGGTTGCTAGTAATTTGCAGCCCTTTTGAGGGTGAAATCTGATGTTTTTCTTAGGTCGTTTCTAGTGTGTCAAGCGATGGCGGCCATGTGGCTTGGACCCTATTAGGCCAAAAAAAAAGTCTCCGGTTTCTGGTATGCGCGCGCGTCGCCGTAGCCATGCGCGTCGGCAAAATGAAAAAGGTTTTTTTTCAATAAAAGATGATGTCTGAAAACCGCCAAACTCACTGGTTTGACTGGAATCCTGCTGCTGCACAATTTTAATGTGTTTTTAGATTGGGTTATGGTCGAGAATAAGCTTTATGTGGCCTCTCTGGACTCCCATATATTTGCACTAAGTTCTGTCGGGCACCATTTGCAGTCATCAGCACGCATTTGAAGCAAAAAAATCGGGTAAAAAAAAAAAAAGCCGCATCGCCGCACCACTTTTTGGGCAAGCTCCATAGCAGAAACCGGAGACATTTTTTTTGGCCTTATCGCCAGACCATGTCCCAAAGTTAAAAAAGGCAATAAGTAGGGTTCAAGGTACATGTACTCTGGCTAATGTTTAGTTGCATGTATGTTCAGCTCGCAAACTGCAAAAGTGTAAAGGACTTAGCCCATTTTAAATAGATGTTTCCATCATGTCGGTAAAAATGGTACACATTATCCATAAGTGATTGCGTAAGGGTAGTACTGATGAATCATGTATCACCAATCAGACTAACGGGCAGGCAACTTTTCCTCGGATCCGCTAATTTCCTCGATTTTTACTTAAGTACTGTACAAAGTCTTGTTTGGTTTGGATTTTCCTCATTTTTTTTTCTTCCAAATTCCCAGCTGCATGCCTGGACTAAGTTCTGAAATGTCTTGGGCAGCATGTCGATCAAAACTCTGTCCTCGGTCAGAATCTCAATTTTCAGATTGGCCTATTCAATACTGACAGGATGTTACCTCCAGCCCGCCCCCATAAAGTTTTAGAAGTAGGGCCTAATCACTGCTTGGCCAGCATTTCATAAGAACTAAATACTTAATTTATTTGGCAATGGTAGATTTGGATGAACTAGGAAATGGGATTACAACTTAGATTTTGGACCCTTCACGATTCTTAAAACTGGAATACCGTCATGAATTTGCATTACTTTCTTTGCAGGACGTGCACCCAGATGACATTTGAGCAAGAACAGGTCTGCAACCTCAGTACAGAATTGTTTACTGCTGATGGGAAGCATGCAACACTTGCGAACTCCAGTACAAGCCTTGAGACGAGCTCAGGCAGTCGTGATCTGTCGCAGCCGCAGGAGCATCAAACCGTCAACTGAGCTCCTCCAGATGCTCCCAGATCTCTATGAAATCTACAACGAGACCCAGCCACACCGGGCTGGACAGCGCCGGAGAAGGAAGCTGCACTGGGCACTGCTGCCTCGCAGCTTAGACCTGTCAAGCTGGTGCCACTTCTGCAACCTTAAAGACGGAGCTGTTTCAGCTAGGTACAGCACGCAAGCAGCAACTCTCCCAGACGCACCTGTACTCTCATCCGATACAACTCATGCCACGAGATTGGGCAATGTGTCAGCGACAAATGTATGTGAGGAATCAAAACTGAACTGCATGCAAAACGTGTCAGAGGGTTATAAAAATAAGTCCCTCAACGCACGGCTATCCCTTGAAGAAGTTCTGACCAGGTTACAAAGCAACCCAGATGTAATGTCCGTGCACAGAATCTGGCAAGTGCAAGGCTTGGGTGAAGAAATCCAGCAGAGACAGCTCAATGGAAAACCAGTTCCAGATGGTATAAATGCCCTCGATCTTGACCACCTGCTTGGCCTTCAGTCTAAAACCAGCCGAAAGAAATTCATCAATTTCTTGGTCAAGAAGGACAAGTTGAAACGCAAAAAGACAGAAGAGCAAGCATCGAGACTCAAATGTAAGGCATTAGAATCAAGTGCACTTCAAGAGCCAGAGTTAACTGTTCACAACACTTTTGTTCGCCACGGGCAAGATGTGGCAGAGGATGCCGCTAATGGGTGGAATCTTGCCAGGAGCTTGATGTTCGGTCCCCCTATCGTGTTTGATCTGAGCTACGACCATCGCATGAATCGACGAGAGATCATCAACACTATCTTGCAACTGAATCGCGTCCTCAGTGCCAATAAAACTCTGCGGGACCCCTTCCATGTCCACTTCACAAGCGTAGCCGGGGATGGACATGCAGAACAAGAACTGAAGCGCGTCCACGGCGAGCATTTCGACAACCTCATGGTGAGCATCGCAGAAATGCCGCCTCAGTGTGTTTTCCCCAACGAGGAACTGGTTTACCTGACAGCCGACTCGCCGAACGTTCTAACAAGCTATGACCCCAATAAGATTTACATCATCGGGGGTTTTGTCGACAGGGCTGTCAAGAGTCGGGTGTCCCTCGGCAAGGCGGAGGAGGCAGGCATCCCCCATGCCCGACTACCGCTTGACGAGCATCTCAGGTGGCATCAGAGCACTAAGAACTTGACGTTAGACCAGATGATGGACATCCTGAGTGAGTTGAGAGCATCAGGGGACTGGGGTAGGGCTCTGCAGCATGTGCCAAGTAGAAAACACCTCGGAAGAAAACATGTCTCCACAATGGACATATGCACACTAACATCTTAATTTGAGGACAAGTGCCTTTAATATCTATAGTCAAACTCAACCTGGCCTTGGCAAATGTTTGTAACATGTTGGTCATTCTATAAAGTTGGGGTCCATTACCTCTGAACTTGTAATTTGCCATTCAAGTCCATTGTTCATTAACTCTTACTTCCCAAATCATCCAAAATTCCTCTTTGCAAAATGGAGAATTTTGCAGGATTGAGGCTATATGGCAAAAGTGTGTGGCTGATTTTAGAGGATGCACTGTGTCAAGGTCTGAGGCCAGACCTTGTGTTTATGCTCAGTCATGCATACATTTAGGCCAAGATTATAGTACTTGACATCCTCAGCACTTCTCTAGGATGTCACTGGCTCTGCCTCAACATATGCCAGTGATTGCTGGAAGATTTTGCAGGATTGAGGTAGTGGTCAACCCTCCAAGGACCACATTCAATTTTTTACATGGAGGCAGTTGGAGAATTTTGCAGGATTGAGGTTGCATCCCAGCAACATTGCCTAGGGAGTGAGGGTTAAGAATGACTTCAATCAATTTTGTTTTGGGGTAGGTCGTTTGCTATTCATAATCACAAGAGGATCACTGCAGAACTGAAAGCAACAGAGTTGTAAATCATACATGTCAGATGTAGATGTCAGATGTAACAGGGACCGGTATAAACAAGAAGCCCCAAAATGTATAGAATGACCCATATCTCCTACATCTGTTGGACTACCCTGCTAAATCCAACAGAGTCCAATGGTTACTTCCTGCTCAATCCAACAGAATCCAACTGAGCCTTATTTTTAGTTGTCTGCTGGATCCAACAGAGTCCAACTTGGCGTTATTTACCACTACCCAATAGAATCCGACTCTGAATATGTATGTACATTTGTACAAGGGGTTTACTGCTCAATCCAACAGGCTCCTGTTGGATTCAGCAGTGCTAGGGTTAGGAGGAGCCACGGGTCCCATTCATTCTCACGTAAGTGATTGGTTGACCCCAAGTAGGCCATCAGTCCGGGGGTTTGGTCAGTATCAAATCAGGGCATAAGTTATTATAGTGCGCATGCGCAAGGTATACCGTCCCTAGAGTGGTAACAAGCATTTTGATGGACATTTTGAGAAAAAGGGTGATAACACCCAAAGAGCTACCACCGTTGCAATGCTATCACATATTTTCCAACTCTGAAGGTGCATACCTTTGCAAAAATCGCTACATGTGTAATGATTACTCCCCTCATTTGATACTGGTGGCCGAAATTTTGGACCGAGGCTGATGGCCTAAAGGCAACATGTTCACTATCTCCAGAATTCTGTTGTAAAAGATTTTGTATTAAGAGGCCATCAATTTTTTCATCATTTTCACAAGGGTACAAACTGTATGCTGGGAGGAAGGGGTTAGGAGACCGTGTACGTTTTTCAAAAATAATTGAAAATGATGATAATACCTACCTCTTTGATAAGCAGAGAAATCATCATTTTTGTCCTTTTCAGTTTGTACTCTCTAGGAGGGGAAGGGGTCCAGAAAAAAAAGTTGTACAAAAAATGATAGTCAACTGTGTTCCCCAAACTGCAAACAGACGCACGTGCACTATATTAGGCTCAGGAGACTAAATGTATCTTTTAAATTACATATTTAAGAACTGATATAACACTTGAGTAGTACTTCTAACATCTACTTGTTATAAAAAGTGCTGTGCATTTTTTAAGTATTTATTATTCAATTATTCCAGCTTGGACTTTAAGGAATATTTGAAATGTTGCTGTTGAAGATTTACATGCACAAGCCTTATGGCTGCCTATCAGGATTTACGTGCATTTGCACTTGTCGAAATATTGCCATACCGCTTATTTAAATAATTCAACAAGGCGGTTCTCGAACCGCGTGTCTCGCCTGCTGTCACAATTATCTTTAAAGAGTGACCTTTGACCTCAGCGTGTGACCGTTGACATCATTAGCATATGAAGGTTCCCAATTTGCATCTGTGGCCTCTTACCCCAAGGTTATTGTTTGGCTGGTTTTGATTCAGCTTGATCAAATACTTTTGAAGCAGTGAGAGGTCGAAGTCTCATGGCATAGAAATGTAACGTTAGTGACGGTGGAATTGCCCATGTATACATGTACATGTGCACATTGCCCTAATGCACAAGTACAGACATACATGTACCGGTAGTGATTGCACAGTCTCTCTTCTGGACAAAGTCCAGGCGAGACTAAAAACTAGAACATCATGTAAATGTACATGGACATGTACATGTATGTATCAAGAAATGTTTTCGAGGCAGTGAAATGGCCGATGTTTGACAGATTTTGAAGACGATTCCCGACGGAAGCTCTCAAATCATGTGAACAAGTTGGCATTTGACAAACAAACATTGTGCATGTTATGTCATTTCCTCTTGGAGTGGAATGGAAGAAAGATTAGATTCAAATATTCAGTAGATGATCGAGCAAGTATATTTGGCATATTTCCATACATGTACATGTACATGTAGTTATAGCATAAACGTTCATGTAGTCTGTACAGAAATTTATAACAAGAGTTCATTTTTTTTCTTCACTTTTTCTGTCGCACTACCTGGGATATATCACAATCTGCACATTCAGATATCATTGTCCTAAAAATGGTTGTTTTTTTTAGTGTTTCAATTCAGTGGTCTGGAAATCTTTCAGAGGTGATTGGTTGACATACATGTACATGTACTCTCTTCAAAGATTGAAACTTGAGACTTCATGTCGATAATTTACAGTTAAATTTTGATCTACTCAATTGAATTAATTTTACTGTCAAATGTCTGGTCCCAAGTTTTAAGTTGGTGGGAGTAAATTTTCACTCAAATAGAGTGAAGTTTGGTTATGTTTGCACAAACGCGAGTAAAGACAGGTGAAACATTGTAATGTTTGTTATATTTTGTTGCTCACATGAGGAAAACAAATTAAGTCGTGCCTAGATTTCTAATCTATGCATACATGTATGTTTACTTCGCCATCATGTTCATATTTTAATATCTTTTCATACTGAGAAAAAATGGCAATCTAAAGAGCAAGGCGTACAATCCGTACATGTTTACATTACATACGTAGTGTGGACATTCCTTTGTTTTCGTGTAGTTAAGACAAACCTGTGAAAATAATCATTTTACTCACACTGTGAAAACTCTTTCAACCCATTTTTTTTTCTAGGATTCCCTTAAGTGTTTCTCAGTTCATTTTGCCACAGATAAACCTAACCCCAAAATGCCTCACCAGTTTTCTAGAGAGGGGGAAACACTGTGTGGACGTGGGCAAGTCCACACAACGTCGCTGCTACCTGGTTTATGTGGACCTCTTTTGTTCGGAAGTCCACACAGTGAATGTAATGCTTGTATATCCTCACGGCTGTTCGTACTTTAGGTGAGTCAAAACAGCCGATTTTGATATCGCAACACATTCCATGCAAACTTTGCTTGAGGAATTCAGCTTTTGCAAATAGTGCGTCACAAACTCGTGTTTTGAAACCGTTTTGCGTGATCTTATGATGAATATGGATGAATAGTACAAACATGATTTTAGAAACCTTTTTATTCGTAAAGAAATGGTACTGTTTACAATTTAATGAAATTGTATACTTTTTGTAAAACTCATTATCTAATCATAGAGGTTAATTTATTCATGAGGTTGCAGTGTGCCTGTTATAAATTTAATGTATTACTGTAGTTGTGTCGATATTGTAGTAATTCACAGCAAGGAAACTCACAGGGCAGATTGTTAAAAACAAATGTAAACGTTCTGTTTCGCGTGAAAATGCTAGAAAAATAACGTTTTCTTGCACAGCAAACAAGAAGGGGATGGTGACCACATCTGTAAAATATTGATTTTTGGGGGTTTGACAGATTTTCTTTTATAATTTTTTTACATGTATTATTACTTTTTTTTCAAGACTTGAGGAGTCAAAAACTGTTTGAAATGAATTCAAATAATGAATGTACATTGTACTGTATGGAGATTTTATATTTTGTAAAGAAAATAAAACAAATTTGATAGAATCAAATGTTGTCATGTTGGCTTTTGAATGGATGTTGCGTGTAACAACGGAGTGGTTGCTTTTGTTTAGGACAATGTTTACTATGCTTGAAAATGGACAAGAATTCAGCTCAAAATGGACAAAAATTTAGCTGGCTCGTACTATCGTTATAGCCTTTCAGATCTCGTTACTTGATGTTTCCAATTGTAGTCAACGTACAAAAACCCATAACGTCTGCTTCACTTAAAGGGTTTGGGATCAGTTTTGCCGGGTTAAAGGGGGCAACAAAATTGAGATTTTTTAATTAGCAATTTTAATGCCTGTAACCGGCACCCCCAGGAACTTAATAATGTGCCTATCCAAAGTTAAAAGATATCAAAAACAAAATAAAGAAAATAATTAGCGCAAAAGATAAGTCACAATTCACTACAAAAAGTACAATTGACAAGACCACTTTATTTCTTCAAAAATAAAATATAACAGAATTGAATTATCCTAGTCGGTAGTTTTTAGGCCTAAAAATTACATTCCTCGTATCGCAATGGTGCATGAGATAAAGTAGGCTTTCAAGTATCTTGGAAAACCCAGCTCTAGGATCGTGACATTGGGAGATTCGCCATTAAGCCTAGTGGATGGGGAATCTCCTATGTCATGACCCTAGACCAGAGCCGTGTTTCCAAGCTACATGTAGCTTTCAAGAAGACCAACAGGTCCAAAAGTCGGGAAATAGTAGGATCAAAATGTCAAACACAAACAGGACACAAACAGGACAAAAGTTGGACTCTGGATGACAAAATTGGGATAAAATTACGACTTTTATGGGCTTTCAGGAAAAGTTTTCGTTGATACTCACCCATGTCCGGAGCATCATAAGCCTCATTTGGCATGTTCTATACTCACAACACTTGTGCTCCACCCTCAACTAAGCTCTTGGAAGTACAGTTGCAGTAGCACTCGTGCTCCCATGCCCTTTTGTGTGATTTACATGTGACAGTGAGTATTACTGCTTACTATAACAATCAATAAGATTTCATTTTTCGGAGTTGTGGGACAAAACTGTCAGAAAAAGTAGGAAATACATGTAAGAATTTCAAGGGAAAAGTAGGAGTACTTGAAAACCTGCATGACGTCGCACCCCCCATTCTGATTTATTTTCGAGTTTCACCCTGGAAAAAAAATGTTTCTAAAAGTTATGCACTTTTGAATGGGCAATCAACAAATACACGCACATTGGTAGAAATTATCTGGAATAGAGCGTTTTCGTTTAAAGAACACATTCAAATTGGAAAAGTCGTTGGGAGAAAAAAACAAATCAGATATTCTGAAGAGCAACTTTAATAATGAAATGAATCAATAACTGATGTCTTAAATAGAATGCTATAATAAAGATTTATTGACAAGAGGAGCCTGATCAATTTCATACGAAACAAAGGAAATTACAAAGCTGTTAAATTTTACGAATGTGAATTTTCAAATCTGTGTAATTTTGAAGACTGATCCAATCCATCTATTAATGCATGATGTAACAAAAGTCATAACATTTCCAAACTTATCGCTGATTATTTGTTAGCATGGGCAGAAAAAAGTACTTTCTTGTTACGTTAACTGCATGCAGTGAAGCATCTATGCGACCACTTTACTCGTGCAAGTTTTTCACTGAAAGTGCATTCAAAGCATATCACATCACCAAATCTCAAATTATTGTAAATTATTGTAAATTGATTTCACACGAATAACATGAATAAGAAAGACAAGATAAAAATTGCACACTACGTCAATATTGCTACAAATAAATTACTTTATGCAATTTTTAGTTAATCCTCAAAAATAGAGTTTAGAGACCCACAACCTTAAAATATACATGTAATTCAAATAATGAGTCAAAATTATAATCCAATAAAAAGTTTAGAGATCGAGGATCTTAAAATCTTCATTTAAAATAGACAATTTTATTCCATACAATCAGTTTTCATAATTACGTACTGGGCAAGATCTAAGATTTTTTTTTTTCTTACAAAAAATTTCAGTTTTATCCTGCCAATGAAAGAATTAATCTTTGGCACATGAAAACAATAGCCCTAACAGGCCTGAATCCTCCAATTCAATATGATTTTGCACACCCCTAGGGAATTAGGGTTAATCAAATGTTATTTCAGATATTATTAAATGATGTTTGTATCCACATTAAATATACTATAAACAACTCATCCTCCAACAAAAATTGGACCCCAAATTTACGGAATGATCCAGTGTTTAGAGTTAAGAGACCCATTAGCTCAAAATAAACATGTACTTCAAACAAAAAGAGTAGTTTAGCGATCAAGGATCTTAAAATAGACTTTATTTAAAATAGACAACTTATTCTATACAATCAGTTTCATAATGTACTGGGCAAGATATAATAATTTTTGGAAAAAATGTCGCAACCTGACGCCACTTCCGCGATTGTGTACAAAGTATATGGAGATTTAAAGACAATTTTCAAAGTATTTCCTAACAAACTTGGAAATATTTCTCAGTCCCAGATTAATGAATGATCATCATGTTTGCAACGAATGTCCTTCATTGAGATGATATATGAAGAAAGAAGTAGCGTCAGGTTGCAACATTTTTTTACCATTTTTTTCACGAAATTTCAATTTCACTGTCCTGCCGAAAATCTTTGGCAACATTAATCAATAATTTTTCCAGATTTCAAACACTGTTTGTGTCCCTATTAAAGGTATAGTCCATCATTTGCAGCCATCCGAAAAGTAACTGGCATAATTATTGTTGAAAAACAAACTTGGTTGAAAGATAGTAAGGGAACTAAACTCCCTGTGAAATTATTCTTTCTGGGAAGCTGTCATTTTGAAGTAATCAACGAAAGAAGGCATTTCCAACGGTGATTCTTAAGAAGCACCGTAGGAAAATTTAAATTAGTAGTTCGTTTTGTTATTCAGCGCAGCGCGCACAAGTATTGGAACGACGCACACGTGCGCGCGGTTGTTATAATTCGTCGGATCAGTGCGCGACGTCGCGTATAGCTGCAATTCAAAACAATTCAAAACATGATTCAGTAACTTTGGATTTGAAATTGAGATCTTAGAATGCTGTTTTTCGGAATGTACAGCTGAAGCTTAGCTGAAACTTCATCAGGTTAGTTGCTCAGTATCCTTCATTAGATTTTGAACTCTTTTTTTGCTTCAAACGAACAAAATGCACAAATTACAAATGATGGACTGTAGCTTTAAACCTGGTCAAATTATAAAATGAATTCTTAGTACAGATTAGAAAAAGATCATTAGTACAGAGCTATTTTATTTAATCTAATATTTAATACAACAAATTTTAGTGGCAGCAGCACTTTTATAATTTATTCATAAATTAAAACCCATAAATTCAGTATCATTAAAATTGTTTTCCCTGATTTTTTTTTCAATTATGAGTTTAATTGTTATTTCAGTTTTATTTCAGTAACAACACCAAGCTTACTAGACTAACTCTACATGTCACTGCAGACATTGCAACTCGAGCTAAATTTTAGCAAAACAACCATCACCAAAAAAATTTTCCAAGGATGTTTGTGAAGCTGTCTGTCCATCACTGGGAACTGAGAAACTTCGCCAGGCTGGCCAGAGCTGCAATCAGTATGGCGTTACACACTGTGGAGGGGAAACAAAAACAAACATAAACCAGTATTGATAAATACCCAAGACATACCCACCCATATTGGTCAAGAGCTCGTTCCATGGACGCTTTTAAACACTTTTTTCCGGCACCGCTGCGTTCTGCGCCACATCGCACAGTACGTGCCATGCGTGCCAATCTCCATTTCAGGAGATTTATAGTACTACTCGCGCAAGCTACGCATGTGCCTTAAATACAGTAGAGGGGTGTTTCACAAAACATGAAGTACACCGAATATTAGCTCTACACTCAGGTGTTCTGGTATGAGAGGATTCACGGTACGTATTCATTAACTTGTATTATCCAAAAAGGACTCGACTCGACTACAGCACTGTGCAACAATGAAAGCCGCTTACCCATCATTGCTGATCCGCACTCGACATACACATCCATCATGTGGCTACATCCCTCATGGCCCCCCAAGCCGTCATGCTGACACTGGTCCAAACTCTGCTCAGTCCCGTCGCAGTCAACGTTACTCAAGTAGATCGGTCCACTTCCACTTTCGTCTTCAGACACGTAGCTGACGACAGAGGAATAGCCCAGCTGGCGGCACACCACCTGTGCGTCTTCCTTGGTCCAGCCTGTCTTGCAGACGGTTCCCCAGCGGCCGTCTCGGAAGACCCTCAAGAGTCCCTTTTTGTCTCTTGCGCCCAGTTGGTCGGTGAGCTCCACAGGATACTTATTGGCTTCTGTTCAAGATATTTGATATTATAATAAAATTAGTCTCTGAAGGGAGAACTTTAGAAAGAAAGCACCAACTTGAGCTCAAAAAACACATATTTACCACCAAACGATATGCACTTGGAAAGATCGCTTTCACCAGTAACACAGAAGGACAGATTAGCACGATCTGGCAATGGGGCGGGGCCTTGGAGTGTTGCAAAACATGAAATTACAGTTACAATTATTGGTACAAGTACTGCACAATGACTCTCATGAGTCAGTACTTGCGGTGTTTGTATTTGACTTGATTTGAAAATTTGGCCAATAAGTTTTGTCCTTTGTGTTTTACAGGAAAAACTACCTGGCATCAAGTGGTAAATGACTGTAGAATACCCGAATCCGTACCAATACGGGCGATTACAATACAGTGTGCGATCAAAAGGTTGCCATGCAGAGTCCATTTTTCAACTTTTATACAGTCAACAAAAACGTGGGCGATTTGCCAGGATTTGAACGAATGTCAGCCGACTTGACGTCGTAAGTTAAGATTGCAATTGTTTCCCGCCTTTCAGGGACACATCGAGAAAGTTGAAATTTGTCTGATTTTTTTAGCGCCGACTGATGCCGATCGTCTTAACATTGTCAGTTTCCCTCTGGAAGCAAAAAATCAGCCACTGATTTGTACCTGACTGTCATAGCTCAGGCATATAGCTTGATCCTGAAAAGTCAGTCGCTAACTGTTCTGTGTCATCGCACCTGAGAGCAGCTTGCAGGCATGTGCACATTTTGGTAACCATATTGGTCAAAGGAGCCCAGAGTGCACATGTATCCTGTTCAGTAGTAAAAACGTCATACATGCACGTGCACTACAAATAACTAGCGCCCATTGGTTAAATGCTCGAGTTGCAATAACTGCCGGTTCCATTCATGTTATGCTACAATGTGTGAAGTACGCATGGTTGAATTCAGATGACGTCACACTAACGAACCGGATACTATCTGAGCACAACTCGCATGAGCCTTCAGAAAATGGCTGTCGCCGAATTAATCTATAGTTTGAGCGCAATTAACATGTTCACTTGCAAAACTCACCAAGGGGCCCACTGCAGGTGACCTTTGCTTCGAGTGTGTTTCCTCTGTCGCAGTTTCCACCGGCGTTGAACACACACTCAGTCAGAGACTGCTCATTCCCGTCGCAGTGGAGGTCGAAGACAACTGGCTGTAAACTGCTCTTCCCCTCAGAGACACTGAGGGCGTAGCCGTATCCCAGGGATCGGCAGACCACGTCACCTTCCCTGAGGGTCAAGACCTTCTGGCTACAAATTGACCCTGAAGCCGTGTCGCTCAAGGTCACTTTGACAAACCCTTCATAATTCGACGTCCCATCAATGAGTGTGATGTTCATCGGAAGCGCATCTGAGAGGAAAAATAAATAACCGTGCAGTTCTTTTATAGCGCAAAATATTTCTCGTAGCAAACAGCAAGTACTTGTGTCTTACATGAAGCTGTGATTAAAAGTGTTCCATTAGGATGGGCTGATCTTTATTTGATATGGTAATTCATTCCATTCTTCCAAAGCTGCACATTGAAATGTCCGTTGATCATAAGATTTGGTAAAAACTGTATACATGGAGTGAGATGTTTTTGAGCTGGAGTGAAGATTCCTTAATAAACGATTGCAGTTATTATGGAGATAATCATGGGGCCAATATATGGATGCCTTTTAAGGTGTGAACTAAAATTTGAATCCCCAATTAATAAAGTTTATCAGCTCAAACAAACTTGTGTATATGAGGGTGGATTGAGGGTGAGGCTGGTGTGAGGATTAGGAGGACTGTTAGGGTTTGGCCATAGATGGATTGATGATCGGACCAAGCATGCATACATGTCTTTTCATACCAGGTTTTCTCTGGCACTTGACCCCTGCATTCTTATTGCAGTTCTTGGGAAACCAGCCAGAGTTGGGACAGCCGATGAGATTCTCGTACGTCGCAGATGCATCGCACTGCAAGCCGGACGCCAAGTAGCCATCAAACTGTTCGTTAGAGCCGGATGCCGAAGGGTGCTCGCCAAAGTAGGACCCTCCCACTGCTTCGAGGGCAGGGCCATTTGGGGGTTCTTCAGTTGTGCAGGCGATGTCTGCGTCGGCCAAGTCCCAGCCTTCGTCGCAGATGCTGTAGACAAATGTCGTATCGCCGTTCTGGAATCTGACCTCGACTCTGCCCTCAGTAGATGCATCACCGTCCACGAAAGAGACTTGTGCTCCCTGACCTGACGTACAATTAAGGGAGGTTAGATTCAGTAAATGGGGCGCTAGAACTTCTTTAGTTTAAATTTGGCTTTGGTCGGTCATTACTACTTTACTAGCGGTCGTGCTAATAGCGTCCACAGAGCGTTAACAATTAAACGTCAATAAACATGATCAACATCAACAAAGCATCAACAAACTTAAAATAAAAGGCACTCTTGAGCTTCAAAAAAGCTATTATCATATTCAATACACATATGTTGTATCATGTAAGAAATAAGGGAAATTCACATTCATATCCCACCTAAAAAAAAAGGATTTTTTTTTTTTTGTTCAACGATTTATGGCAATTGGAAGCTAGCCCCAATCTTTCTTTCTCCGTAGGCTTTCCCATGGAACCAATAAGCGATTGAGAAAAGGTTTGATGGCTCGCCAGATGGTTGTAAACAAACACGTCCCGTGGTACGTTATCAAGCATATGATCAGCGCTTTCCTAGGGAACCAATCAATGATCAAGATACTGTGGTGATCATGCACGGAGCTATAGACAGGTTTGTTCAAATCTATACAGACGATCTTATTTACATAAAATGGTCCTGCCCCCATTGCTACGAAATGACCAAGACGTTCGTGTAAAAATGTAAAAAAAAAAAACACTTACGCAAGTGTACTACACAACAATGCAACTATTGCCCTTGATCACTGACGTCTTAGGCTAAGACTACAGAAGGGCTTCAGTAGTACTCAAAATTATCATTGTTTGGAATTGAACCAGTTGACAGTGCACCACACTGGCTACCTGCCATGCTTTACATCACTCGTACATGTCGTAAAAACTGTCAACCTGTGCACAGCACATGTTATGTACACAGTAGTCAGGATGACGGTTTTAGCCAAATTTTGGCTAAATTTGACAAAAATTTTCGTAAAAAAAAACGAGTTTGACAGAAAATTTGACAGAATGGATTTTTTGGGCAGATTTTTGGCAGAATTCTCCAAAATGATTATTTAACAGAAAAACATAGCAAATTTAAAAAAATGGTACATTTTGTAAAAAAAAAAAGCTTCAATCAATTCAAGCAAACCCTTGCATAATGGGACAGGTTGCCTGGTCTAGCTGCTGAGGTTCACTTGAAACCGGATTTTGCCTGAAATTTGCGCAACTTCATAACATCTTTATGTGACTACAGATTGTTTATAATGTAATTTGAACCTTGATTAAGGCAATATACTACAACATCTGCATGTGATTTTAAGTGTTTATAGTGTATTTCGAGTGCAGATTCTGGGGAATTTGGCAGATCTTTTATTAATCTGACAGATTTTTGAAGCGCATTTAGCAGAATTTGGGCATGACCTTACGGTCACCCTGACAGTAGTCAAGATCAACAGACATACAGAAAGGATTAGTGACTGTTTCGTTTCTACATTGGTGATGATTGTCCATGCACAATGTGCATGTGGCCACAGTGCGTCTTGTACCATTTCACGATTGTGACCCCTGTGTCCGGCTCCTACCCCAACTCTGAGTGGGTGCTTTTGTATGGAGCCCATGCACTGTCTGAAACTACTCGAAATCTGTTCCTCACCTCGAGTCTCGACACAAGTCATCGCAACCACTCCACTGACGAGGCAATATGGGCCGCTAGTATTCGTCCGCTTCATGTGTGAGCAGTCCAGAATGGAACTCTCATCTCCCTGACAATTCACATAGCCAAGGTTCCCTTGCACTCCTTGATCTTCAGCGTCTGGGCCCCAACTACCAACGAATTGAAAACCCAGTTGATTGCACAGGACCATGGACTCACGCAACTGCCAATTATTGGCACAGACGGGGCCCCATTTTTCAACGAAGAAGACCTCCAGTTTCTTGAGATTACTTCCAGGAATTGACACATTTAGCCGGAAATCACCGTCACTCTGGCCTGTTGGGAGTAGTGGAAAAAGTAACGCTGATGTAATTAAATAGTTAGGTCTCTGTGTAAGTAGGCAAGTGTGTAAGTGTCATGTCAGAGATTTCAACTTCAAGGCCCCATCTCCCGCCTCATGAATGTCTGCTGCATGGCACATGTATTCGTATGAAGTATGTATTATGGAATCTGGGTTGGGATAAAATAAAGGGAAAAATGGACCATTTTTGTAATGCACTGGGGATATACGGTTGCATTTTTCAGACTCTTACGATCTAGTTTTTATAACGTAGAACTTAGCTCCAGCTCTAAACGCAATAAGCATTCCTTAAACTACAGTACAAACCAAGTCTAAATGTAAAAACAAAATTTGAGTTTGACATTTTCGGGTGCATGTTCTAACAATGTGTAAGTGTAACGTTAGCCCTTTAAAAAAAAAAATCTGGAGATAGTCCAATAAAGATGGTAAATTGGCCACATTTATGGGGCTAGCACAGGGGCCAAAGTTACATAATACATGCAGATCTGTCATTGTCTGAGCATGGAGGAATGTGTTCCTTCCTTCATGCAGATATCACGTCCCAGTCTGGGGCTGGTCCGGTCTACCCCTAAGTTAGAACTTAGAGAACTATATAGGCTGGTTATCTCCGTTAACTCCTGAAAGGGCGATCGTGTAGTGAAGGGCCCAGTCACTTTAAAATTATTAGACCGACCAAACTAGTTGGTGACATTCTCAACAGGTTGCCTACTATTGCCAGACTATGTTCCAATGTTAATGAAAAGGCGATAGGCCTAGTTGGGTCCAAGTTACTTTGACTAATTTCTACCCCATGCCAAAAAAACTGTTCAAAATTGCAAAACGGGTGTCATGAGAAAAGTCTGCTTTTGATTGTAAAGGTGATTTTGGAGCATTAGAAAACATTTTTGACTCTGATTTGATCAAAACAAAACAAGGGCCCTACACTACACGATTGCCCCCGAAGTAACCCACAAAAAATAATACCGGAAAGAATGTTGCAACCTGATGCTACTTTCGAAACAGAAAAAAAGACAATCTGTTTTTGCTTACCTGCTACCGTACCTCGGAGAGTATACTCTCATGTGAGAACTGTACTGTAAGGAATATGTTGACAAAGTCTTTAGAGAGATTTGTAGGCGAAAGTGTGGCCATTTGTGAATTTTTTACATGTCACTGCATGTTGACGCCCTCAACTGAAGCATGACATACTAATTTGGACACACGTTCGCCTCTCTAGTTTAAAGACTTTATCAACATATTCAGTTCTCACATGAAAATATACTCTCTGGGGTACAAGATAAGCCAAAAAAATGTCTTTCTGTTTCGAAAGTAGTGTCAGGTTGCAACATTTTTCCATAATACCTACTTTTTGCAGACTGCCAGAAAGCACCGAGTATCAAGGTCTCCAACAGCCATGCAAGGGAAATTGTCTTCATCACGCCCGTGAACATGGCGAACACGTTTAACACGCAGGTTTTTTACTACTTTTGTTCTCAATTATTTTGGTGGCCTCAGGCTCAGAAGTCAGATGCAAGCGCCTTTCGAAGGAGACAGACTAGATTCTAGAATAACCATCGGTATTTGATAACATCATGGAAGTATAAAACGGAGGAGCAGCTAGGGCGTGGAGCGAGTTGATCTATGACTCACTATCATCAATGTCGTTCATGTTAATGAGTTACTTTTTCGTTAAAAAGTAACTAATTAAATAAAAGCATGCGTGCGGTACCAGGTGCGTGCACAGTTGCACTGGTACAGTGTGGTACACATAGGACCGCAAGTAATGATGTGCAAACCGTCCGCAAGTGCCTGATATCTATGGGCGGTCAAAAGGACCAACATTTTTAAAAATGAAATATAATTCAAACGAACAACAAACACAACGTAACAAGAAACAATAAACAAATCTTACATCGAAGGATCGAAACAAAACATTGTCCTCAAGAGGTTAGTAAAACAAGAGTGTTTATTCGTGTACGTGTGTCGTTTAGTTGCTTTTTAACGAAAAAGTAACTCAGTAACTCGAATGCGATTGTGACTGGCGACGGTGATGAGTCATTTTGTACTGGGAATGTTGCAACCGGACGCCACTTCAGTTGTGCATATTATGGTCTGGAGAGTCAAGAAATTTAAGTAGGCCTATGCATTTCCTGTAATTCCTGTTTTGGTTTTTAAATGTATATTGCTTTTGCTAATCAATAAAACATAGAAAGAAAAAATTGAAATGTTTCTCAGTCCCAGATTCATGTCTTATAACCATTTTTCAATGAATGACCATGACCTTCATTGAGATGATAAGGAAAAAGTGGCGTCCCAACCGCAGTTGCAACATCCTTCTCCTTCGTTCATGTCAGAATTCGAAATACCGATGGTAATTCTAGAATCCAGGGGCGGCGGAACCGGGGGGGGGGGCAGGGGAGGGGGTGCATGCCCCTCTTGTTGTGCCTCCTCTAGCATAAATGTGCCCCTTCGAGATGAAAACAAAAATTGCCATTATCTTTCTGGTAATTTGTTTTCAGTAACATTTTTCCCCAAACGGTATAGAGAGTTCTTATGCGAACGAGGAATATGAAAACCAAGCCCCAAAACCATGATGCGCCTCCAGGGGAAAAAAATGGTCCGGTTAAGTTATTCTTTATGATGGGACTTGCGGTTTTGCCTAAGTCAATTGAGTGTGATTGGGTGACTGATAAGGTTTACGCACAAAACCATGGGTCAGTGAGGCTTTTGTATAGAAGACTGGCGGAACCATTTTTTGCGGCAGTGTGCCGGTAATGTTGAAAATTACAACATAATGCGTAGTTTGCATAATGCCGGTTTTGAAGAGGGTCCCCTATGTTGGACGATGGTTCCCCCCCCCCCCCCACCACAACCACCACCACCACCACCGGCTATGCCTATGTGTTGCAATGCGATTGCAGCACTCCTCTTCAAAATTGACCACGCATGGAAGATGGATCACTCCGCAGTATCGTGCAAGTTCATGGAAGTGGCGTCTAAAGTTCTAAAATGTCCCCAAACTCCCCATCCGCGTTTTGGGGTTATTCCACGGCCGGTGTAGCATGAATATCCGACTCCATGAAATGTGGACTCATTGGTAGTACTGCACACGCGTGAGTACGATACTATGCTATTTTTAGGATCGTTTCGGGAGAGTGACCTGTCACGTGCGAGGGATCAACCTATAATAGGGAAATAGGGGTCCGATTTTCATAGGAGTCCGATTTTCATGGACACCGGTACCATGCATCATCCATTCAAAATACCAACATCGAGAGGGGAGTGATTGCTATTTCCTTTTGGGACACTGTTTAATATGCTTGAAAGAGTACGAAAGCCCTGTAGTGCCATCAAGTATATATTTCGCCAAGTTCGTTTTTATGAGTTATATATTTCGCCAAGTTCGTTTTTATGAGTTATATATTTCGCCAAGTTCGTTTTTATGAGTTATATATTTCGCCAAGTTCGTTTTTATGAGATACATTTTGTCGAAGTTCGTTTTTATGAGATACATTTTGTTGAAGTTCGTTTTTATGAGTTACATTTTCTCGAAGTTCGTTTTTATGAGTTACATTTTCTCGAAGTTCGTTTTTATGAGATACATTTTGTCGAAGTTCGTTTTTATGAGATATATTTTACGGAGTTACGGAGTTTTATGAAGTTACGGAGCCCCTAAAGGGACATCCAAAATTATTTTCTTATCTCGTGCGCACGACATAATATCTCGTGCGCACGAGATAATTATCACAGGCGCACGACATATATGACGTGCGCACGACATAATATCTCGTGCGCACGAGACAATTATCACGTGCGCACGACATATATCTCGTGCGCACGAGATAATTATAAGTATTAACGGAGCTTGCTGCACTTGCAGCGGACGAGTTTGTGTGTAACGAAAGCAGCGTGTCTGGTACGCTGCCCCTAAAGGAACAGCCAAAATTATGTTATTATCTCGTGCGCACGACATACTATCTCGTGCGCATGACATATATCTCGTGCGCACGACATGCGCAAGCTCCGTTAATGCTTATAATTATCTCGTGCGCACGAGATATATGTCGTGCGCACGAGATATATGTCGTGCGCACGAGATATATGTCGTGCGCACGAGATATATGTCGTGCGCACGTGATAATTATCTCGTGCGCACGAGATATTATGTCGTGCGCACGTGATATATGTCGTGCGCCAGTGATAATTATCTCGTGCGCACGAGATATTATGTCGTGCGCACGAGATAATAAAATAATTTTGGAAGTCCCTTTAGGGGCTCCGTAACTTCATTAAACTCCGTAATTCCGTAAAATATAACTCATAAAAACGAACTTGGCGAAATATATAACTCATAAAAACGAACCTTGGGAAATATATAACTCATAAAAACGAACCTGGCGAAATATATAACTCATAAAAACGAACCTTGCGAAATATATAACTCATAAAAACGAACTTGGCGAAATATATAACTCATAAAAACGAACTTGGCGAAATAAATAACTCATAAAAACGAACCTGGCGAAATATATAACTCATAAAAACGAACTTGGCGAAATATATAACTCATAAAAACGAACCTGGCGAAATATATAACTCATAAAAACGAACCTTGCGAAATATATAACTCATAAAAACGAACTTGGCGAAATATATAACTCATAAAAACGAACCTTGCGAAATATATAACTCATAAAAACGAACTTGGCGAAATATATAACTCATAAAAACGAACTTGGCGAAATATATAACTCATAAAAACGAACCTTGCGAAATATATAACTCATAAAAACGAACTTGGCGAAATATATAACTCATAAAAACGAACTTGTCGAAATATATAACTCATAAAAACGAACTTGGCGAAATATATAACTCATAAAAACGAACCTGGCGAAATATATAACTCATAAAAACGAACCTTGCGAAATATATAACTCATAAAAACGAACTTGGCGAAATATATACTTGATGGCACTACAGGGCTTTCGTAAAAGAGTGATACTGATGGGAGAATTGTGTATGTAGTCACTGCCGCTGGAACAAACTTTTGTCAGGGGGTGCTGGAATTCGGACGGACAAAATTAATATGAAAGCAGAGCGCAAAGCCCTTAACGTCGTGCCTCAATTTGGAATATGGATGTTCTGTGGTGCAATCTGAGGCGATTCCTGGCCACTTTCATTTGACTTTTTTAGCAAAAGTTTTTTTGAGATTATAAAGACAATTGATTTTATTATTTTGTTTAGAATATACTTGCTCTTAAACGTTTAACTGTACTGAAAAGTGGAGAACCCTGTATGTTTATCTCCATTTTTTTTGTTCCATTTAATTCTGGAAAAAGAATTGTATCATTACCCATGACATCGCATGTAAATATTAATGTTGCAAGGCTGCTCTCTTACAGTTAGTAAATTCCGTCGTGTATGTTTTGTTTTATTTTCCGAGCCCTTACGGCGTGGGGTCACAAGGCCAGGGGCCCGCTTTAAGGCCCCGGAAAATGTTGGATTCTGAATGCACTGTGATGAAATATCTGGTTGTATACTGAAACTTATGAAACCCGAAAGGATTTTTTTTGGTTTAAGTTAAAACAAATGGTTCCACTGGAAGCGGAAGAATTTCTGTTCATAAAAATAATCTAACTCACCAAACGATGTGGCTCTCGATATATTTGAAGTGTTATTTCTTTGTTACAGGGAATGGTGGCAAATATGACTAAAAAACCAAATGTATCTTTATGTTTATGATCGGTAGATGGCCGAAAAGTTTGGGGCTATAGGCAATAATTTATCGGTGTACAGAGTTTTTGTGAGGAAATACTTGCAGAGGGTAAAACATGAATACTTTTTTTTCTATTCAAACAAAACTACACTGGATTTGGCATAAAGCATGACCGGTTTCAATTAACCTTGCTATTTGTAAATGTTGAGTACTGAATGCTTGCAACGTCAATGCAACTTTTAAATGAAAAGAAAAACCTTCAGGGGAAAGGTATGAACAGTTGCCCCTATTGAAAGATCGAATGAAAAAAAATCCTGGCAAGCATAATCAACTTTGCCACCATCGTCATGGCCGAGGTTATTGCTTTTGGGTCAAAGCTTCCATCATGGCGGAAATATCATAGACATGTCATGATTTTAGATACCGAGTGAGAAATATCCATTCTGCACTGCCTGAAGATATAGAAAATACCTCCTCTTGGTATTTTACAGTGTTTGTGCTAAACTTTCGAAGCGCCGCGCTTAGCCGCTGGAACACATTTTTGTCCGGAAGTAGGGGGTGCTGAAGCATATTCCAGCACCCCAATCCAAATAGTTGCGGGTGCTGCAGCACCCACAGCACCCCCGTTACCGCGGCATAGTATGTAGTGATGGGAGATTTTTCAAAATCCAGTTATCCCAATTTTTCAAAACCTCATTCATAACCATGAGTTCACGTCACAGGAGTAATATCAAAATATATGCACTGAAGTGTACTGAGAACGTGTCACAAATATCAAATGTTAGTGTAAATTTACTTCATATGAATATAATATAAGAAAGGCAGGGTAAAAGCTTATCATGACATGTGCATAACGTTTGCAGAGTACGTTAATATTTTCACAAATAAACTATTTCATAATGCAACTTTTAGAAAAATAGAGTTTAGAGATCCATCAGCTTGAAATAAACTTCAAACAAAATGAATCAAAAATTGGAATCAGATATAGAGCTTAGCAATCAAGGATCAGTATAAAATACACTTCAATTAATAGACTATGCATTATATACAACCAATTTTCATAAATAAGTACTGGGCAATATAAGAACTTATTTTTTTTTTTACAAAATTTGAGTTTAATTCTGCTGTAAAGGATAAATCTTTGTCACGTGAAAACATATATCAAAAAAATGCATGGATCTACTTTAAACCTGGTCAGATTATTTTTTTTTAAAAGAGTCCTAACATACGCAAATTTTGGGTGATAGCAGGAAAAGGAAAAGTACAGAGCTAATTTACTTAATCAAATATGAGGTTAAAACAAATTTCAGTGGCTCGTTGAACTTTATAAATGCATAAGTAAAAAACAATAAATTCAGTAACATTAAACATGTTTTCCCTGATTTGTTTCTCAGTTATAAGTTTAATTGTTATTTCAGTTTCATTTCAGTAACACCACGCTTTCTACAGTAACTCTACATGTTTCAACTTGAGCTCAATTTGAGCCAAACGACCATCACAACAAATGATTTTCCAAATATTTCTGAAGTCGTCTGTCCATCACTAGGAACTGAGAAACTTCGCCAGGCTAGCCAGGGCTGCAATCAGTATGGTGTTACACACTGTGGAGGGGAACCAAAAAAACCAAACATTAACAAATATTAATAAATACCTAAGACAGTTTATCCATTCATTTTGGTTGAGGCTCATCACGTGGGTGCTTTTAAACACTTTTCCCGGCACCGCTGCGTTCTGCTCCACAACGCGCAGTACGGACCATCGGCGCACGCCAATCTCCACATAAGGAGATTTTTAGTTCTACTCGCGCAAGGCACATTTCATAAACATAGCTATAGAAGTATGTTTCACAAATCATGAAGTTTGAACAAAATCGTCGGAAATATTTAATTTAAAATTTATGAAAAATGAAAACAAAGGGTGATAAAGGACAGTACAAGGCTGTTTACATCAGCTAAGGCTTGTAACAAAAATTATTGACGATTTTTATCATAAATCAGATAAATCAATGTTTAATTCCAGCTGGTATATCAGTTTACACGTATACTTCTCGAAAAAGGACTCGACTACCACACTAGTGCGACACCGGTGAAACAAAGCCGCTTACCCGTCATTGCTGATCCGCACTTGACATACACATCCATCATGTGGCTACATCCCTCATGGACACCCCAGCCGTCATGCTGACACTGGTCCAAACTCTGCTCAGTCCCGTCGCAGTTAACGTTAGTCAAGTAGATCGGTCCACTTCCGCTTGCGTCATCAGACACGTAGCTGACGACAGAGGAATAGCCCAGCTGGCGGCACACCACCTGTGCGTCTTCCTTGGTCCAGCCTGTCTTGCAGACGGTTCCCCAGCGGCCGTCTCGGAAGACCCTCAAGAGTCCCTTTTTGTCTCTTGCGCCCAGTTGGTCGGTGAGCTCCACAGGATACTTACTGGCTTCTGTTCAAGATATTTGATATTATAATAAAATTAGTCTCTGAAGGGAGAACTTTAGAAAGAAAGTACCAACTTGAGCTCAAAAAACACATATTTACCACCAAACGATATGCACTTGGAAAGATCGCTTTCACCAGTAACACGGAACGACATATAAGCACGATCTGGCAATGGGGCGGGGCCTTGGAGTGTTGCAAAACATGAAATTACAGTTACAATTATTGGTACAAGTACTGCACAATGACTCTCAAGAGTCAGTACTTGCGGTGTTTATATTTGACTTGATTTGAAAATTTGGCCAATAAATTTTGTCCTTTTGTGTTTTACAGGAAAAATTTCCCGGCATCAAGTGGTAAATGACTGTAGAATACCCGAATCCGTACCAATACGGGCGATTACAATACAGTGTGCGATCAAAAGGTTGCCATGCAGAGTCCATTTTTCAACTTTTATACAGTCAACAAAAACGTGGTCGACTTGCCAGGATTTGAACGAATGTCAGCCGACTTAACGTCGTAAGTTAAGATTGCAATTGCTTCCCGCCTTTCAGGGACAACATCGAGAAAGTTGAAATTTGTCTGATTTTTTTAGCGCCGACTGATGCCGATCGTCTTATTGTCAGTTACCCTCAGGAAGCAAAAAATCAGCCACTGATTTGTACCTGACTGTCATAGCTCAGGCATATAGCTTGATCCTGAAAAGTCAGTCGCTAACTGTTCTGTGTCATCGCACCTGAGAGCAACTTGCAGGCATGTGCACATTTTGGTAACCGTATTGGTCAAAGGAGCCCAGAGTGCACATGTATCCTGTTCAGTAGTAAAAACGTCATACATGCACGTGCACTACGAATAACTAGCGCCCATTGGATAAATGCTCGAGTTGCATGAAGTGCCGGTTCCATTCATGTTATGCTACAATGTGTGAAGTACGCATGGTTGAATTCAGATGACGTCACACTAACGAACTGGATACTATCTGAGCACAACTCGCATGAGGGTGCACGCCTGTAAATAGACCAAAAATCCGTCCGCCGAGCTCATAAATAAAAGTTATACCCTCAAAATATTCTATATTAGAGAGTTCTGAGAACCATGGAATTGGGGAATTGAAGACATGTGGCACTGAACCTCTGGCCTGGACTTGGAGCTTCCAATTCTGAGCATTTTGGATGCAATCTGGCCCGAAAGTGGCGCTATTTAGCCATGTTGTGGAGGGATTCTTTTTCAAAATGGCTACTTTTCCAGTTCGGGAAACATCATTCGTTTTAGGGGTGTTCTTATTTGGGTGAGAATATCTCAAAAAGTCAATGGTCAACCCACCCAAAATTGAAAAGAAAATGAAAGATGACATGTTGATCATCATTTTTCTGTGCAGCTTGAATACCTGTGAGAGTTCTGAGTATTTTTAAATGAATTTTGAAGTATGGACATTTAGCACTAGTGTCTATGGGAATTTATTTGCAGGCGCGCACCCTATAGATCCTGAGTGGTGGCGGCCATGTTGTTATGACGGGGGATTTCAACATGTGCTTTTTATTGCTGTAAGTACAAAATAAGCTTAAATTGAGTTAAAATAAATATGAAAACAAACATTTTACACTCTGTATCTTTGATTTTTCAGGTTTTTATTCAAAACACACTGTGGAAGTTAGCATTTACAGGTAAGTGAACCGTTAAAAAAATGTAAACAATGAGTCATTCACCCCAGTCTGTGCATGTTCTTATTTTGTTTCCATTTCGGGGTATTTTAATTGGTTATTATTGAAATCGAACACAGAGAAGGCACAGTTCTTTCTTTATTCAGACAAAAATAAGTGAATAATATTGTTTGTACTTGTTTGAGCTTGTACAAATCAAATTTTGACTTGTAATAAAATGGATGGTGAAGGGTGGACATTCACATCCAAGGTAAAAAACTTTTAGCCAATGGATTTCTGGGCTCCTGAAAAACACTGAGACAAAATGGCCGACATGGAGTCGTGGTGCGCCAGAATTAAATGGGCGATTGCAAAAAAGAGCAGATTTCAGCCTTCAAAAGGATGCCGGCTTTGGCGGGGATGCATAAAAAAATCCTATGGCATCATTTCAATGAAAATGCCAGGCTCGAACAAACGCACTCTGAAGTCTGTGCACAGGGCGGCTTACATGGCACACACCGGAAATGTAAATTTGCCACGGGAGTGGGATGTAAGTCACCTGTGCCAGAATTCATTGTGCGTTTGTTTCGAGCATTTGTCCCTTGAACCTAGGGCTGTAAATAATAGCAGAAAAGTCTGCAAACGACTCAAGCAGTGCCAAGGGCACGATGGGTACCGGGAGTGCCTGCTTTAAGGTATCGTAATGAACAATAAATTTGTCAGTTACATTCCAAAAACATAATTTAAAAACGTTTGCAGTAATTGTGTTCAGATTGGATGATGTGGCAGACATTTTTCAAACCATCGTCTGGCTTAGGATCCAGTTGGCCACGTTTATACAGTGGCCGTGTGGCATAATACAGCTGGAATCTTTGAGAACGCAATTGTGCTCTGCGTGTTTTGTACTCCTGACCTTTAGCACGTTTAACATACTGTTTTTGTTTCTTATCCATTTCAGCAAGGGCTTTTGCAGCTGGGGAGCCTGCAGTTACTGGGCAACCAGCAGCTGCGCACTTTTTGACTATTGAATTGGCGTGTCTGTTATTCACCAAGTGCACTGCGCTATGGTCTCGACAAGAACCATTTCTTGAGAAGGTTAGTGTGGCCTTAGGGTTGGTTACTGCAAAGGCATGGTTCATTGATTCTGCTTTTTGAGTACTGGTGCCATATTTAGTTTTTTCAAGGGCTTCTTGGCCAAGTCGTTTGCCTAGGAGTTTGATGAGAGTCTGTTCATCACAAGTTGCTAATTTCAGTTTGCCACGGGCATCGACTGGCAGGTATGGAAACCGATATTTACCACCCATACAAATTTGGGACCACTTTTTGCAAAGGCCGTGATTCCCCATGTAACATTGAACAATGGCACTTGCTGCATTTCTAGCCATGGTCGTCATTTGGGAAGAGTTCCCACCGCTTTTTTTCAGTATAGCAGCAGCCTCGGCCTGTGCCCTGTGGCTGACGTCATCGGCAAATCGATCTTGAATGTTTTTCTTTGCTCTTTTATTTTTGCCTGGAAACATCTCTTTACTGAATTTTGCACGACTTATGGCTGCACAGAGTGATCGGTTTAAATGAGGCGGATCTAACGAATGTTCAGTTTCCATACCTGCCACCTTACTTTGCATATATGATCTCATACCCCGTGCCAGACAACCGTCGGCATCTGTTGTCACCCTATTTACAAACAAAGGTTCTTTACAGTTTAAAAGTTTTTGGGCGCACTGAATGCCCCCGTTGCGCTCATCTCCCATATTGAAGTTCGGTGGACGAGTGGCCGTGCATTTCCCTGCGTGCTTGTGATCCCTCGCTCCGTCAATGTCACATTTTTTGCAAAGTTTGTTCTCCTGGTGGTACATGACAACATACTTGCTGGTTGTCACATTTTCAACGACAACATCTCTTGTCTGGGTGGCTGCGACGAAGGGTGTTTTCTTGCGACAGTTTCGAAGGGGATTATTATATTGTCTGTCAGTTTCCACTGCAATTGCGCTGTGTCTCTCGTAACCCTGCAGTTCATGAATGTCTTTCACGATTTTTCTCTTGTTGCACATGTCCGTTTCATTTTCTGTGGTGATAATTTCACCACATTTGTTTGATGTACTTTGCAGGCTACTTATCGAGGGAACAGTTGTGTCCATTGCAGACAACAGCCGCCTAGCCCCAGCAGCTGCAATGCCGGTGTTGTAAAGACCAACCTGGAACGCCATGTTGGGAGTGGCAGTCCGTCGTCCTCTCCCCGTCTGTGGAATTTCGGTGAACAGTTTTGTCTTGTCAGTGCAGAACCCACACTTTTGGCAGGACAGTACCTCGGACACAGCCAAACCTCGTCGCTCCTCAGCATCTGGCATCAATGTGGGCCGGCCGCTGCAATCAGGATGTGTGCGTTGGTGATCTAGGATAGCCTGCGCTCCCAAGTCGACTGCAGAATTGATGTCGACGAACCGGTAGGCTGCTCGCTTCCCTCCATCTGACTGATCAGCTGGGCTCTGGTGCTGGAGTTCTCTTCTACAGAGGGGCTGTGGTACTGCTTCCTTCTTGAGTTGGAGTTTGTCAAGGGGAGTAGTTTCAGCAGCGTTTGGTCGAAGCAGCATGACTTTCCTTGTCGGCACTGCATTGGGCGTGGTACAGATGAACCCCCGCTCATCTCTTTCAACAGCAAGTTGCATCTGCTGTTGTGTTGGCCTTGTGTACACTGTTGGTGAGTTCATCTGAAAATGACTGATTGGGGATTTACACTTTGCAGGGAATAGTTTATGGCCATTCTGGAACCAGCTTTTCTTCCTTTTGTACACTGCTCGTCCCAATCGACCCATACTGAAACTGCTGCAGAAATAGCTGGTTTTGCAAAATTGAGATTGTTTTTCCCCTGTGTGAGCATGTGACAGAATGCATGTGGTCACACTAACTCTCAATGCCAGAGTGATGACTATACAGCACAAGTTTGGTTAATAATTCAGAAGCCAGTCTGTACAGAGAGTTTATTTCTGTTGTTATTTTATGGGGGGGGGGATGGAAGATAGGTGTTTTACAATGGAATCTTTGGAGACAGTAATTAGCCCAGCTAGTACTAAAGAGGCTGGGCTGTGATGGGGACAGGGCCAGGGAGTCATAAATAGGGTCATATAATAAATCTTCAGCATGTACTTTCAGAGAATAAAAGGCAGCCACAGCCAGGGATTAGTGCACAACATCAAGGCCCATTGTGTACAGTTTTTGATCTTCCAAGGGTGTTCATTGCTTGCAATAATTTAAGAAATGACCAAAATACTACTGTTGTAATGTTGCTTATGTTACATGCCACCATTAAAATACAGGGCACCCTGTACATTTGCATATACAAAATGTTAAAGCTGTGCTGAAATTAATTTATCCCCCCCCCCTTCTTTTCACCCTTGATCCGCCCCTAAAGTGGTTATGGCCACCACAAAGTGACCCCAGATGAACCAAGAAAATAGTTCACACACATTGCAAATGTAAAAGAAAGGAATATGTGGCAAAATTTGAAGTGAGAAGGAAAGAAAAAACAACTTCCATGTGCATATTGCATGCACACAAGCTGTATTTTCCTATTCAAAACAGTAGAAAACACCATAGCCACACCCTACACATTAGCCCCTGTGGTTTCTCCGAGGGGCAATATTTTTCATTTTTTTTTTCAAAATAATGACTTTGAAGATATTCTACTTCTCCTGAATGTGGTTTTGTGTTAAAATTTGAGAGTTGCCTGCTATTAAAGGGTGCACGCCTGTAAATAGACCAAAAATCCGTCCGCCGAGCTCATAAATAAAAGTTATACCCTCAAAATATTCTATATTAGAGAGTTCTGAGAACCATGGAATTGGGGAATTGAAGACATGTGGCACTGAACCTCTGGCCTGGACTTGGAGCTTCCAATTCTGAGCATTTTGGATGCAATCTGGCCCGAAAGTGGCGCTATTTAGCCATGTTGTGGAGGGATTCTTTTTCAAAATGGCTACTTTTCCAGTTCGGGAAACATCATTCGTTTTAGGGGTGTTCTTATTTGGGTGAGAATATCTCAAAAAGTCAATGGTCAACCCACCCAAAATTGAAAAGAAAATGAAAGATGACATGTTGATCATCATTTTTCTGTGCAGCTTGAATACCTGTGAGAGTTCTGAGTATTTTTAAATGAATTTTGAAGTATGGACATTTAGCACTAGTGTCTATGGGAATTTATTTGCAGGCGCGCACCCATGAGCCTTCAGAAAATGGCTGTCGCCGAATTAATCTATAGTTTGAGAGCAAGTAACGTGTTCACTTGCAAAACTCACCAAGGGGCCCACTGCAGGTGACCTTTGCTTCGAGTGTGTTTCCTCTGTCGCAGTTTCCACCGACGTTGAACACACACTCAGTCAGAGACTGCTCATTCCCGTCGCAGTGGAGGTTGACGACAACTGGCTGTAAACTGCTCTTCCCCTCAGAGACACTGAGGGCGTAGCCGTATCCCAGGGATCGGCAGACCACGTCACCTTCCCTGAGGGTCAAGGCCTTCTGGCTACAAATTGACCCTGAAACCAAGTGGCTGAAGGTCACTTTGACAAACCCTTCATAATTCGACGTCCCATCAACGAGTGTGATGTTCATCGGAAGCGCATCTGAGAGGAAAAATCAATAAACATGCAGTACTTTTATAGCACAAAATATTATTTTAAAGTCTCTATGATGTGCCTTTTGGTAGCTAACAGTAAGTGACTACAAGGTGAGTCAAAAAAAGCGATACCCAAATGCCGGGACTATTGTTTTAGTGAAGTTCTCCATGTAGCACTTTCAAAATCTAGGATATGAAAGCCCAATTCTAAGCTTTTTTTAGTACAAGAATCATTCAAATCACTCATGTACTTTTCAAGTTATTGAATTTTAAACAACCACCGTTTTAAAGTTCTGTCCACAAATCACAAGAAGGTAAGTGTTCTTTTAGCAAAATGAAAACGAATCACACAGAGATTTGCGTGAATTGTTTTCCTTTTGCTGAACAACTGAGAAGGCACACTTTTTTGTGATCCGTGGACAGAACTTTAAAATGGTGGTTGTGCTTAAAATTCTTGTAAATTGAAAAGGACACGAGTGATTTGAATGATTGTTGTACTTAAAGAAAACTTATGAATTGGGCTTTTATATCCCAGAGTTTAAAAGTGCTACATGCAGACCTTCACTAAAACAATAGTCCAGACATTTGGGTTTTGCTTTTTTTGACTAAAGCCCAGTTCATACTCGGCGCGAAAACTAAAGCGAACAAGAATTTGTGATGTCATGGCAAGTTTTCACGCTGCGAATTCGTAATAGTTGCATATATTTCAACTCGGGCGAATTTCGCAGCGAACGTGCCATGACGTCAAATTCGCTTCGCTTTGGCATTCGCGTGAAGTATGAACTGGGCTTCACCCTGTATTAGTGTGTCTTAAATGAAGCTGTGATTTAAAGAGTTCCATTAGAATGTGCTGATCTTTATTACCTCCGCCAGGGAGATTATGTTATCACCGGTGTTGGTTAGTTTGTCTCAGGCTGTTAACAGGATAACTCAAAGCCCTTTTAGGGTTAATGAAAGGTTGCAGTTATTAATTCCTGGAGATAATCGCGGTGCCAATACATAGATGCCTTTAAAGGTGTGAACTAAAATTGAATCACCAATTAACAAAGTTTATCAGCTCAAACAAACTTGTGTATATGAGGGTGGATTGAGGGTGAGGCTGGTGTGAGGATAAGGAGGACTGCGGGTTTGTCCATGGATGGATTGATGAACGGACCAAGCATGCATACATGTCTTTTCATACCAGGTTTTCTCTGGCACTTGACCCCTGCATTCTTATTGCAGTTCTTGGGAAACCAGCCAGAGTTGGGACAGCCGATGAGATTCTCGTACGTCGCAGATGCATCGCACTGCAAGCCGGACGCCAAGTAGCCATCAAACTGTTCGTTAGAGCCGGATGCCGAAGGGTGCTCGCCAAAGTAGGACCCTCCCACTGCTTCGAGGGCAGGGCCATTCGCGGGTTCTTCAGTTGTGCAGGCGATGTCTGCGTCGGCCAAGTCCCAGCCTTCGTCGCAGATGCTGTAGACAAATGTCGTATCGCCGTTCTGGAATCTGACCTCGACTCTGCCCTCAGTAGATGCATCACCGTCCACGAAAGAGACTTGTGCTCCCTGACCTGACGTACAATTAAGGGAGGTTAGATTCAGTAAATGGGGCGCTAGAACTTCTTTTGTTTAAATTTGGCTTTGGTCGGTCATTACTACTTTACTAGCGGTCGTGCTAATAGCGTCCACAGAGCGTTAACAATTAAACGTCAATATAAACAAGATCAACATCAACAAAGCATCAACAAACTTAAAATAAAAGGCACTCTTGAGCTTCAAAAAAGCTATTATCATATTCAATACACATATGTTGTATTATGTAAGAAATAAGGGAAATTCACATTCCTATCCCACCTAAAAAAAAAAGGATTTTTTTTTTTGTTCAACGATTTATGGCAATTGGAAGCTAGCCCCAATCTTTCTTTCTCCGTAGGCTTTCCCTCTGGAACCAATAAGCGATTGAGAAAAGGTTTGATGGCTCGCCAGATGGTTGTAAACAAACACGTCCCGTGGTACGTTATCAAGCATCATATCAGCGCTTTCCTAGGGAACCAATCAATGATCAAGATACTGTGGTGATCATGCACGGAGCTATAGACAGGTTTGTTCAAATCTATACAGACGATCTTATTTACATAAAATGGTCCTGCCCCCATTGCTACGAAATGACCAAGACGTTCGTGTAAAAATGTAAAAAAAAAAAAACACTTACGCAAGTGTGCTACACAACAATGCAACTATTGCCCTTGATCACTGACATCTTAGGCTAAGACTACAGAAGGGCTTCAGTAGTACTCACAATCATTGTTTGTAATTGAACCAGTTGACAGTGCACCACACTGCCTACCTGCCATGCTTTACATCACTCGTACATGTCGTAAAAACTGTCAACCTGTGCACAGCACATGTTATGTACACAGGAGTCAGAGTGACCGTTTTAGCCGAATTTTGGCTAAATTTGACAAAATTTTTCTCAAAAAAAAAACGAGTTTGACAGAAAATTTGACAGAATGGATTTTTTGGGCAGATTTCTGGCAGAATTCTCCAAAATGATTATTTAACAGAAAAACATAGCAAATTTGAAAAAAATGGTACATTTTGTAAAAAAAAATTCAATCAATTCAAGCAAACCCTTGCATAATGGGACAGGTTGCCTGGTCTAGCTGCTGAGAATCACTTGAAACCGGATTTTGCCTGAAATTTGCGCAACTTCATAACATCTTTATGTGACTACAGATTGTTTATAATGTAATTTGAACCACAACATCTGCATGTGATTTTAAGTGTTTATATTTCGAGTGCAGATTCTGGGGAATTTGGCAGATCTTTTATTAATCTGACAGATTTTTGAAGCGCATTTAGCAGAATTTGGGCATGACCTTACGGTCAGTAGTCAAGATCAATAGACATACAAAAAGGATTAGTGACTGTTTCGTTTCTACATTGGTGATGATTGTCCATGCACAATGTGCATGTGGCCACAGTGCGTCTTGTACCATTTCACGATTGTGGCCCCCGTGTCCAGCTCCTACCCCAACTCTGAGTGGGTGCTTTTGTATGGAGCCCATGCACTGTCTGAGACTACTCGAAATCTGTTACTCACCTCGAGTCTCGACACAAGTCATCGCAACCACTCCTCTAATGCAAATTAGGCCGCTGGTATTCGTCCGCTTTATGTGTGGACAGTCCAGAATGGAACTCTCATCTCCCTGACAATTCACATAGCCAAGGTTCCCTTGCACTCCTTGATCTTCAGCGTCTGGGCCCCAACTACCAACGAATTGAAAACCCAGTTGATTGCACAGGACCATGGACTCACGCAACTGCCAATTATTGGCACAGACGGGGCCCCATTTTTCAAAAAAGAAGACCTCCAGTTTCTTGAGATTACTTCCAGGAATTGACACATTTAGCCGGAAATCACCGTCACTCTGGCCTGTTGGGAGTAGTGGAAAAAGAAACGCTGATATAATTAAATAGTTAGGCCTCTGTGTAAGAAGGCAAGTGTGTAAGTGTCATGTCAGAGATTTCAACTTCAAGGCCCCATCTCCCGCTTCATGAATGTCTGCTGCATGGTACATGTATTCGTATGAAGTATGTATTATGGAATCTGGGTTGGGATAAAATAAAGGGAAAAATTGACCATTTTTGTAATGCACTGGGGATATACAGTTGCATTTTTCGGACTCTTACGATCTAGTTTTTATGACGTAGAACTTAGCTCCAGCTCTAAATGCAATAAGCATTCCTTAAACTACAGTACAAACCAAGTCTAAATGTAAAAACAAAATTTGAGTTTGACATTTTCGGGTGCATTGTCTAACAATGTCTAAGTGTAACGTTAGCCCTTAACATTTTTTTTCTGGAGATAGTCCATTAAAGATTGTAAATTGGCCACATTTATGGGGCTAGCACAGGGGCCAAAGTTACATGCAGCTGTCATTCATGTCATTGTCTTAGCTTGGAGGAATGTGTTCCTTCCTTCATGCAGATATCACGTCCCAGTCTGGGGCTGGTCGGGTCTATCCCTAAGTTAGAGAACTATGGGCTGGTCATTTCTGTTAACTCCCGAAAGGGCGATCGTGTAGTGTAGGGCCCAGTCACTTTAAAATTAGGATATTTTGCCGGAGGTAATGACGGCAAACTAACGTTTACTAAAGGTTTGCCGGCGGCAATCCATATCAACAGAGGGCGCTGTACTCTTTAAGATAGGGCTGAATTGTATTAAATTCCCACCAAATGTTGTGTAGCACGTTTGGTGTAGTGGTTAAGCAAAGGCTCTAGTAAGTGGGATGACTCGGGTTCGATTCCGACTGCAGCACTTTTTTAAGTTTTTTTTTCTCATCCCCAAATAAATAAGAATTTTTTTCTTTTATTATTTTAACATGTCTGAAACATTTTTTTGCAGAGTATTACATTTTCTTTTTCAGATTTGTGGCTCTGGAGGATTTTTTTAAAAAGGGAAATAAAGTCGAAATTATAAAATGGTCTGAATCCCATCTTGTGAATACGAGGTTACAATGATAATTTTGGCATGGAGCCAGACTAAAATTTGTCACCGGAAAATGTTTAAGTACAAAAAAACAGTAACTGCGCATGTTCAGTGCATATCCGGCAAACTAACGTTTACTAAAGGTTTGCCGTCACCGGCAAAATATACACTGCCTTAAAATTATTAGACCGACCAAACTAGTTGGTGACATCATGGAGCTATCCATGGTGACATTCTCAATAAACAGGTTGCCTACTTGCCAGACCATATGTTCCAATGTTAATGAAAAGGCGATAGGCCTAAGTTGGGTCCAAGTAACTTTGACTAATTTCTACCCAAAAAAAACTGTTCAAAATTGCAAAACGGGTGTCATTAGAATTGAGAGAAGTCTGTTTTTGATTGTAAAGGTGATTTTGGAGCATTAGAAAACATTTTTGACTCTGATTTGGTCAAAACAAAACAAGGGCCCTACACTACTCGATTGCCCCCGAAGTAACCCACAAAAAATAATACCGGAAAGAATGTTGCTACCTGATGCTACTTTCGAAACAGAAAAAAAGACAATCTGTTTTTGCTTACCTGCTACCGTACCTCGGAGAGTATACTCTCATGTGAGAACTGTACTGTAAGGAATATGTTGACAAAGTCTTTAGAGAGATTTGTAGGCGAAAGTCTGGCCGTTTGTGAATTTTTTACATGTCACTGCATGTTGACGCCCTCAACTGAAGCATGACATACTAATTTGGCCACACGTTCGCCTCTCTAGTTTAAAGACTTGGAGCAACTATAGAATGCAGGGCCATGCCGAAGCAAGGTTTTTTTATTTTGCCTGGAGGCGTGGATGGAATAGGAGTAATAGATATGCAAACCTGCAAAAAGTGCCAAGAACAGCGAAGGAATGCACTGCACTTGTCTTCTAAGCTTCTCATGAAGGATCGGAAGGGAGGGCGTGCTTGTAAATGTGTTGGGGGCACTGTCTGGAGTGGCGGAGGCGCGGAGTCTTGGAGTCGCAGAATCGCGGAGACGCGGGGCACTGGAGTGGCGGAGGCGCGGAGTCGCGGAGTCGCAGAGACTCGCGCCGATAGAGGGCGCAATTCTCGGCGGAATTTTTTTGAGAACGAAGCATCCATATCACTGATCTCTATATAAAGACTGGATAGCGGATATGCATACAACATTCACACAGTAGACTTTGCATATTGACCAATTCGCCCCCGGTCTCACGAAGATGGCCGCGTATAATACGAACGTTCTACGCGTAAATACGCGCGCGTTGTATCAACAGTTGACGCGCATTTTGGTCACGTACACATATTATGATGTTCTAAAAGGGACACATTTCCGTAGTGATTATTATTTCAAAACGCCGAAAAAGTTATATTTGCGGCATTTTAGTAACCACGACGTTAGAAAAATTGTAGTTAACCTTGGTCAGTGGTGGTGGTCAAAATATAAGTCAAGTGAACCGCGACGTTACAAAAGAAATCATGCTGTCTATAAAGACGGCAACTTGTCCTTTGTAGATCACCAGCCGGTCTCACCAATATGGCGTCAAATTCGTACATTGTGCGGCTCTGTATTAGCTATCCAGTCTTTATATAGAGATCAGTGATCCATATCCATTTTAAATGGGCGCGCAAATTAGGAAGGGAGGAGGGCGACGGGGCACTGTCTGGAGTGGCGGAGGCGCGGAGTCTTGGAGTCGCAGAATCGCGGAGACGCGGGGCACTGGAGTGGCGGAGGCGCGGAGTCGCGCGCAGAGACGCGCACCGATAGAGGGCGCAATTCTCTGCGGCTCCACGACTTCACGATCGATTTTCGGAGGTAGGTCGACTGCGGTTCCACGCCTCCACGCAGCCGTACGGAGGCGCGGATGTAGAGTAAAGTGGCCCTGCATTCTATAGTTGTACCAAAGAGGGGAATCTACGAAAGCCCATTAGCGCCACTGCAAGTATATATGTTACAGATTATGTAATTCGTTATTACGGATTATTAATTCGTTATAACGGATTATTTAATTCGTTATTACGGATTATTAATTCGTTATTACGGATTATTAATTCGTTATTACGGATTATTAATTCGTTATTACGGAGTATTAATTCGTTATTACGGATTACTAATTCGTTATTACAGATTATTAATTCGTTATTACGGATTATTAATTCGTTATTACGAATTAGGTCTGATGTTCTCACACGTGGAGAGCACGTGACCAGGGGCCTATGTATATAGCGCCGCTAGGCGGCGCTATCTTTGCATACAACGTTTGCACTCCTGTGCCATGCTTGCCGAGTAATGACTCAGAACGTATGAGTAATTAGTAATAACGAATTAAATAATCCGTAATAACGAATTAGTAATCCGTAATAACGAATTAAATAATCCGTTATAACGAATTAATAATCCGTAATAACGAATTAAATAATCCGTAATAACGAATTAATAATCCGTAATAACGAATTAATAATCCGTAATAACGAATTAATAATCCGTAATAACGAATTAGTAATCCGTAATAACGAATTAAATAATCCGTTATAACGAATTAGTAATCCGTAATAACGAATTAAATAATCCGTAATAACGAATTAATAATCCGTAATAACGAATTAATAATCCGTAATAACGAATTAATAATCCGTAATAACGAATTAAATAATCCGTTATAACGAATTAGTAATCCGTAATAACGAATTAAATAATCCGTAATAACGAATTAATAATCCGTAATAACGAATTAGTAATCCGTAATAACGAATTAATAATCCGTAATAACGAATTAAATAATCCGCAACATATATACTTGCAGTGGCGCTAATGGGCTTTCGTAGGAATCAACATATTCAGTTCTCACATGAAAATATACTCTCTGGGCAGCTGGAGTTACCCAGCCCTGAGTTTTATCATTGGGTTGTCTATTAGGGCTGGAGCGTATTTTTCTCGTAACTAGTAGTATAGTCGGACTCCCTATTATCGCGGCATCCCTATTATCGCGGCATGGGAAATTTCTCTTTTTGCGTTGTCAAAACTCCTTCAAGTGGCGATTTTTATCCAGTTCACCAGTCATCAAGGATTTTCTACCGAGTTGTATAAAAAGGACGATTAAAAAATGTTGTGTCTTTCGGGACTTTTAACGATTTTTATAAATATTAACGTTTTCCAAAACTTGCAAAATTTTCCCTCACCGTGTCTGCTAAAAGGTACCGTTTATATTTTAACATAAATCTTTAATTGTGCTCTGTCCATGAAAGTTCCATTGTCTGGTTCCCATTCTTCAGCTGCAAATGTAAAATGAAGTCGAACGACGATATTTGCAGCGCGAAATCGTAACAACTTTTACGGGATCAAAATAAGCACCGCGCGTTAGCGAAAATAAAACGGCACACCGTGTAAAGTGAATGGCGCCCTCAATCGCCGATCAGTAGACTTGCCTCAGGGATTTGTGTTCTCCTTTCGGGGGAAGGGCAGGGTCTTAAGAAATCATCCTGCAGAAAATTTGTCTTTAATCAACTTGAACGTTACAGGGAAAATATCAGACTTTATTCAGGGGGTGTTTTGGTCAAAGATAAACTATGAACAAAAAAGTTGGGATCATTATAAAAACCACTTCCCGCATACCGCGATAATAGGGAGTCCACCTCCGTTCGCACACGCCGCGCATGTCTATTTTCACAGGCATCGTACACGGAATAGACCACCCAACCGTCGGATTTTTTTATATTAATTTAAAAAGGAAGAGTTATACTACACAAAAGACAGGACAATTCAGGAAGGTTAGTGGGCAATCTCTATTCCGAACGAGAAACGTGATAAGTACCGCGATAATAGGGCAACCCATCCTATATTCAAAAAAATTTGGAAAATGTTCAATTTTGTCCCCGTTACACACTAATTGCAACTGCAACTCACCCCAAACTTGCCTGGAATAACCATTACACAGG